CAATGATCTTGTTGAATTGTTTGTCAATTTTAGCATTGTAGACCACATTGTCCTCGAATGAGTACAACAGTACGTTCTCATCGTCAATTCGCTGCATTTGATATCCACGCATGTCAGAGACGGATACACGGCGACGTTCAGCGGGTGAGAGATTCATGTACGAATCAAACAAGGTTCGCTTCTGTCGCCATTGTTCGCTCCTCATTCGCTGTTGATTGAATTCACTTTCAACGACTTTATCGAAATATCGATTCAACATCTTGTCCATCATGTTTCTCGACTTCACTTTGTGTGGCTTGTATCGAATGATTGGAATTGTAGCAACGTATTCATCCATTTACTATGGGAGGAACAATGTGGGGCGACTTTGCCGTCTCCCCTTCTTTACTTTGTCTCTTTCGAATAACACGAAATCGTGAATGAGATGTACACATTCGAATTCAATGAGATCGGATTGTCATTCGCGTCCGTCAGTACCCAGTCAATGTAGTCCAGGTTCGATTGTTCAATCACATCGATCGATAGGTTGTCCCAGGTGATCATGTTGTTCAGTCCCATCGATACATGAATCAGGTTATCGATCAGCGGACTCTTCAGACCAAATGTTTGAGCATTGATACTACTGTAGACTCGGATCACACTCATGCCATTCGTAATGTCGTAGGGTTCAGTCGCTACCATACCTGCCTCAACGACACCTTCCAACTTGAGGATACTCGTGTAATCAGGTGCGCCACTAAGGTCAACAGCGGTCGCCACGTCACTGTTCAGGTATGCTCGGTTGACATCGTCTACCTGGATGGAATCGGCTATCGCACGGCATAACTCGGTAATCGAGTAGTAGCCAGGACCGACGTTGTACACCATTTCAAACCCTGACAGCATTTGAACCTTCACGACATTCATTGCACGAATGTTCCAGAGAGACGTTGTATCGATCTTGCACGTAATCGAAGTGATCTTGTACACAAGGTCACGAGGCATGATCACTGTGTTGAACGTTTCATGGTATCGTTCGTTGTTCTTCGGAATTACTGTATTGTGGTTAATCACACTCACTGGTAGTGCACGATTCATTTACTTTGGAAAACATGAAAGTGAATGCACACCGTGATCGGCATTGGCAGGGCAATCGTTGTACCGGTCTTATCGGTCAACGAGAATGACCATTTGCGACTTTTGGGTACCACGACGTTCATGTGTGCATTCTCCGTAAACTCCTCGTTCAATACAACCAACGGAGACTGTCGTCGTTCTTGCATGTTGTTCACTCGATCAAGGACAAGGCAGGTGCCAGGCGATTCTCCCTTCATAGTCACTCTGTCGATTACCATGTCGCTTTTGATGAGATTGTTACTCGTGAATTCATGTTCGTACGTTCGAGCAATGTTGAACACTAGATTCATTTATTATTTCCTCCTGAAACGGTGAATCCGATTAGCAGATACACGTTCCCAATGAACGATAGCGGGTCACCATTTTCGTCCTTCAATTCGTACACGATGCGATCAAGCAATTCAGAACATGGTACCAACATGCGATTCTTGTAGAAGTAATTCTTGTACAAGCTATCCATCGGGACATTCGCAAGCAGTGGTATCGTCTTGCTTTTCACGATATTGCAATACAGCTGTATGTTCGATAGACCGTTCGTGATATCGACAGGATATTCGGCAACCAATGGACCATAGTTGGCATAGTACACACCATCGTCGAAAGGGATACGCCATGTATGCGATTGCGATCCTGAAGCGGGAACGATGGTTCCCAGGTTGCCACTCAACGAGAACACGTGGTCAGCGTGAATGTAGTACCCATCTGACTCAGCTTTCCATCGTATGTTCAGTGCAGCCGAGTCAAAACACTGGTTCAAGCGCCATATCATGTCAGCCTGTGTCAATCGTGATGGTATGGTCCACTTGTGGTTCACCGTGTCATCCGTGTACGTAATGACTGTCTCAGCAGCACTATCGTCCAGTGTCATCATTCCGTACGGGAAGCGAATCGTCGTGTTAGCCGTGTACGACTCAGATTGATCCCAGTCAACGAAGGTAGCCAATGATGGAACAACAACTTCATCATTCCTCACATACGTAACACGTGTCGGTTGTATGAATTCGATCGACACAGCACGATCGGAATACGTACTACCTTTGATCATATTCGTCACATTCAGTCCATCGATGTTTGCCATCGCAAACTCGTAAGGTGATGTCAACTCGGGCATCCTGATGTAGTAATTGCGATAAAACTCGAAATAACAAGACAAATACACACCACCTGGTTCAGCGTATGGTCCGGGTATAATCTTGAAACATGGATTATCACAAAACAATATGAATCGTGGTTCTGTACCATTTCGACATCCCATTCGTACTCGACCACCATTATCTGCAATGACATATACCAAGTACCCTCCGAGAGACGCATCTACATATATCTTATTGATCACATTAGCGATCATATTCACGATATCAATAGCGCTATAATGACCTCGTTGGATTGTGAGAGGTCTTTCGCCATATCCACGTATTCCAAGTATAAAATTCGTCGTATCGATAAACACTCTCGTGTGATATATACTATCCTTGGAATACCAAGGTCCGATCGAAGAACCATTCGATGACACCAAGTCACCTGTATTTTCCGATGTGATATGCAATTCCAATTCTGGTGCATAGTCCTTCGCAGTCCATGACATGCTTTCTCTATTGTCATTCACCGTCCACGCAATCGCATTCTGGTGAGATGGAGGTAGTTCCATAGCACTCGCATATCGAGCATTGAGCTCATTAAAACATGTGGTTGTAAGAGTATTCATCTTGATCGGGGTAGACGTATCTTCCGTTATGTAGAATTCACCACTATCGAGTACTGAACCATCAGCTAGGCGCATCGTGTATGTCGCGAGAGGCTTTAGCAGGAACCGATTATCATTCGTACGCATTTTCCAGTCATACGCAATGAAGGTGTTTGATCCTATGTACGCATGACCACCAATACCTTGATCATTCGTCATATCAGGTGGTGAATCGCTTTCAGGGTTGAACGAAGCTTCCACTGGTCGTTCGATGCACAGGTTCTGCACAGATGGAGACAGCTTGAACCATGGAGTCCAACCAAAACCATCGATCGTCGTGTCAACACTGGATCGATCGAAATACCATCCGTCTGCTTGGACATTGAAGCGTACATGGTCATCCTCGATCGTCATGGATGTGAGTGGAAGCACTTTCACCATTTCAGCACCGACAGCCTCGATGAACTCGGAGAACGTGTAGTAACCGACAGGCAATGTCAACATGTGCGATTCCCTGCCATCAGTAACAACCACGTGATTACACGAGGAAGACATGTAGTAGCGCTTCGGGTTATCCACTCCTTTCACCAAGATGTCCGATTCGAAACCAAGGATCGATTGGATCTCTGGTGCATTCGTGAAATCAATCATGTAGAAGTGATCTACCGTGATGTGGAACGCATTCTCACCGCTATACACCAATTCGAACAGGGCATCACTTGCATTCAGCTTTGCAATGATCGTTTCGATGTCATATGCACCGCGTGGTATCGTGATCTCTTGAATCGTAGCGCCAGCATTGATTAGCACCATTTGATCAGTCGGCACGTTGTGCAACACGAAGTCCGTATACAACGACACAGACGAGATGTAGCACTGGTCGAACGACAGAGGATTGTCCAGCTTCACTTCCTTCTTGGTGGTATTACCGAACACTTCGATCATACTGAACTGGTTTGCAGAGGCAATCGATGATGGCACTTCCTCCATCACGTCCTCAATCGTCAACTGGAGTTCGAATTCGCCGTTCAATCGCATGATATTACCATCCATATCGCGGAACAGGAACAGCAATCGATCGAATCGGGTTATCATGGGAATGCAGATGTCTTCCATGGTGCGGAGATAATTAACCTCGGGATCGTCAATGATCATTGTGGTGAGCAGGTTGTTGTTCTGGTTGGCAATCTTCAGATCGGAGGAACGTACGAGGGACGAGTACACTTGGATCACTTGGCGATTTCATGTGATATCAATCACGTTCGATCCATAGAACGAAGCAGGTAGAATGACCGTTTGTTTTTCCAAACCGAGGATTTCTCGAATATCCGGAGCATTGGTGAAATCGATGGTATGTGGGGACTGGATATAAATACACCCATAATTCGAAGCCTTCGTAGATATCGAGAACGTAGTATCAGTCATGATATTGAAAATGGCATTGATTTGACCGATCGTGTAGTATCCAGGAGGAATCGCTAGCTCTTCGTCATTCGAGTTCGTGACCACATTAGTAGAATCCACATTGTTGAACATGACTTGATTGGATGTGAACAAGACAGTTAAGAACTGCTGATGTAGGAGTTCCGATACTTGTACGGGTTGATGCATTCGAACATACCATTACTAGGTGAGTCTTGGATAATCATGGAACAGTGTTTGTCCTTTCTTTACCATAGACAGCGGGGAAAACGGCCAAAAATATTCGCGCAATACACTTCAATGCCTCACTATTCTTGCAATTTGTAGGGGCAAAATCGTCTTGTTCATTTCATCACTTTTGATCGATATATAATTGTTATACTTTTATCAAAGACTTCTCTATATAAAAACCAGTATTAGTCGTGTTTCTCACGTATCTCACCACAATAATAATATCCATTGACTGTCTATACTATACTAATTACTCTATAATAAAGATTCAATGAAAATGTACCGAAATCCACAAAATAGCTGAGAAAGTCACTGTTTTCCTATCTCTCTGCCTATTTTTATGATAAAGCTATTATTTTTACTCAGCATTATATATCTCATATCAGCACAAGTAAGGAAATCACTCCCTTGATAGATACAAAGGATATCCATGAGACAAGCATAGAAGTTACACAAGATGGAGCAGAAAATACGAATTTCAATGAAAAAGTTGGAAAACGGTATTACCATGAGTCAATAACTAGAAAGAAGGGATATGTAATAACCGATGTCTATTATCATAATAGTTCGTGCTTTACGTAATAAAAGTGATAAAAATATTGATTTTAGACAAGGTCTGGTCATCGATCCCAAAACTGGGAATGTAATAGAGAGTTGCGGTAGATATGGGTCTTCATACATCACTATTTATTCTACAGATAAGAAGAAGGTTTATTTGCGAAAAAGTCTTCCCAAATATGTTTTTGGTATTTTTATTTGATTATCCATCTACTGTTTAGGAGAAGGGATTGCCCTTGTAAATGATCAGCTAATCGCACTGACTTGGAGAGAGCATATTGGAATTCGATATGAATTGAAGGAGAATAAGTTGCGTCAAATAGCATCATTTTCGTTTGAGACAAGTCGTAAAGAAGGATGGGGTGCTGCTTCTGGTTTGCTGGGTAATAAGGAAGTAATCGTTGTTTCGGATGGTTCGTGCAATTTACACATTTGGGATACCATGACTCTCAAACAATTACAACGAAAATGTATTGTGGACGAAAATGGTGAAGAAGTTACAAATCTGAATGAATTGGAGATCATTGATAACAAAATATTCGCCAATGTTTGGCTGAGTAACCAGATTGCGATAATCGATTGGGAAGAAGGAAGAGTGATCGAATGGATTGATTTATCCGATTTGGTTGGTTGGGTGAAGCTTCCAAGTTCGAAAAGTGATCGAATGGACGCAGTATTGAATGGAATTGCATTCGATCCATCTAATAATGACATTTTGATAACGGGGAAGCTGTGGAATCGATTATTCAAAATCCATCTATTGTTTCTTCTTTCTTTCATCAAACATTCAAATCAATTTCAATAATGAATAGTAGTAAGTGTATATCTAATATCACTTCTTTAACGATCCTTTCGTCGTGTTTGTCTCCTCCGAAATCCAAATCGCTAAAGCACTGCACAACATTCCACAAATTCCTAAAATCTATTCATCATACTGATTATTCAATTGGTACATAGAAACAAAATCCAGAATCAATCCATTTGTGAGGTCTGCAACTCCACGAATACACCACAGGAACGATCAATGGACCCAAAAATCGACACACTCCGCCGATCATTTGTCCTAACCCCATAATTGTCCCTCTCACTTCTTTATAGCTCAGATTGGCGAATAATACAATTCCAGTACTAGACGGTAATGGCAAAATTATATACTCTACTTCATCCATAAGGCTCGAATGACTGTGAGAAGTGCCAAATAAGCCATTAAAATTCCAGTCACCAACATCGGATCAGCGTTTCCCAGCTTCAATATGAACGGAGCAATGAAGATTAAGAGGGAGAATAAAAAGATTTCCCACCCAAATTGTGACTTGTAAGGGAATAGCTGACTTAGTACCGGAGATAAAAGCACTACACATCAATTCTTGATCTCATTCACACTTAAGAACAGCTGGAAAGGAGAAGCGATTCCCATGACCAAGCTCACAATATCGTTACTGAGATTTAAACCACCAATTCGAACCGGAGAGGCAAGAGCTACGAGAAGAATCGTATCAGCGCCCATCTGAATAAAACTAATAACTGCGAATAAAATCATCGTAAGCAAGAAGTCCTTTTGCTTGAAAAGATGACGAGGAGAAGATTGTTCGTTGAACGTAATAAGCAATTGTTCTTTTGAATCCAATTTCGATCTGGATTTCCTAAGAATGGCGCTAAATCCTTTCTATTCTTTATCATTTCTATTCATTCACACTTTTAAACCATCTCGAAGCTTCTGTGTGTGAGCTCTTTCTTCTTCTGTCAGAGTTTCAACTGACAAAATTAAGTAAAGGATAATGGAAATGACAAGTAAAACTGCAGAAATGAGGAAGGGGAACAAAAACGGTTGCTAGCGTTTACAAACCAAACCAAACCAATCCTACTTTCTCAAATATGGGAAAGTGATCAACAAGGAAAGGAATTCGTGTAGGATCAGAAAGATAACCACACAATATGGGACCTAATAATCTGAATGTAATTCAATTAATAGAAACGAATACCCTCCAATCGCTATACCTACAAAAATCGAACTTGTTCCTAAAGCAATGTTTCTCTCATTCGATATCTCAGATACGATGGTTTTAGCAATGGGAATTACCCCATCAAGAAGACCATGAATGAGACGAATCACTACACTAGCAGTATAGTTTGTGGAAAAGCTGAAAATGACAATACAAAACACATTGCCTTGTCAATCAGTCACGAATCCAAATTCATACATATTAATGTTGCAGCCATGGCAGGTTTTCTTCCACATAAGTCAGCAATTCGTCCCCACATGACAGCTCCGGGAATCATTCCTACAAAGAAAGCGGCAGTAAAGATTCCTGTATAAGTTCCAAGGTCCTCATCTGAAAGCTGGTATTTACGCTCAATAAGGTATGTTTACGTTGGGTAGATACATTCGAATAAGGTAAGGAGTATTCGGTGCTAGCATCAAAGCAAACATGGACCAGAAAAGAGAAATCAATATACAAGAAATCAAAGTGCCCTTGTGGAAACCTTCCTCAACGTTTAGCGTCATCTTATTCGATCCTGGTATCTGTAAATAAAGACTTAAAAGAAATAATACACAAGCAAAGAGAATATTGTACGGGAGACATAGTGCAGAAGAACGTAACGGGCGTTTCGTAAACACAAGAAACACAAAAACAAAAGCAACTATATTCCAAAGGATTGTTGACTATTTTGCAAGTATAATAAGGTAATCCGGTTTGGCTAAGGTACGGGAGTGAATCGTGAGAATTAGGGTACAGTTGACAGTTTTTGGTACGTTTTTTTATATTTGAGTGCAGAATACTATAATCAAATGTAGAGTGCTGATTCTCTTATGCAAAAACGAAAAGAACACAGTTCGGAATAATATATTTGACTATTTCGGGTGTATTTTACACAGCCAATTTTGCTTTGAATGACCAATGGTGATAATAGTAGTTAGCACCAGTAGAGAATTGAAGTTAAGGTTAAGTGTATTTATAAATAGTATTTCATATTGCTTTTATGCAAGTGTTTCCCATAGGTACAGACTTATGAAAACTCTTTATCTTTGTTTCATGTTTTTGCTTCCTTATAATATTTATTATTTTTATTATACGATACTATCTGTAGTGATTTAAATAATGCATTCGAAGTGATGAAATGAAGTCTTTTGAAAGTAGTCCTTGTATCAGAATCAATACAATTATTATGTGATAATATATATGATAGTTGAAAAAATAATCACTATAAGATGGAATTACTTACTTACTGTTGGACTATTTAGATACAATTGCTATTAGAGATGTATTGTAACCATTTTCAACGAAAAACTACCAAATAGCGCCTTTTCTGACAATATGATCATAATGTTGTCAATATTTACCAGAGCTTAATCCTATTATGAAGGTTCATGCTGATGAACTAGTATTTCGGTCTTGTAAAGTGAGTACTGTGTGATCATTGTATATTCATTTTGGATGCTGGATCGAGAGTAGATCTCGCCCAAGAAGAGAAATAGTGATATACTTATGATAGAATATCGATGGTTTTTTCTACTCTCTTGTAATCACATTCATTACTAATAATATATATTCATATGTAAATTAATATAGAAAATTACATCATTAAGGGGAAAATGGAGAATACATACATTTAAGCATTAAATGGCCTTGCAAATGTGAAAGTCCTCATTAATATAACTCAACCGTATATTCTGTTGCTAGGGGTTTCAAACAATGCCGAATGGATTACCTACTTAACCAAACAGATGATTCTGTCACACCAACCACATCATGTTCAACTACTATTCGCAAAAAATTACATTGTTCGATTTAGTTACTTCAATCTGGATACTCGAGTCTTCCATATTTCAAATACTGAATTGGTGTTAGTTCATAAATTGTCCTAGAAGCAGTGAGTATCCATACTGTTTACAAATACCTACTCAGACATCCCTTATCCAGGGTACTCTGTTTATATGCTCTAAACTATATTGAAACGAATCTACGTCAAATATAACAACAAATAACAATGTATCAACACAATAAATGTAAAAAGATTTAACCTTTACAAAACCCAAAATTCTTTGCTACTGGAAGAGAACAACCAAAAAGTGGATCGAACTTTACAATGATTTGATAAAATCCTGAAACACGCAGTTTATGTCTACAAAATCTCAAATATCAAAAAAGAAAAAATACCTGATATTGACCTGGATGTAACCTCCTTGAAAGAATGAGTCAGACTGACATTTTCAAGATTTGGAATATCTACACAAAATCAATCATTCACTTAGACCAACCTTTCAATTCCAAACAGCGGACATTCTCGAAACTATATCCGTTTTGATTCGTAAGAGATGTTAAAGCTGGAAGATCTATTTCATAATAAGCCAATTCAATCATGAATTACTTCGCATGACCAACGAACAAGATGGATTATTTCTTCCATTCAATGCGTACCACCCGAGATATATCGTTTGAAGTTTAGGAAGATCTATGTTATTCTACGATCCCAATCAATTTGAATACTTTCGAATCGGATAGCTTGACAGTTACAGAACGATTGTTCCCCTAATACAAAAGATTCTAAATTCGGAAGGTCTACAACAAATTTAATTTATTTTGTAATATAAAACCTCGAATTTCTAATGAATCGGCCCAAAAATTAAATGACTCGCTCTTAATATCGCCGATTGTGATCGATCGCAGTGAAGAAAGACCCTCCAACTTGAATTCACCCCCAAAATCAAAAAAGCTGAAGGGTCCAATTATGACTGATTCCAGAGATTCGCAATTCACGATATGGAACGATTTCGTCAAGTAAAATGAGAATTGCAGTGAATTGCCTTTCACTTGAGTGAAGGAATTGCTTCCGATTTTTAATCTTCGTAATCTCTTCAATCCTTCAATCGTGAAACTCTCCACGTAGCTAAAACTATTGTCTCCAATATCCATTGATTCCAAAGCAACGAATGATGAGAGATCGAACAGTTTAAAATCGCCATCATTGCACATCCAATTTGGTAGCACGATCGAAGAAACTGAAGATTCGATCGATTCAATATAATCGGTATGATATATTCTGTCGGGAAGCAATTGCCGAAGGTTAAGAGGAATGTCTATTTCCATAAATATCAGAAAAGCTACTATTTGTTTCGTAAAACATAACACTGAGAAATGAACAAGGTAAGTCGACAGTCTCTAGATTTTCGATATCTATATCTAACGTAAATCAAAGAGAAAGTTACTTTCCAAGTGAATAATGCGGACTTCGTTAAAACTACATCCTCCAGAATTGCTTATTGACGAGAGATTGGAAAGATCTAGATCGGGTTATTCATGGAAAGCAATTCATACTTCGCATTGTCAACGAGCACATCAGATCACAATCTCTCCCATCCACTGCTCCTTGTCCAAGCATGATGGATTGCAACGAGGGGAGATCTATCCATTGTTTGATCTATAAAGATTCTGTACTCTTGATAGTGATGATTGAAGCTTGCCGGAATGCACAGTTCCCTAACACAATTTGTTTCAGACAAGGAAGACCTACAAACGGAGTAACTATGAGCAGATACAATACCTTGGATCTCAAACGAACAAAAACAAAAATTAAACGAATCCTTTTTAATATGTCCAATTTGAAGAGATTGTAGTTGTGGACAATTCTTCAGTTCAAAGCCTCCTCCATAATCACTGAAACTATATTCACCAATTTCTAGCGATTCTAATGATTCACAGTTCAATATGTGGAACAATTTCGATGCATCATTTCCATAATCATTCTTTTTCTGAGTGAATGAATTTTTACCAATATTTATAGTTTTTAATCGATTCAATCCATCGATATGGAATGTTTTTACCAATCCAAAACTATCACCACCGATTTCAATAGTTTGTAGCCATTTGAATTTGCTAACATCCAATTTATTCACCTCGTTACAGCAATTCGATGCAATCGTCAAATCTACCAGTTGTATACTAGGATAATCAAATTCATTTGGCCATACATTTGTTGCCATAATATATGGTGCTATGTATCGTCCATCATATAGATCCACTCCACTCACTTCTTCTCCATCTTTCCATTCACATTCTCGAGTTGCGATTCCAGTTTTTTCATCAATCAAACATCCTTTCCCTTCTCGAATGAACGTTTCATTATCTTCATCATAGCGAAAGCCACCTACATAGATCGGAATTCGTTTTGTCGGGTCCAAACTATCTACTCCATTTCGTCTTAATTCAGTCATCGTATCTCCATTGAAACAGCGAATCACCTCTGTCAATTCTCCATTTATCCAAATGCCTTCTACAACCACATTTCCGCTTTCTTCGTCATATTCGATACCCCAACCCAGTCTTTTCCGGTTGTCGTTATATTCTCCGTGATATATCAAATGTCCCGTTTTGGCTGACCAGATTTCCATGCGAAGACCTCTCTTGTGGTAGACAGTGCAGTAACTATCCCTATGCTTCAAAATATCGTCGAATCGTTGTGAGAAATGAACTCGACCATTTTTGTATACAGTAAACTCATCTGATTTAACCTCCCTTTCGTTTTCCTGCCATTTCTGTTTTAGAACATTATTCTCAAACAAGCAAACCTCACCAGTTTCAGAGCGCAACAGAAATTCGTTTTTGTGCTCTCCCTGGTATCGCTGAATGGTGTATTTTATTTTATCCCTGACAAAGATTATCGGATTGTTAAATGAAATGTATCCATGGAGGAAATACTGATTTCTACAAAATTCACTCATCAAGGCTATTTATCATCTATAATTAAGCATCCATTACATTTATCACTCATTCCAATGATGATTGTGCCAAAATATGAATAATTAATAGAATGTGAGTACATGAGGAATCATATTTTTATTTTGCAAAAAGAAATTGAGAATTCTCAATTGACAGGATGTGCCTATCAATATAGAATAGGTATGTGAGTTCAAGTTGTTAGATAATGTTTGTTGATCACCTTTCGCTATATTTGTGGATAGACCTTGAGAAGCTACTCTGTTATTAATTTTCCCGGATGTTCTGAAAAATCGGAGCGTTAATGAAGGAATTAACTTGAAGAAAAAGAATTAGTGGTTACGATGATAGCATGTATTTTTCAAATTGATACAATATTAATATTAAATGCTTAGGAATGATGCCGATGAATGTGAATAGCAAGAGATGCCATCTAATTATAAAAAGCACCCCATCCATATTTGATAATGGATGCCAAATTTGGAAGATCTACATTCAGTCATTTAGAATCATTTCATTTTTACTTAGTATTCTCAATGAACATGATGAGTAATATCTTCCAGCAAGTGCTTCACCACAAAGTGGCATAGATTGTAATGATGGAAAATCTACATCAATCATATCATCTAATATATTCAATACTTTCTATTATTGTTGATGAAGAATCAGAGAATACAGCATGCCTAATGTGATGGATTGTAGATTTGGAAGATCTGTTCATTATACATATTCATTATCTATCAATATTGCGAATCACAAATAAACTATGATGGACATTGTCTGAATCACTTCCAATTGTACCATTTTGAATGGATTGTGATTGTGATAGATTCTTCAATTCAAAGTCTCCAGCAAAATCATTGCAACTCCATGCACCAATTTGAATGGATTCCAATGATCCACAATTCAATATGTGGAATGATTTCGATTCATTACAATCATGTATTCCTTTCTTTTTACAATTAATGACTTCTTGCCTATTTTCAGCGTTTTCAATCGATTCAATCCATCGACTTTGAAGTTTTTCACTGATGCGAAAAACATGTCTCCAATTTCGATAGATCGTAGCCACTCAAATCGATTCAGATCCAATTCATTCAAATCATTGCAACAATTCGAAGAAAACTTCAAATCGGTCACTTGCAAACTCACATTTGTCAGTTTCTTTAATATATTAACATTGATAATGATTGGAGTTGTGGATCGAGTGTACCATCCATCATACAGATCTCTTCCACTCCATCTTTCCATTCCACTTCGCGAGTAGCAATCCAAGTTTCTTCATCGATCCAGTATCCTCGACCATTTCGAAGAAACGATTCTTTCGATTCATCATAAACGAATTCACCCACATAGAGGGGAATTCGATTCGAAGACAAGGTATTATTATTCCCGTTTCGTTTAAACTCGATCATGATTGTTCCTTCTTCGATCTTTCGAATGATTTCCACCAATTTGTTATTCTTCCATATGCCTTACAGTAGGATTTGACCCGATTTCTGGTCATACTCGATTCCCCATCCTTCTCTCTCCAACTGTTTATTGAATTCGCCATGATAGATCAACTTGCCACTCTCATGCAAATAGATTTCCATCCGCTCTCCTTTCACATGGTTGACTATACGATTGAAGTCCCGTTTGTCGATAATATCATTGAAATCTTGTACAAGGGCAACACGACCATTTTTGAATCGAGTAAAGCTCCCAATCTGAGTTCCATTATGATCTACTTCATATCTCATTTTAAGAACTCCATTCTGGAATAGGCAAACCTTGCCGTCGCATGTCACTGTGTATTCATCCTCATGATCACCTTGATAACACTAAATAGAATAGTCCGAGCTACCAACTCTACTATTTTTAGAATTACCAAGTGTAATATATCCATTCAACAAAAATACCTTTCCCTGAAGTTTTTACAATTAAACTATGTCAGTATTTTCCCTCAATATTCCTACTTTTTGAATTCATTCTGTTTCAGTGTATATAAATAGAATAATATTATGAGAAACTGAACCTAATTATCTTTACTTTCATTTTTATTTATTCTTCACACATCCCAAAACTTTGCACTGTAAAATTCATTATCAATACGATACTACAATCTGCCTTACCTGTTATTACCTCTCTTTTCATGTTCCCTAAATAGTAAGGAAGTAATCGTTGTTTCGGATGGTTCGTGCAATTTACACATTTGGGATACCATGACTCTCAAACAATTACAACGAAAATGTATTGTGGACGAAAATGGTGAAGAAGTTACAAATCTGAATGAATTGGAGATCATTGATAACAAAATATTCGCCAATGTTTGGCTGAGTAACCAGATTGCGATAATCGATTGGGAAGAAGGAAGAGTGATCGAATGGATTGATTTATCCGATTTGGTTGGTTGGGTGAAGCTTCCAAGTTCGAAAAGTGATCAAATGGACGCAGTATTGAATGGAATTGCATTCGATCCATCTAATAATGACATTTTGATAACGGGAAAGCTGTGGAATCGATTATTCAAAATCCATCTATTGTTTCTTCTTTCTTTCATCAAACATTCAAATCAATTTCAATAATGAATAGTAAGTAAGTGTATATCTAATATCACTTCTTTAACGATCCTTTCGTCGTGTTTGTCTCCTCCGAAATCCAAATCGCTAAAGCACTGCACAACATTCCACAAATTCCTAAAATCTATTCATCATACTGATTATTCAATTGGTACATAGAAACAAAATCCAGAATCAATCCATTTGTGAGGTCTGCAACTCCACGAATACACCACAGGAACGATCAATGGACCCAAAAATCGACACACACCACTAGCCATTTGACCCAATCCCATCACAGTTCCACGTATTTCCTTATAGCTCAGATTGGCGAATAATACTGTAGACGTGCTACATTCGATAAAAACGATATTCGATTACTTCATGCACAAAGCTCGAATGACTGTGAGAAGTGCCAAATAAGCCATTAAAATTCCAGTCACCAACATCGGATCAGCGTTTCCCAGCTTCAATATGAACGGAGCAATGAAGATTAAGAGGGAGAATAAAAAGATTTCCCACCCAAATTGCGTTTTGTAAGGGAATAGCTGACTTAGTACCGGAGATAAAAGCACTACACATCAATTCTTGATCTCATTCACACTTAAGAACAGCTGGAAAGGAGAAGCGATTCCCATGACCAAGCTCACAATATCGTTACTGAGATTTAAACCACCAATTCGAACCGGAGAGGCAAGAGCTACGAGAAGAATCGTATCAGCGCCCATCTGAATAAAGCTGACAATTGCAGATAGTGTCATCGTAAGTAAGAAGTCCTTTTGCTTGAAAAGATGACGAGGAGAAGATTGTTCGTTGAACGTAATAAGCAATTGTTCTTTTGAATCCAGCTCTGATCTGGATTTCCTAAGAATGGCGCTAAATCCTTTCTATTCTTTATCATTTCTATTCATTCACACTTTTAAACCATCTCGAAGCTTCTGTGTGTGAGCTCTTTCTTCTTCTGTCAGAGTTTCAACTGACAAAATTAAGTAAAGGATAATGGAAATGACAAGTAAAACTGCAGAAATGAGGAAGGGGAACAAAAACGGTTGCTAGCGTTTACAAAACGCAACGAAACAATTCTACTTTCTCAAATATGGGAAAGCGGTCAACAAGGAAAGGAATTCGTGTAGGATCAGAAAGATAACCACACATTACAGATCCTATTAACCTGTATTTGAATGATTTTCGAGAATGAATACCCTCCAATCGCTACACCTACAAAAATCGAACTTGTTCCTAAAGCAATGTTTCTCTCATTCGATATCTCAGATACAATCGCTATGGCTATGGGAAGAACTCCATCAAGAAGACCATGAATGAGACGAATCACTACACTAGCAGTATAGTTTGTGGAAAAGCTGAAAATGACAATACAAAACACATTGCCTTGTCAATCAGTCACGAATCCAAATTCATACATATTAATGTTGCAACCATGGCAGGTTTTCTTCCAAACAAGTCAGAAAGTCGTCCCCACATGACAGCTCCGGGAATCATTCCTACAAAGAAAGCGGCAGTAAAGATTCCTGTATAAGTTCCAAGGTCCTCATCTGAAAGCTGACATTTACCCTCAATAAGCGATTTTTCACATTTGGTAAATAAATACGAATAAGGTAAGGAGTATTCGGTGCTAGCATCATGGCAAACATGATTCCGAATAGAGAAATCAGTACACAAGAAATCAAAGTGCCCTTGTGGAAACCTTCCTCAACGTTTAGCGTCATTAACTAGGTTATAATACATAGTAATCACATTAAACCTAAATTTTTCAAGAGTAAATTAGTAATTTGTGAAAATCAATCAGTACAAGAAGTATTTAAAACACATAAAACACAAAACACAAAAACAGAGCGATCACAAATACAGAGAACTACAAACTTATTATCGATATCCAAGAGAGATAGGCCACTTGAACGACCTCGGTGTAAGAAGAAGGGGAATTGGTGAAAAGGCCTTTTCTGTAAACGCTTTATCAATATTTGTAAGGAGAACGGTATATATATTTCAACAATAGAATGTAAACAAACAGTCGTGCACCACAGAAAGATTGAACTACGATCGACTACTTGTTGCTATGAACAATCGTAGAAGTGATTGAACCTCTTCCCTTGTCACACACATCCGTTAAGAAGTGAATTATGACCGCAGCCAAGAGGATAACTAATCCGAGAATCTACGACTCAATCCTCGCTTCCAATCGCACATAGAAAGCCAAACCATGATGAATAGGGAAATAGTTCTTGTGGCAGCTCCATCCGTAGAGAATGGGAAGCAACGAAGGACCCTACATGAGCAAAACCAAGCGAAGGCTACAAGGAAACGACCCAAACTGCCGACTGTCTGCGACAAACCCATGATGGTTCCTCGGAATTCTTTGTACGACACGTTGGAGACAACTACGATGCAGAAACTAGAGGTGAGAGAAGCGTTCTATCCGGACTTAAACGCGAGGCTCCGGAACACGAGGTACACGGAGTACATCACAATCACAACGGTAAATACGACGGTTTTGTTATACTGATTGAAGAGAGACTCGATTGGATAGATGAACATACAGAATGCTATTCCAAGAGCGTTGATCATCAAAGTTCTTCGATAGGTGAAAAGCTTTCGAAGAGACGGAGAATATAAAACTAACCGTGACTCGGCCTTTTTCAATGCGTACTCGTCACAAGCGCGATGGGGCTGGCGACCATGAGAATCAAACTGATTTCCTCGCTCGACATTTCGAATCCACCATAAATCTTCTTGTTCGCCAACACAGGAGAAAACAAGGAGTCGAAAGCCATTTGGCAGAGAGAGAGAAGCAGATAGAGAAGCACGGTAAGAAGCACATCTCGTTCTTTGAGGATTGACGAATACTTTGAGTATTTGTGGTATTGGAGAAGCAATTGTTCGTGCGAATTGATGTAGTCCTTTGATCCTTTTCGCAGAATTCCGCTGATTTCGCGCTTCATTTCCGCCTTGCATTCTCGAGAAGTCGTCATTTCTTCTTCGGAAATCGTTTCTTCCGAGAATAGAAGCAGCGACACAGCGACAAACACAAACATGAACGCAGAAATACCGAATGGAAGGAGGAAAGGATGCTAATAGCATTAGAAGTGTGAAAAGAGCGGATTACAGAAAGGAGAATGGGGAAGTGTGAGGTGAGAGTCGAAAAGTTCTCTGGATGAGAAAGATAGCCGCCCAATACAGGGCCTAAAAGACGCCCTAGTGCTGCGCCTAAAAAGACAAAGCTGGTTCCCAGAGGAAGGTTTCGTTCGTTTGATATTTCAGCAATCATTGTTTTCGTAACGTTTAGTGCACCATCCGCAAATCCGTGAATTAGGCGGATTACTAGAGTGAGATAATAGTTTGAACTAATTCCAAGTCCCGATGTGCAAATTACGTTGACTAGAAATGACTTACACATTCAAAATCATACATAAAGTGATAATAAGAAGCGCTTTCTTTCGACCATGCTGGTCTGCGTACCAACCCCAGAAAATGCACCCGGGTATTTGCCCTAGATAGTAAAGGGATAAGATAAATCCAGAGTAATAGCCAACTTCACTAATATCAACCTAACATTAACCAAAATACACAATACTACATCAGGAATATAATACTTAACCATAAAGGGCATCGTTGGTAAAATAATAAGGTTCATTACACTCTGTGCCGTTATTGCCAAAACGCACGTGAAGAGCGTTCCCTTGTGAAATCCTTTCTCAACATCAATCGGCATTATTATACGAGCAGCGGTTACGGTTTAAAAGAAAATATGGAGAAACACAATTGATTCTGTAACTGCACATTTTCTTAAAAACAAAAACGTGGAATATCATAATAGTATTACCAAAATTGAAACTTTTAAAAAGATTCATATCAAACCTAACTCATTATGCACACATATGAGTTCTGCAATCAGAAAAACATTACTGTGTCCTTGCCTTTGAATTCGACTTTGAATATTTCAGCTGCTGCTCCCTATAGCGTTCTTGGCGTAGTTTACTCTTTCGAATATACTCCAATTCGCTTTCTCGCTGCTTTCTTTCCTTTTCCTCATCTAATCGTGTTAAGTACTCCAGCCACTTTTCCCCATCGTTTATCCTGCTTTGACCCACCCTTCTCTTTGGCTTGGTTCCCACATCATTGTTTGTGAGTGAACTCGTGTTGTTTTCTGTATCTTTCACCTCTGTCGCATCCGTAGTGTTATCACCTATTGTTACTGTCACTTCGTTTGAAGCGAGTTCATCATGCTGTGTTGTGGAAGTGCCAAACGTGTTTGTGCAGTTAGACTCTAAATCGGATCGACTTTGCGCTTTTCTTGTGCTTGGTGCCTTCGTTCCTTTCCGTGTGTTTGCTCTGGAGCTTGGCTTACTGCGCGTTCTCGCGCGTTTTGGAGCCGGCTCAACATAATCATCTTCATCCTGTTCATCCATCTTGATTGATCTCGTTTTTCGTCTCCTCCTAGATCTTCTCGGTTCACGATCAAGAATTTGAACACTCCCATCATCATCATCATCATCATCATCATCATCATCAACTACGACTACAATCCCAGTATGTTTCCTTTCTCTCCGCTTCGATCTTTCCTCAGAACTCTCGTTTAAGAACGTCATTTCGTTTTCTGTCTCAATGAAGTCTTCGTTCAGAATCAAGTCCTCGTTGTTTTCCTCTTCTTCGCGCAGTTCATATTCCGATTCTTCGGCTTCGCGCCGCTTTCGCGCCATCATCACATGCCACATCGCCTTCTTCTTCATCCCCAAAGGTTTTCCTCGTCTCAACGAAGGTTCCGATTCGTTTTCGTTTTCGTTTTCGTTTTCGTTTTCGTTTTCGTTTTCGTTTTCGTTTTCGTTTTCGTTTTCTCTCTGGGTTTTATTGTTACCATCCTCCAACTTTTCTTTTACTTCTTTTTCTTCCTTTTTTTCTTCCTTTTCTTTTTCTTCTTCTTTTTCTTCTTTTTCTTTTTCTTCTTTTTTTTCTTTTGCTTCGATCGGCGGCGTTTCATTCACTGGATTGGGCGTTTCATCCGATCCCGCCAATCTTCGCGCGTTTTTCCCCGCCTCTTTTTCTTCGCCCTTCCCCGCGGGAATCTCCGCAACCGGTTCCTCAGGAATTTCCGCGGGGAGCGACGACTCGGCTTTCCTGGGAATTTCCGACTGACTGGGCATTGCCGAGTTCCTGGGCGTTTCCGCGAAGCGTCGCAGGGCCTGTACGTCCCCCGCGGTTTTGACGACGGTTCGTCGGTGCACGTCGGGAGCCTACGCGTCACCCGCGGGGAAAAAGGAGAAACCAATCCCTCGACGACCATGGTCTTGACCTCCAAATCGTGGAAACCGCCGTGGCGGAGCGCGGGAAAGGCGAAGGAGAGCGCGCCCATCTCCGCGAAAAACGGATGGCGCAGGATTTGCTCCGCCGTCCAGCGTTTCCGCGGGGAGGTCTGCAGGATCGAGTCGATGAGGTCCAGCGCTTCCGCGGGGATTTCGCGAAAATCGCGGCACTTCGTGGCGCGGCAGAAATCGCGGAGAACCGCGGGGATGGACCGTGGAAACCGGCGCTGGAAGCGAATATTGTTCTTTCTATACGGAATGCGGATTTGATGCACGGACCTCATGAGATGAAGCAGAGCCGGATCGTCGGGGTATCCGCAGCGCTGGAAGATGAGCTCCAGTTCGCAGAGCTCGGTGTGCTCGTGCGCGGCGAAGAGAACCATGCCGGTGAGAAGCTCGACGAAGATGCATCCCGCCGACCAGATGTCCACTTCGGGACCGTACTGGGAAACGCCGAGAAGGAGCTCGGGGGGACGATACCAGAGAGTAATGACGCGGGAGGTGTAGTTGGTGATCATGGGATTGTTGATGAAGCGAGAGAGGCCGAAGTCGGCGAGTTTGAGGTCGCCGGTACGGGTAATGAGGATGTTTGCTGATTTGAGATCGCGGTGGATGATGTGGCTTGTGTGTAAATAGTTTAACACAGAAAAAAGCTGGAACATGATCCATTTCACAGAGGAGACGGATAACCACTCTGTGTAGCCCACCCGCGCTGATTTTAAAAGACCGAGGAGATCGTGGTCCACGTATTCCATCACGATCGCTAACGGATATAAGTGATTGTCATCGCTTGGCGCGGTAACTATTTATTAATAAAACTAAATAGCTTATTCTTCGTACTTCGTGGAGATATTATATCCAGGATTTTCACAATACAGGGATGTTGGCAATATTGCAAGAACTTCATCTCTCGGATCGTTGTCACAGACAATCCGTCTTGCTCGTTCTCCAAGTTCCGAATCTATAATTACATACTCAAATTACGCCCACAATTTTCAGAACGACTTTGGTGTTATCAATCTTGCGAATGCAGTAGTAGACATCCCCGTACGACCCTTTTCCGATGTAGCGTATAAACAGATAGTCTGGAAACCACAAAGTGTATTGTTGTGCTTCATTCATCCTTGACAGGTGATCGTAATAGTACAGATGGCGGTATCTCCACCCGGAAACGCGATTTCCAAAAAACAAAGTTCACGTAAAAACAAACAACTATGCAGCGAACTCTCCTTCCGCCTCCTTCTTCAGCACTTCTTCGTGCTGATCCGGATTCCCCTCCTCCACCTCCTCCATCTTCACCCGATTCGGCGTCTACACTCAACCCCTCCCGCCATCATCACCTTCGGCTTCTCCGCACTCTCGATCTGCAGCCCCGGCACATCCTCCAGCGCCTCCAGCTGCCTCATCAGCGTCCCTAGCTGCGCGTTCAGATACTTCGCATCATTCATATTCTCCATGTTGCTACGCGTCATCTCCCCCCTTCTCTCCCACCTCGGCGTGATCTGCAGCGAATAATCCGGCCCGAAATACTCCAGATAGTCCGTGAACGGCAGTTCGTTCTTCACCTCCTTCCCCAGCACGATCGCCGTTTCGTACGTCCAGCATCGCGATACGTTCCGCACCGTATATCCGCCGCCCCCCAGCACCAGCGTCGGCAGCCCGAACGACCGCACGAACTTCACGCACTGCGCGTGGCCCTTTAAAGAGAGATTGAAGCAGCCGAGACGGTCGCCGGAGAGCGAGTCCGCGCCGCACTGTAACACAATTGCTTCCGGCTGATAGTGTTCCATCACGCCGCGGATCACCTAGATCGAACGGAGAAACCGGAGAAACCGGCTCGAAGATCGCGACGAAGTTCGCGTCGTCGATGCCGGCGCGGAGCGGGAAGTTGAGCGAGTATCCTTTTCCTTCGCCGAATCCGATGTCCTGCGAGTAAAAAATAGGCCCGATTTTTGGAATACCGAAATGTCGCCGGTGCCGGGGAAGAAGTCGCCGAATTTGTGGAAGGAGACGGTCATGACGCGGTTGGTCGTGTAGAAGGCTTCTTCCACGCCGTCGCCGTGATGGATGTCGATGTCGATGTACAGCACGCGCGTGAATTTTCTGCGTGAAAAGCGTGGAATTCGCGTACTTGAGCAGTTCTAAAATCGCCAGCACGATGTCGTTCACATAGCAGAATCCGGAGGCTTCCGACTTCTTGGCGTGGTGCAGACCGCCCGACCAGTTGATCACGACGTCGGAGAGGCCTTCGTTCAGCCGGCACGCGCCGCCGATCGATCCGGAGCAGTAGGAGCGGATGTAATCGAAGAGCCCGTCGAACACCGGACTGTCCTCGCCCACGTTGACTAGGGCGTCAGGGCGATCGACTGCGGGGAGTACACTGGATCTGCTCCTTTTGCATGCTCGCAGCGTTGTCAGGATTGATCGTTCGCAAAAAGTTCACATAGTCGTCGGAGTGGAAGCGCATGATGTCCTTGTAATCCGTGAGCGCTGGTTTCTGATGGGAAAAAGAAACCCATTCCTACAAACATGTCCATTTCTTTGCAGAGATCGTAGGCCAGCAGCAGGTGGTGAACAATTCGTACGCGGTGCGGCTGCCATTCAAGTTCGACAAAAACACTACTTTCCAACAATGATGCTTTCCATAACTGTAGTTTCCGATCTCCGCTACAAGATAAACGAGGTCAGACCAAGCCAACTGTCGTAGTAATAGGCCACTCTTCGCTTTTGGGAAGTCAGTGTCCCATCGGCAAACTGGCTCTCATTCACAATATCTACACCTGCAGCATAGTCCATCGTTCAAGCAGGTCCTCAATTTGAAACAAAAAATGAGTTCTAATGGGGCGTTTCATTCGAATGATTCCAACAAAAAGCTGAAAAGACAATTTACAAAAAACACTCGATTCCGCTAATTCGAAGGCGCCAGCTTCGCACGGTTCGTTTGCTCTGCGCGGCCCACCACCCATGACACGCCCGTGCGAATTCCCTCGCTACCATCAAATCTCCTCTCCTACTTCCTACCACGTCAATGCGGACGTTCCTTGAAAACGAAAAGCGTGAGTGTGCTTATGCTCCGATATCACATTCCCCAGAACGTTGCGAATCACTTCCGGATCCACAGCTTCTGCCAAGTCTTGCTTATTCGCACAAATCAGAATCGGGAGGTCCTCCAAATCCGTGTTTGCTGCTAAATCGCCTGCACATCAACCACACAACCTGATGCTACGAAGTTCATCTTTCACTTCCTTAAAACGATCCGGATCGCTGCTGTCTACGAGAAAGATCACACCGTGACAGTCTCGGTAGTATTTGCTCCACATCGAACGCATGGATTTCTAGGGATCAACATTTCTACACGACGGAAACATGACCACCGACGTCCCAAATCACAACACGAGCGTCCTCAATCTCTATAGTAGCAACTACAGTGAACTTCGTCCAGAAGGACTACCATTTAAGCCAACGGTTGGAGGAATGCGGTCGAGTGCTCGTACGGGAGTATTACTAAAAACGCCCTTCATTTGCTCCAGGAAGGTCTAAACGTTATGGCAACGTGCTAGGAGTCACTGTCTTTCCAGCGTTATCAAGCCCAACGATCAGTAAAAATACCTCCTTCTTGCTGTTGTACCATTTACAAAACCCCGATATCAATGAAAACTGTTCAATGAGTCAGACTCGCTACAGTCGTACCATGGCAATTTCAACAAAGAAGCGATATTATCGTTAGTTTAGATATTGAAAAATAGGCACTATTTCTAAATGTTGGGATGGTTTGGACGGTTATTCAGTTTTATTGCAATGCATTTTTATTAGTGGCTTGCTTCTGTGTATACGAATCAACCAATGCAGTTAAAATTGAATAGGAAGTCGCAGAGTTGTTTACAGACTGAACACAACTCGTTCTCAGATACATCCTTTTGGAAAAGGATCGTTTGTAACATGGAAATGGCTCTTTCAGAGTTATTTTTGTCATCTGTACTCTACTTGTGTTTCTTTTTATATGTACTGTAAAGGACACGAGTTGTATGTATGGAAATCTCCCTCCATTTTGCAAGGGTCTGGAAATATGTGTAACATTGTTTTAAATTTACATTTCCATTTAAATAGAATCAAATGAAGAGTAGGAGTGATTCGTTGATTCCCAAATGATACCACAACCTAATTTTAAAAATAAAACGTATTTCAACAAACACACGAATGTTTCACTTGCCGAATCACCGTTTTGCCCAATCCTTGCTTTAGAACTTTATCTGAAGTGCAGCCAATCTTTTTAGGAGGAAACGCGGTCATCAACTCAAAATTCAAATCCGGTGTTTGTTCGGCCACAGCGGCATACAAATCTTCGCAGTTCCAATCCTCCGTTACATTCAGAGTGATGGAACGTCCGACAGCCAAATTCACGCGAATGGGGACAGTCTCCTTCTGGGGATAATTGTTGAACATTCCAGGACCCGCTCTGATTTCCTCCGCGGGAGCACTACGTCACAATCAACGAAGAAGCATACTGAGAACTTCCGAGCGTATTCCCCTTGTATCCAAAGCGAGGTGGAGGCGGCTGATAAATCTCCTCACGATGGTCATCCACATATATCTTAAAGCCTTGAGTACGAACAAGATTCTCGTACTTTTTGGGAACATATCTGATTCGAAAAGAGACGATTAACTATACCCTTCTATCAAGGTTTGGTAGATTCGTTTGTGTTCTTCGGTGTCATCACACTTGCAGAATTCATTCCCGTTTTCAATATAACCGTTTTTGTAAAGCTTAATAAGAACGGAGTTGGCAGGTCTAACGAGTCAACAACTCATTCAATCCAAACTTGTCGTCATTTCCTCCGACGACAGATAGTCCGCTACATGTCAAAATTCACAAACTAAAAATATACCTTCCTCCACCTTGAGAATTCACTCCTCCTGTATAATACTGGTTGTTCCGCTTCTCGTCCTCCTCATCCTTCTTGCGAATCGAATCTAAACCTACAATAGGCATTCTGTGTAAATCGAAAAATGACAAAAATAGGTGGGATTCTTTATTTCCATATTCCTGTTTCAACGAAATATCCATTTTATTAGAAACATGGCTTCTGCTGGAGATTCAACAGATATGAGCGATTTGGATGAAATGCTTAACGATGATGAGTTGAGTCAGGTAGAAGAGGTTGGAAATTCCGGAAAAAACAAGGATAAAGGTATTTCGCTGTTTCGCGTTGTTTGATAATATATAGAGATGGAAGCAAAGGTAATCGACGAAGCGAACAGTGCCAACTTTGCAGCCGCACTAAACCAGATTCTGGAGAGCACTCCAGACGAAACCGTGTGCCGTTTGTATCGTTTGTACCGATGTAGACGAATCCGTTGCTAAAACGAAAGAGAAAGCTGACTCCCGAAGAGAAAGAGCTCAAAAAGCAGAAAAAAGAAGAGATGCTGAAGAAGATGGAGATTCCTCGGAAGGGTTATGTGAAGCCTAATCCAGATGATGCGGAGATGGAGAAGAACCTGCGCAAAATCGCCACAAAGGGAAGTAGGTCGTGCTTGATTTGGTTGATTCTAGTTACCGCTTTGTTCAACGCGATTTCGCGCGGAAAGCGTTTGCTTCCTTCAATCAAGAAAGAGAACGAAGGAAAGAAGAGTTGGATGTGCGTGTTTGCTCGTTAGGTGTAGAGAAGGATCGCGTGAATATCGTGGAAAAGTTCAACGAGAAGATCGAGGACTCGAAGCAGAAATTGGCGGAAGAGCAGAAGAATGAGAAGAAATGGTCGGTTTTGGATGAACACATGGTGGAGAAGGGAGCGGATATGCAGAACTGGGATACGAAGGAAGAGAGTTCGGATAACTGGGACGACGATGTAGATCTTTAATCATTTAGAATGTTTTTTTATTTGAACACACGTTTGAATTGGGAGGAATGAATGAATGAATTGGGAGGAATGAATGAGTGAATGAATTGGGAGGAATGAATGAATGAATGAATGAATGAATGAATGAATGAATGAATTGAAATGGGGATTTGATTTGGGTTGAAAGAAGCGAGCAAAGAGAATCGATTGCTATTCGTGGAAGGCAACCGCAGCGAGGTCAACACCACTTCACACGATTATTGTAGTGATTCGTTAATCCTTTCCTTCTCGCTATTCTCCACCCCATTGCTTTTTCAACAAACACACGAGCATCACTTAAACAGACTTGCCACGGGCGGAAACGGCAGATTCTTCGACACGACCAACACTCTCTGCGGATAGGCCACATATCCCTTCAAATAGCCCTACACTTCACCCCTCGCTTCTCCCTCACTTTATACTTCAGCAAACTCAGCAATGAACACAGTTCTTCGTCCGACAAATGCTGGTTTTGCAGATTCAGCCCCACATGAATCACACGGAATGGAATCTGTGCGCCCCCAAACACACTCAAAATCGACTTCAGCAGACTTCGCTGCACCAGGATCTTCAAGGAAATCACAGTCAGCTACATCCCAAACACATCATTTCGCCTACGTAGAGATTTCGATTAATCAACACGCGCTCATAGTTCGCCAACACTTCCTCATAAAGCTGCAAATTCCCCGTTTGGATTGCTTGCGACAGTTTCGAATACTGCACTATTATTGGAATTCCAGAAATACCATCGAAAAATGGAACTTGGTGAGAAGCGATTTGGGAGGCAGCAGGCCGAAAATCATATTCACAGGGATCAAGAAGAACAAAATCATTCTACGGAGCACTGGAATTCCAAAAATACTGGAGATTATGAGAATGAGTGGGATCGCAATGATCCAACGCCAAGGTGAGCAAATCACGTGCTTTGAGATAATCGTCTTCATACAACCGAACACGACCATAATAATAATAATAGGTACACTACTGACAATATGTCCCCAAATCGTACACTTTGGCTTTTGGGACAGGTTTCGAGTTCGATCGAAATTCGATCATTGTAACTCTCGTAAATGTCCTGACAAAGTCGGTAATTCCCTTGTGCGAAGAGAATTTTAGCGAGTTCATTAATCGCGTTCTGTTAAGAAAACGACATAGAAACAGAAACACAATAACACAATAACACAATAACACAATAACACAATAATCGGATTGGTGGATATCCCCATAAAACCGTTTGTGCGCCCCACGGTTACGACTTTCTTGTTGTTGAAGGCGGTGGCGACGTTGCGGAGAAGCATCGTGCAGTTCGCGATCTCTTTGCTTTCTTTGAGAGGACCCGATTGTTTGTTCAGCTAGGAGAGAGAGACAAGGCATGAACGAAAGTACCTTGTAGGAAAGAAGGCGGCTTTCTTTACAACACTGGAGAATCACAGGAATAAACCAATCATTCCCGTCTTGGCCAAGTAATTGGACGCAACACCTAATTATGCAAAGACATTAATAATCATACTCCAACATATGTCGTTGATGAGACCAGGCCTTTTCGTAATCCCAGGAGAGAAGAGCATCCATAACGGCCAAATGTGTACGAACTAAGTCTTCATATCTATGCGTTACGTGTTAATTCTTCTTCTTTACATTTTTATTTGAGGGTGGAACGAAGAATTCAAGCTTACATTGCTCTATACGTGAATTCAACAGAATCAAGCCAAATACCCGCACCAATATCTGTACCAGTTTTCTACCTCCAAAGTGCATATCAAAATCCGTCGTAAAGCACGAACCGATCAAACTCGCATTGCATGTATCAATCGAGCCAAGAATGCAAGAAATATACTAAAATAATGAATCATTCCAAATAATATTATACATTCTGGGCCATTCTGATTTCCACCTGGATGATTTTGCTTTTTCTCACCCACAATGAAACGAACCCTAACTCTCCACTTGCTATTGTGACAAAAAAACTAAATAGGTTTGGAACAAACACTCCAATATTTCACATGTTGAGGAATTCTCGAAGCCCATCGGATCTCCTCTCTATACGGCGGAATCGGTTGCTACACCTCACCCTCTCTCTCCACTTCCCTACTCCCAAATCCACCGCGACAGCTCTCGGGCTGAATGCATGTCGGATCGCAGCCTTCCCCACTTCCACGACTTCAATTCCCATTTCATCCACCACACGCGTCGCCGTCGCCGTGTCCGCCACGCCTCCCACCGCTGAGCACACCACACCCGTGTCTTTCTTCACCTTCTCCGCCATCGTCAGCTGGAAGTCCCATTCCCGCGGGAGTTTCTGCAACGGCGACAGTCCCGCGGAAGAGAAGTTGATCATGTCGACGCCGAAGTCCTTTGTGAGCTCCACCGAGAGCTTCTCGACCTCGGGCAAATCCCAGGAACTCGTTTCCACGAAGTCGCTCATCGACAGCCGCACAAACAGGGGCATTCCCGCGGGAATCACGGCTCGCACGGCGGTAACGACCTCCTTGAGAAGACGCGTGCGGTTCTCGTAGGAGCCTCCGTATTCGTCCGTGCGCGTGTTGCTGAGAGGCGATAAGAACTCGTGCAGAAGGAAGCCGTGCGCTCCGTGCAGCTGAATGAAGTCGTAGCCTGCTTCGACCGCGCGGCGAGCGCCCGCAGCGAAGGCGTCGACGACCTCTTTGATCTCGTCTTTGGTGAGCGCGTGGGGCGTTCCGTAGGCGCTGCTGTAAGGCTCGGCAGTGGGACCCACCACTTCCCAGCCGCCATCCTCCAGAGGAATGCTCGTGCGGCCCTTTGGAGCACCGGGGTAGTAGCACGATCCCTTACGACCGGCATGCGCGAGCTAGAGTGGGAAGAATCGTAGATTGTTTACTTGAATTCCGATCTTGGCTCCATAAACGTGGACAACGTCAACGATGCGCTTTAATCCGGGAATAAAGTCATCCTTCCAGATTCCCAAATCCCTTTGGATTATCTTCAAGCAATATATGCTACAGGTCACAAATGCGTCCCTCTGGAACGACAGCAGTGGCTTCCTGGATGATCCCTCCGAAACCACTCATGGCGTAGTCAGCATAGATACCAATGAGCACATCGCTCACATATCCATCCTTGCTTCCATACTGAGTATCAAAAATAAAAAATAGAGAGTACCATGCACATTGGCGGAACACCCATGCGGTTCGGAAATTCGACGTCTCGGATCTTAAGAGGGGTAAATAGCTTGGTAGTTTGCATTGATGATAAGAAAAATATGATATCTTTGGAAAAAGTTGAGAAAATGATTAAAAATTCTATGGAACATTTGATATTAGGTATGTCTCGATTGAAAAATCGAAGAATTCACTGTCGAATGATAAGATCACACGAATACTAGTAGAACATAGAACGTTTTTCCGTTTTGTTACAGGCAATGAATATAATATTACCATTGATGTTGATTATTTTCTGTGTAGAAGTATGGCTGAACGATATTACATGCAATGAAGACGTTCACAGAGTCAGGTTTGAATGGCATTCGACTTGTGAACGTAATGATTGGAAACATGAATAATTTTTGTGCTGTAGATAGTCCAAGTCTCTATTGTTTTATTGTACTGAAACGAAACCATTTTGGAATACAATCAACATTTGTCATAGTTGCTTGTCAGTCCAGCACTCAGTACTATGGCATCAATCTCGATTCCACGTTTTATTCTCCGAACCATTAGCACGAATCTCTCTGCATCAACGATTTTCACTCCCTTTCGCCTTGCTTTTCCAACAAACAACCCATCAATCAATCAATCAATCAATCAACCAACCAACCAAAGCAAAGAGTCAAGTGAAAAAGGCCTCATCCATTTACAACTTGGGGAAGAGCGCTTCACTCTTCAGGTTCAGCTTGGAGCCGCGAGGCTGGTTGCGTCCCTGTCCGCGACGCTCTCCGCGGCGCTCTCCGCGGCGCTCTCCATTGCGTCCCTCTCTCTTCTGCTCTCCGCTTCCCTCGCGGCGCTCCTCGAAGCGGCGTCGTTCGCGAGGCACGAAGTTGCGGGGGGTTCCCTCCACCGCCTGGAAGTTCAGGATCACCTCGGTGGGCTTCTCCTCGGCCTTCACCTTGCGCTCCTTCTTCTTGATTCCCTCCGCCTAGTGCCTCATCGCCTTCGCTCCAGTCCTACCACAAACAGATCCTCCTCGATCTTCTCGATCTTCTCCGTCTTGGGCTCCTCCACAGTGCGAGGAGCCTTCTTGGGAGGCAGATTGCCAAGCTTCGCCTTGCGCATCGCCTCGTACTCTTCCAGGGTGAACACCTCAGGTCTGGGCTCCGTCTCCTTCTCCTCCACTTCCTCCACAGGGCTCGTCTCCAGAGGCTCCGTCTCAGCTCTCCTACAGATAAGCGGTTTCAACGAGTGTTGTGTACAATTGCTCGTTCACATCCTTGGGGTTGCCCCAGTTTCTGTTGCCAGAACCGTTCTTGGGGATCTCGCGACTACGAATCAACCACCACAACTAATCCTTACCCACGACCCGTTCCACTGTGGCGCTCAAACTCACGCTTACCAGGGCGGAGATTCGCCACACTACCTAATCACGAAATACACCTATTCCGTACCGCTTCTCGTTGCCACGGGGCTTCTTCTCGACTTTGGTTTCTTTCACCACAGGAGCGACTTCCTCCTCTTCATCATAGAGGGAAGCAAAACGATTCTCACTAGACTACTCAAAAATGAGCAAAAACAGAACATCAACGCATAAAATCAAATTTCACTTTATGCAATCGTTTATACATACCATCTTTATATAGTAGCAAGTCGAATTAGGACAGAATACCTTCTGCGTGCCTAATCCATAAAGGATGGCACGACGGAATCTGCCTATTGTTAATTTCAAGTATAATTCTCAAACTGAGATTCCACCGATAGTGTTCTGTCTGATAACTACGAGCAGGACTTACGAGAAATTAGAATGGGGATGTGCATGAAGGTGCTTGGTTCGTAGTCTCACCGCGAGTGATGAATGTCAATCTGTATTGTGTGGGAGTGTCACACTCTATCTCAGGGGAGCAGACTAAAGTACCTACACAGAGCCAGAAGGGACATGAACGAAATTATGGAAAAACAGGTACAACCAATTTTGATATGTTTTCTCATGACTATTCTTTCCACTTTTAGAGTAGAGGAAGTAAGTGAGGATAAAACACAATTGCTGAAGTATGTCGTCACGCCGAGAATAAATAGGTATGTGATTGTGTTTCAGTCCATCAGTTTCCTCACTTTTTTGAGAGGAGCTAAGTATGTTATTACCAATTCTTCTTTTGTTTCTCAGTAAGTACACTCTCTTTGCGTAATCGTCCAGGTTTAACCTTTGCTCTGGATTGTGATTCCAGCTCAATCTATGTCACAATTATTAAGAACAGCAAGGCAATGGCGTACCAAGAAACCTTCAATGTCAACTACAATGGAAACGTTTTGGCGTATGGACAGTACGCTGTCGACTACCAGACACAGACGATGGAGTACTGCCTCACGAACTATGACAATGGACGATACAATATTGATATGTCCTGCAATGGTTGCAATGGGTGGTACCCTGGCTCGACAGTGGAGATTCGTGGTGCCTACGGCAACACCTACTTCAAGGGATATCTCCACACTCAATATTGGGAGTCTGTCCAATTCCAAGCCGGGTATTACCTCAAGCGAAATTCGTACTGGATGTTCCGTGTGAACGACGCTCCCGACAACTGGTATGCGAACTCCGTTTCCTCGGAGGGATGGGGTAACACGATCGGTGGAACCATTATCCCCACCTCCACTGGAACGCAGTACTTCCGAATTCAGCTGTGGGGAATGCCCATTGCTGGCTACATGTTCTCGATTCTGTACCAACACGGAATTGTCGTATATGTGAATGGCGCGGAAGTTGCACGTGACCACATGCCCGAGGGACCCATCAACGCCACCACGTACGCTACAGAGAGCTATCTCAGCGCCTCGGAGCACTACTTCATGCGAAACGCGTACGACTGGGGCACCTCCAACAGTCCTGCCTTCGCTGTGGAGCTCCACCTTCCGGAGGGCGTGGAGATGACGAGCCTCGAGTTTGAGGCGTGGCTGGCTCCCATGGGTCAGACTGTGAGCCAGCACCAGTGCCATGGAATCCCGATCGTGCCAGTGATGACTGCCTCCACCGGCGGCTACCCCATGGCGATGTACGATTACAACGACGAGACGATTTTCTCTGCGGACGCTGGCCAGAACGTGACGATCACGTTCTCCTACTCCAATCTCTTCGCGGAGGTGAACGGATTCGAGATCTTCGCTGGAAACTATTACTCCTCGGCCCCGTCGTCGTTCATTTTGTACGGAGTGCGCGGCGAGGAGGAGGACCTTCTGCTGCGCGCGGACGGCCAGTCGTACGACAGCCTGACCACGTTCGTCAAGACGGCTCCTTTCACGATCAAGAACTACAACACGTACAAGCTGCTGATGACTGCTGTGGGCTCGAGCCAATACACGCTCCCTGAGGTGCGACTGATGGTGTGCAACCTGGCCACGCCCACGGAGATGCGCTACACGCCGGACTCGTTCGAGGTGTACGCTCAGTTCGAGAGCGTGACCCCCATGCTCAACAGCCAGGGATTCTCGTCGTGCTCGGCCTCGCCCGCGCTCCCGGAGGGTGTGACGCTGGACAGCGAGACCTGCCAGATTTCCGGAAAGCCGCAGGTGGCGTTTGAGGAGACAGAGTTCACGATCACCTCGACGAGCGGAATCGGCTACTCGGCGACGATTCGGATCAAGTCCAAAGTGTGCGAGCAGAACATGATCCAGCTGAAGCGAACGTACAAGTCCAACGCCTCGCGCGAGAGCTATACGATCACGAACGAGGCGGGCGAAGTGGTGCTGGACGAGCCCGCGAACTCGGGACAGACCTCATACACAGTGAAGTATATGTACCTGTGTCTTCCGGATGGCCGCTACAAGCTGTCGCTGGACGTGGAATCGGCGGTGTACTGGTACAGCGAGTCCTACATCGAGCTCTTCAAGGTGGTGCAGTACAACGAGTACGAGCAGATTCTGCGAAGCCGCTACGACAGCCATCTGCATCTGCCCACGGTGTACTACTTCGACGCGCACTATCTCGTCAAGGGTCTCCAGCAGTGGTACTACAAGATGGGATCCGTGCCCAGCCAGTGGTACAATTCCAACGTGGACGGATGGAGCCAGGGCGCGCGCGGCTCGTTCCCCGCCTCCTCCAACGCCATCCAGCTGTACAAGAAGACCTTCAATGTGGGCTCCTTGCAGCACGCCTCTGCGTTCACCATCGCCATTCGCTATCTCTATGGCTGTGTCGTGTATGTGAACGGAATCGAGGTGTTCCGGAACCGCGTCACGGGCGATCTCTCGGACGCCTCGACCTCCTCCGGCTACTACTCCGGCTCTGCGATCTACCACAAAGTCTCGCTGCCCGTCACGACGTACGCGCTGGACGGCGAGAGCGCGCAGCACTATTTGGTGGCGGGTGAGAACACGATCGCCATCGCCCTGGTGGCCAACTCGGCGCAGCAAACCAACTCCGATTTCGATGCAACGGTGTATTTGGTGGACGACCCGACGAGCAGCCGCTCGTTTGACTATACGATCACGTGCTCCGGCATGTCGGGCACCTGCTCGTATCTGTGGAACGACAACTACAAGAACACGGTGTACCGTACTTCCACGTCGTGCGTCGATAACGAATCGGTTATCAAGTTCAAGGACGACCGTCGCGAGTGGATCGGCAGCTACTCGCTGACGCTGGAATACAACCAGTCGAACCGCCATGTGAACAGCTTCCAGCTGTTCGCGCGGAACGACGGCGACGCGGAGTGGACGCAGCTCGACGTGCAGACCGGCTGGCAGTACTGGGAAGTGGGCCAGACGAAGAAGGCCTATCTGCGGAACAACAAGCCCTACAACCAATACAAGTTCGTGAATTTCAAGAACGACGGCGAGGACTGTTCGTGGAAGCTCGCCAACGCCGGAATCTACACGGAGCAGACCGACCTCGAGGTGCCGGAGCTGAGCTATTCGGAGATTTCTGTGTACAAGGACATCGAGATGGCGGAGGAGTTCCCGTCCAGCGAGCTGTACTACAACTTCCGCGTGGAGCCTGCGCTCCCCTCGGGCATGAAGATCGACCCGCCTTCGGGTGTGATCATGGGCACGCCGCGCGAGATCACGAGCCAGCAGGACTACACCATCACCGCGTATCGCTACAACGGACCGGAAGCGACCGCGGTGACGTCGATCTGCGTGGATCGCTGCTACGGAGGCAAGTCGCTGATCACCGTGAAGATCCGAACGGACTCCAGTCCCAGCACGATCGGCTATCAGATCTTCGAGGGCCGCGGCGTGGAAGGAAACATTTATCGAGAGCTCTTCGGGCTCCCCGCGTCCTCGAGCCTGTTCTACGTGGACTCGTGCGCGCCGCACGGCATTTACACGCTGCAGACGATGGACGACTCGACGACGGGCTGGAGCACGCCGGCCGGGTACATGCTGACCGTGGACATCGGCGAGCTGGTCTTCGACCTGAACCAGATGCCCACGAGCTCCACGAAGGCCAAGCAGACCACCGTGTTCTATTCGTTCCTGCCCTTCCAGATGGAGTTCGACGCCTGGAGCGTGTGGAACGTGAAGGACAGCGTGCCTTCCAACTGGCTGGACACGACCTACGAGGTCACCTCCACCTGGAAGTCGCTGATCTCCGCCGAGATCACCAAAAGCGAGAGCGCGACGTTCTACGTGCGCCGCGCCTTCGAGATCCCGCACCTGTCCGAGGTGTCTGTGCTGAACGTGCGCATCCGCTTCACGGGCGGTTTGGTGGGCTACTTCAATGGCCGTCGCATGGTGCGATTCAACATGCCCGACGCGTTCAACCTGGAGACCGAGGCGCTGGCTCCGCGCAGCGCGGACAAGGTCTCGAAGTTCCACATCGTGCTGTCCACGGTGGGCGCCGTGAGCGAGACCAACGTGATCGGGTTTGAGATCCACCGCGCTCCGGGAGCGAAGCTGAGCGACCCGGTGGCGTTCGGCGCGACGGGCGTGTTCGGTGCGCAGGAGTGCTCTCCGATCGTCAACACGTTCGAGTACGCGAACGTGACCTCGCTGTCCACGGGCAAGCTGGAGTCGCTGTTCGACATGGATGTGACGACCTACGCGAGCTTCACCAACAGCAAGTCGTTCGTCCTGCAGTGGCAGTTCGAGAACCAGGATCCGGTGCGGTTCAACGGCTACGCGTTCCAGCCGGGCACGTCGTTCTCTTCGTTCGGCTGGTCGCTGTACACGCGCGAGCTGGACGAGGACGACTGGAACCTCGCGCACCAGACCAACGCGGAGTCGCTGACGCAGCGCGTGCGCAAGGAGTTCTCGAGCGTGGGGTCGATGCTGGGCCACCGCAACTACCAGCTCCGAATCGACGACACGGCGAGCTCCACGCCGCGGATCTACGAGTTTTTGTTCCTCTACTGCAAGGCGTCGGGCAACTACTGCGAGGGCGAGGGCGACTATCCCCCCGTGGCGGAGGGCAGCATCTCGCCGTCGGTTTGCCCGGACGGCTTCATCGGCTACACCTACCGCGAGTGCGCGAACGGCAAGCTGGGTCCCCCCAAGACCGACCAGTGCCGCTACAAGATCCCCACGGATCTGCTGTACCCGACGGCGTCGTACACGTTCGTGATGGACACGGAGGTGAGCACCGGAGTGCCCACGTACAAGAACATCATCCAGTCGTTCTTCCTGGACGAGCACGTGTACCTGCCTCTGGGTCTGGAGCTGGACCCGAAGACCGGCGAGATCCACGGCGTGCCGATCGAGGAGCAGACGATGACGGCGTACACGATCTACGGCAAGAACGAGCGCGCGGCGACCATGTTCGTGCTGAGCATCCAGGTGCGGAAGGGCGTGTGCATCGGCACGGGATTCTTCCCGACGACGCAGGTGGGCAACGTGGCGACCTACGACTGCTCGCTGCAGGGAAGCTTCGTGGGAACGCAGAAGTGCGCGTGTCTGCTGGGAGAGAAGGACGGAGAGTGGCAGAAGATCACCGGAATGTGCTTCTCGACCTCGATGATCGTGATGCTGATCGTGATGTTGTTCATCGTGCTCGTCGTTGCTCTTTTCTTTGTGATCCGGTCTTCGAGACGTGCCAAGGCTGTGGGAGGAATCAAGAACAAGCCAGCGGTGTTGAAGAAGGGTGGTAGTGCGTCTCCAGCCAAGAAAACCATGAAAGTTTAATAGGTCTGTTTATTGCTGTGATTATTGTTGTTTCCCTGTTTGTTGGAAATTCGAATCGAGGGAAAACGGAATGAAGGAGAGGTTCTTCCATCAGCACAGTTTCAAAAGTTGCACTTTTGTTGGCAACGATCGTGGTGTACTGTGTCCAACAGTGTGGAGAGTGAATTTTATTAGGAATTCTGCGTTAGAATAAAAAAAGATTATGACAGTATCTTCTTTCTGGAGAAAGGGACTAATTTTTAGGAAAACAGCAAGGATAATACTGCTCCAAAGAAGAATCACCGTAAAACGGCAACTGATAAAGAGCAGCAGCCTATTGAAAAGAAGCCCGTGGTAAGATGTTTTGGGGGCGGACTGGACTAATGGTGTAGGCTGATCATGGAAAGGACAAAGATTTACCCATCAAGCCAAATAAGTAGGTTTTGCATGAAGGGAGGTGAATGTTTAGGAAGGCAAAGAGCGCTCTTAACGAAACAACCGAAAAGGTACGTCCTGCTCGCACTTGTATCTAAATTAACCTTTGTATAGAAAGAAAAGAAAGTAGCAATGGTAAAGCACTCCGAAGGTGTTGCCGCGCGGACGATAGCCAAGCGGAACGAAAAGAAGGCGAAAGGAAAGAAAGTAGGTTATCGAGCCTTGGATCACGTGTAGGGAAAGCAGACGAAGAGCGAAGAGGACGGAAATCTGTCCGAGAGCGGGAAACAAAAGGAATCCGAACTAAAACTCGAAACTGAGGTCAAAACCGTCGGCAGCGTCGACAAAGAGAGCGACACTCCCTCCGTTCTGAAAGGAGAGGACGCGTCCTCGCTCTCTGGCCTAAAAAAGACGGAGGAAGAAGTCTTGGATGATGGTATGTTTTCATGTCGGCTCTCACCCCTAGATGAAGTGTACCCGTACTACCAGTACTCCCCACTCCGCATTTTAACGCCCTAGCAAGTACCCAACGCTTTTCGCCGTGCTGATTCCGGACAACAAATCACGTGACATCATCTACGTCAACAAGCGTATCTTCAGCATCGCGCGGCGGCGCAACGCGGACTACGTCGTAGCCCGTCCCCTCTCCACGTCATCTCTAGATCGCGGACCAGCGCGTGAGCATCGACGGCATCAAAATCACGGTGAACATCGAGTTCGACCAGGCGGAGATCGCCGCGCGGCGCTACTCCTCCTCGCAAGTCCTCGTGAACGACTCCATCCGGCTGGAGTACGTCTGGCTCACGCTCATGAACGGCGACACGCTCACCTTCAGCGACGGCAGTCGCTACACCTTCTACAACCTCTACAACGTGCACGAGATCGACGAGATCCCGGTGGGCGCGGACGCGTACATTCGCTACTGCCGACGCAACATGATCGACGAGGACAACAAGCTGCGCGGCGAGGTGCAGCTGCTCAAGTCCCCCATGGACTTCGACACCATCCAGAGCTCCGAGGCCGCGCTTCACCGCGGGGAGGACGAGATCAACACCGAGTCGATGATGGACGACGAGGAGGACGACGACATGGACTCCAGTGCGTTCATTATCGGGCCCGGACTGCTCCCTGCGGCGCTCTCCGCGGTGCGCAGCGCGCCGGAGATCCCCGCGGTGCCCGAGCCGCTGGACGAGATCACGCCGGAAGTGTCGGAGCCGGAGACGAAGGAGCTGAAGGAGACGAACGGGATCGCGAAGATCCAGAAGGAGATTTTGGACCATGTGCAGGAGCTGAACTCGAAGGTGAGCGAGTGGGCGGCGCCGGACGAGCTGGGGCCGCGCCGAGCGGCGGGAACGGGTGCAGCGAACCCGTTCGATGATGGGGACGGGGCGCTGATGGAGGTGGAGAAGAAGGACAAGATGAAGCTGAAGACGGTGCTGGACGAGAAGAGGAAGAAGCGGTTGGCGCTGCCCGGGAAGGGCGGGTTCGCGAAGAATATGATCGTGTTCTCGCCGAATTCGCGGCGGAATACGCACCAGCATTTGCTGATGCGGAGGAAGCTGGCGGCGGGGGATGGGAAGCCGGAGACGGCGCAGTACGACAACGAGACGTATGTGCTGTATCGAAGCAAGAATAAGTTGATGCCTGCAGCGCATGATGTGTATGATGTGAGGATGAGGAATGGATGTGATGGGCAGATTATTATCGATACGTATTGCCGAGACATGATGGAAGGAATCGATATGGACGACATTCGAGCGTGGGCGATGCGATGGGGAGTGAAGAGATAGGATTTTGACGCAGAACTCGAAGAACCAGAACACGAATTATCGCAAATTGTTCAAAGAAACGCTGGAGAACGATATGATCACGTACGAGAAGAACCAGGTGTGTGCAGAGAGAGAGAGGGGAGTAATGGGTAGACGACGTTTGCGAATTGTGGCTATTACATCACGGAGTCGTTTCAGAAGTATTGCAGTTTGCTTTTCAAATCGTACATCGACAACCCCAAATATCGCGAGCAGCACAAAAACGGAGGCACTACCTTCAACTACATCCCGCAGTTCGTTCGCATGGACTGCGAGAACGGCCGTCAGTACATGACCAACATCGTTCTCTCCCTCGCCAAGGTCCACAAAGCCGACGTGATGGTTCGCCTCTTTTCGCTTTCGTTCACTCCTTCTAGTTGTTCAACTTCGATAAGAACCTGCTCATCGAGGGAACGCCGCTCTGCTACCGCAAGTATCTCTTCGGACTGTTCCCCAGCACCATCCACATCAAGCCGGCCGCGCAGCTGGTTCCGAAGAAGCAGCCGCCGGTGAAGGACCGCTACGACAATTCCTTCGATATGATCATGAACGACGACTCGCTGTTCTCTCTCTACGACGACATTCGCTATTTGAATCCGGAGGAGGACGAGAACGGCTTCGAAGAGGAGGGCATGGAGGAATCCATGGAGGACGAGAGCTTCGACCACGCCGCGGACCGCGTGGCGGACGACGCGAGCAGCACGGAGAAGGGCGATTTGAAGGACGAGGACGACATTATTGAGGGCGATATCGTGGTTGTGACGCCGCCTTCCAACGAGGGATTTTTGTTCATGAAGAGCAAGCGCGCGTACCGCCCGGTGACCGTGCATTACCCGCGTTCGCTCTCGCTGAAGTCGCTGCCCGAGCCCAACGCGCACAAGGAGAAGGAGCGTCGCGCGGTGGTGGTGAAAGTGATCGGGACGGAGCGCGTAGCGTCGAGCTCCCTGCCTCACACCTAGCTGATTATTAAGTATCTGGACAAGGACGAGAGCGAGGATCGCCAGCACTCGCTTCGTCTCGCGCGCCACTCCATCGATCTCGGCGAGAAGCTCCATCTCGGCGGGTCGGAGCTGGACGGGAAGAAGCGCGGGAAGTACCAGTCGCTGGCGCGCAGCCTACACGCGTGTCAGCGAAGCCAAGTCCACAAGTGGGTCGACGAGGACGACCAGAAATTCTTGCTGATGAAGTGCGTCAACGACGTAGGAAGCAGGGCGCTGGACTGACCCCAAGGTTCTCAACGAGCGAAACGAGAAATACGAGAAGCGATCGAACAAGTCGGACGCCAAATCGGACGCCAAATCGGACGCCAAATCGGACGCCAAATCGGACGCCAAATCGGACGCCAAATCGGACGCCAAATCGGACGCCAAATCGGACGCCAAATCGGACGCCAAATCGGACGCCAAATCGGACGCAGGATCTTCCGAGAACGCTCCGTAGCCTCTTGCTCCCTTTCCTTTTAATCCGCAGCAATCCGCTGTTCATCGTCTTCGAGGACGCGCCTGCGATCATTCGCCGTCGCAACGCGAACATCCTGCAGCTGCTGAACATCCACGAGAAGGTGTTCCACTTCCCGATCTTCGTCATCCTCACGGAGAAGTCGCGCGCGCGCCAGCAGCCGGTGCACAACGACATGATGATGATCGGCGGGCTGAACATGAACGTGATCATGGGCGGCACGTTCCACCCGCGCACCGACAACCGATCGCACATCGAGCAGTACTTCGACAACGTGATGGAGAAGAGCTTCGTGCTGCCCTACCCGGGCGGAAAAATCACGGTGCCGAGCGACATTATGGTGATCGACGTGCCGGTGCCGCAGGACACCAAGTTCAAATACTCGTACGAGAAGCGCGTGGAGGAGGACGAGAAGCTCGCCATGCGCAACAAGCACATCAAGGAGCTCGAGTTCTTCTTGCGCGCACATCACTTGTACTGCCCCGAGACGCGGAGCGTGCGCTACCTCGATCTGAAACGCATCAAATACTGGCTGCCGATCATCCGCATGGCGTACTCGCTGCAAGTCTCCGCGGGAATGACCTATCTGAAGGAGCAGGATATCTACGACGTGTACAACAAGAGCAAGGACACGATCACGCGCACCGGCAAGCCCGTGTACGTGAGTGAGAACGCGGGCGACACGCTGTACGGCGTGGTGAGTCGCAAATGCATCGAGTTGGCGCTCAAAGTCGCGTACAACACGCAGAAAGAGGCGCAGCCCGACACTTCGCAGGAGGTTCGATTCGAATTCGACGGTGACGCGTGTAGATCCGGTGCAAGAACGAGAGCGAGCGCCGACTGATCCACAACGGCTCGTTCATCTCCCCGAACAACATCACGGTGGGCTTCGACGACGTGGGATCCCTCGAGAACGTCAAAGCCAAACTCCGCGTATTTCCTTTCTCTCTTTCTCTTGCTCATCCTCTAGGAAGCGATCATTCTCCCGCTTCGTCGCCCCGAGATCTTCGCGCAGTCGTCTCTCCTCAAGAGCTGCAAGGGATTGCTGCTCTTCGGACCGCCGGGCACCGGCAAGACGATGCTGGCGAAGGCGCTGGCGCGCGAGAGCGGCGCCAACTTCCTCAGCATCGCCACCTCCACGATCTTCAACAAATACGTGGGCGATTCCGAGCAGAACACGCGTGCCATCTTCACGCTGGCGGCGCGGCTGTCGCCCTGCGTGATCTTCATCGACGAGATCGACTCGCTGCTGAGCTCGCGGCAGTCGTCCGACAGCAGCGAGGAGTACACGCGGAAGGTCAAGAACGAGTTCATGGCCAGCTGGGACGGGCTCATGACCGACGAGAACCTCCGCGTGGTGGTGATTGGCTGCACGAATCGGCCGTTCGACCTGGACGACGCGGTGCTGCGGCGCTTCTCGCGGAAATTGCTGGTGGATTTGCCGGATGCGGAGCAGAGAGAGAAGATTCTGAAGGTAATCCTGCGCAAGGAGAAGCTCAGCGACGACGTGGACTTGAAGGCCATCGCGAGCGACTCCATGACCAAGGGATTCTCCGGAAGCGACTTGTATAATCTCTGCCAGACCGCCGCGTACATGCCGATTCGCGAGATCGTGGCCAGCGAGGAAAAGGACCCTGCGGTGAACCAGAAGCCGAAGATGGATAGCATGGGCCTGCTTTCGCTGGAGGACGACGACAGCGACGCCATGGAGGTCGAGGAGAAGAAGGAGGTGACCGTGCGGCCGCTGCAGATGAAGGACTTCGAGAAGGCGTCGAAGGAAGTGGGGACAGGGAGAGGAGTCGAGCGTAGATCACGTTTAGCTTCGAGGAAAGCAACACGGTGATTCGAGCCATTCGGGAGTGGAACGAAAAGTACGGAGACAGCGGATCGAGAAAGTCAGACGACCTGTCGTATTACATTTAAGGGATCGCTTTGTTTGTTGTGAAATAGCTCGAAAAGATGTTGGTCGCATCTGATTGGCCGGTGGGGGTGGTAAAAATTGCCATATTTTTGCGTTAAACGCAGCTGAAAAGGTAAAATACGACCGTTTAAAGAAGCTCTATCGAGTGTCCTATCGAGGACCTTTGGATCAATTCGTTCCTTAGGGATAAAGCGAGCAGGAAGCGACCTCATTTTTTCGTGTGTTCCCAGGTATGCTATGGTCACAGATTTATTATTCTCTATAGAGCAAACAACTCATGGCCTCATTGCGGTCTCTGCAACAAGAAGATCACTCTTGACAAGGAAATATTCATGTAAGCGGTTCAAAAATTTGATGATTGGCAGGTTTGGAGATACTCCTTTTTGCTCGGAGAATTGCAGAGCCGCTGCAATTACGGCAGCAAAACATCTTTTAGCTAATTGATTTACTATTCCCTCAGGAATGTTTATAATTTTCCAAATTGTTCTATAATAAGTGTGTCCCTAAAAGTTCATTCGAACTTGTTTGTTGAATATAGGTTTGCAAATGGACTTCCTATGCCTTATGGGGAAGGGTGGTCCGTGGGGTGAATGGATTCTTCAAAAGATATTCAAAAAGAGGAGTGGAAGTGGTGCGCACCATTTCCACTCCTCTTTTCTGTACGGATTTCTCCTTCTTGTCATTTTATGTTCCGATCTGTTATTTCTCGTCACAAAGTTCTCTCGGTTCTCACTCTTGGCGCTGCTGCGTCTGCGCTGCCATTGGTGAAAGAAGAAAATCGGTTTTTGCTAATTACGCAGTTTTTGATCTCTAGTGTAAAAGTGCAAGACTTTGGCATCCGTTTACACCGCACCACCTACTTTGCAAGGACTGTGGGTTCGATTATATTCGATTACTGGTGGTCTTTTCGCAATCTAGAGGATGGCACACCCGAAGAACAAGAAATGGAACACATTGTGAATCAACGGAGTGCTGAACACCTTTTCCGAATGTGCGAGTATGGATTTGGATCGGCTGTGACCTGTAGCCATCTAGGAGGGTACTTTGCCAAATTTGGTCAAATCATTTCAACTTTTGATAAGGGTGTTCCTCCCGAATATGTAGAGGTGCTGAAGCAATGCCAAGTCGCAGCAGTGCACTCTCCTAATCTCTAGGATCGATTAACCCCCACCTCCTTTTCTGTGTTTGAGCGTACTCTGAAAGAGGACCTCGGAGTTAATTCCCAATCCATTTTCCGCGACGTGGACGAGAATCCCGTCGGCTGCGCCTCCCTCGCCCAAGTTCATCATGGTCATTTAGTCACGGGCGAGGAAGTCGCCATCAAGATCCAGTACCCCACCGTCGCCAAGAATACGCAGACGGATCTCCGAAACATCGAGCTGGCGACGCGCATCTGCGAGCGCCTGTTTCCCCGCTTCCAATACTCCGTACGCGTTTAATTTTCTTTCCTCATCGCAGTGGATCGTTCCGAAAATCCGCGCGACGGTCGAGCGCGAGTTCAACTTCCTCAGCGAGGCGGAGAATCTTCGCGACTGCCGCGCGTTCTTCGCGGAAACGCCCTCGGTGTACGTGCCGAAGCCGTATTTGGAGCTGTGCACGAAGCGGATCGTGGTGATGGAGTACATCCACGGCACCAAAATCAGCGACGTGGCGGCGCTGGAGCGCGAAGGCTTCGACAAGACGGAGATCGGACGGATCTGCGTGCAGGCGTTCAGCGACATGATCTTCCGGTTTCATAAGCTGCACATGGATCCGCACTCCGGAAATCTGATGGTGCGACGCATCCCGGGGACGGAGAAGCCGCAGCTGGTGCTGCTGGACCACGGGATGTACATGTATTTTGGCGAAGGGTTCAATGAGAACTTCCGAAAACTGTGGTTTGCGATGATCAACCAGGATAAGGAGGCGATTGTGGAGGCGAGCAAGGTGTGGGGCGTCGAGAGAGAGGCGGAGCTGCTTCCGATGATCTTCACGGGGCGAACGACGCGAATGCGGAATAAACTGGGCGAGGAACTGACCGAAGAAGAGATCCAGAAGGTCCGGATGAAGATGATCGAGCGAATGCAGCACGCGGATAAGAAGAAAATGGAGGAGCGGATGCAGCGGATGCAGGAGTTCGTGAAGAGCCTCCCGTTGGAGCTTTTCTCGGTGATGCGCGTGCAGATTATGGTCGGGATGGGGGAGAGGAGTGAGGAGTAGATGCGGGGATTGCTCCGCCAGCTGGGCATTTCCGAGAACGAGCGGCTGATGGGGATGACGGATGCCGCGATCCGAAGCATGTACGTGGACACGGAGAACCGCACGTCGTATTTCGGGATGGTCCGCTGGATTCTGTACAAGTGGTTCTTGCAGCTGCGGTTGTGGTGGGGCGATCTCTTCACGGATTGGTACTATCGATGGTATCTGAGCCAGCAGAAGGAGTTGTTCTTCTCGCTGGACGAAGGAGAGGCGAAGACTTCGAAATCGGAATCAGAATCGGATACGAAATCGGATCCAACTCCAACTCCAACTCCGGAAGTGGCAGTCAATGCATCGCAATGAACAGTTCGGTAGTTTGTAGATTGTATTATTATTATTTCATATTTGTTGCACACAAACAAGTCAACCAATAACCAATTACAAGCTATTATGTTTCTTGCTCATTTCCTTGATTTACTTTACTTCTCCTCGGGAATGGGCAGAGGCGCAATTCCGGACTGGAAGTGGCGCAGGCGCAGCTCGGCTCCACGGACCACCGCCACGGGGTGAATCTCCTTGCGAGCATCATACACGGCCTTGCAGGCCTTGGCAGTGTAGTTGATGTGCGAATCGTTCAGCTGGTTGCGAGGCACGGCGAATCGCACCAAGTTCAGCACTCCCTTCTGCTCCTCGGGAGTCTTCTGATCGTACTCGAAGGCGAACGGACCCAGCTCGCAAGCGCGGATTCCGTAGTTGCGCAGCAGCTCGATGCAGAAGCCCACTCCGGGGAAGGCGAGAGGAGTCATGTAGGGGATTCCCTTGAAGAACTCGTCCATGTTCAGGTACACGGCGTGGCCTCCAGCGGGCAGCACCACGGGCAGGCCTTCCTTGGCGAACTCCTCGGCCAGGCGGCGCACCTGATCGATGCGGCGCTTCAGGTAGGTGTGCTTCTGGACCTCGAAGAGACCCACAGCGCAGCACATCACGTCACGGCCGCTGAGTCCTCCGTACGAGTCGTTTCCGTACTGAAGAATCTGCTGCTCCTTGATGCGCGTTCCGATCTGGACCTTGTCGGTCGAGAACTTCTGCGAGAACACGCCGCGATCACGGAAGGCGAGCAGACCGCCGATGTTCACCAGACCGTCCTTCTTCAGGGACATGGTGAAGCAGTCGCAGTACTGGAAGCACTCCTTCAGAATGCGAGGAATCGACCAGGTCTTGTACGGCTCCTCGAACTCCTGAATGAAACGCGCGTTCTCCACGCATCGGCAGGCATCGAACACCAGCGGCAGGTTGTACTTCTTGCAGATGTCGCTCACCTCCTTGATGTTCTTCAGCGACACGGGCTGACCGGCTCCCGTGTTGTTGGTGATCGTCAGCAGCACGAAGGGAATCGTCTCCACGCCCTTCTCCTGGATCACGGCCTCCAGACCCTCCAGGTCCATGTTGCCCTTGAAGGGGTTCTCCGTCCACATCTTCTCCACGGGGAACGGGTCGTACAGGTTCTTCGAGAACAGATTCACCGGCTGGAACAGGTTGTTACGAGCGTTTCCCTCGGTGGTGTCGAAGAATCCGTTGCTGGGGATCGTGTACTTCACCTTGTCGCCAGTGCGCTCCATCAGCACCTTGCGCACCGACTGGTACAGAAGGTTCTCAGCGCAACGACCCTGCGGGCAGATGAAGAAGTTGGGGCGCTCCAGCTGGAACACTCCTCCGTTCACAAAGCCTCCCTCGCAAGGCTCCAGGAGCTCCTTGATCAGCTCCTCGTTGGTGGCCTCGTCGGTCAGCACCTTGTACACAAGTCTTCTCTGCTCATCACCACGCTCGAACAGATCACGCGCAGCATCCAGAAGGCAGTAATATCCATGATTACGACCGTAAGCTTCATCTCCACGCATCAGAGCACACCACTGAATATCGGTCATCGAGGAAGAACCAGAGTCAGAAAGATAGTCGACAGTGATAAGGGGAGAGGGGAAAGAGAACATGTTGTACTCAGTCTTCTCCAAAACCTCACTACGTTCTTCGACGGTGCAGTCACTACAAATCAGGGGCAGATCCAACCAAGTACCGAGTGTTTCTCACAACGTACTGCAGAGCAGTGGGGACAGCGCAATTAAGTTCAGATGCAGGAACGAAAGGCATTACTCAAATGTGTAGATATAAAGAAATAATGATTCTTCTTTCAAGATACCAAGTGGTAACCGTAGAAACACTATTAATGAGAGAATGAGACCCAATTTCTTGGACAAAATACCATATTTTTAGGGTGCATAATATAGCAATTAAGAAAATGATTCCTAATTCGGGGACATAATACGTCATGCTATGAAGGATTATGTGATTTTGTTGTGGGAAATATTGCAGATGGGCTAAGCAGTGACCAAGAATCACGCTGTCGACGTATATTGTAAAGTCAAAAGTCCATTAATTATCATTGTTAGGATGGAAAACAAACGATCTAATGGCGGTTTCTGATAGAGCAGCAAATATATATTACAACGAGCCTATGTACAACACACACTTTTTTGACAAGTTTACAGTTTATCGTGATATCTCAGAAAATTAGAGCGCTTTCATGGATCCTTACAAATAGAATGCAGTTGTTGAAAAAAAGTGATCGCAACGTTAGGTTCGTTTAATCCTATTTGATGTAATATGGTGATATAATGTGTACTGCCATGACAATGCCATGCTTCTTTTCGTCAAAGAGACAATTCACAACCATTACGATAGATATTGATTTGGAGCTCTGCAATATGTTGAAACACTCAAAATCTTTTGATTTAGAAAAGATTGCTGAGAAGTGTACCATAAAAGACACAATCAAGAAAACCAGAAATAATCACTCTCACATGAATGCATTCATCTTAAGTGATTGATCGCTTGCCTATAATCTATAAAAGAATAGTGTCATGTCAAGACATGTCGAAAAACACGGATCTAAGATATGTAGCATGTGAACTATCCTCGAATTTGTGCATCCTATAAAGAATCATATTGTATAGTATTAGGGTGGATGTGTATACAGAGAACAAACACTCTTCATAATAGAAGAGTAAAACCTAAGCACTCCAAAAAAAATCAAAATAACACAGTACTTGTTACAATTAAACAAACATACATACATACTTACAAAACCAAAACTAACAACAACACTTTTTCTTATCTTCCGGAGGATTCTCAGTGAGAGGCACCTTGATACTATCATTGATAGAGACGCCGTAGTTCTGAACAGCAAAATTCGCTGTTTCATTATGTCGCTTGATAATGCTGTTCGACATCTCAGTAAACAAATCATTGACTCCAGTTCCATCCTTTGCAGAGGTGTAGAAAACTGGCGCTCCGATCTTATCCGCATACTGCTGAACGTGCTCTCGATCAATTCCACGATTCAAGTCGATCTTGTTACACACCAAAAATAGAGAAACTAAGCACTAACACACAGTAACCGATATTGTACATTGCCGACCGACGTTATTCTGCTGAAGATCACAAAGCCAATTATCCAAGGAGTCCATTGTATCGGGTTTCGATGCATCAAATACAAGGATAGCTAAATATAGCAAAACAATCATGCGTGCCCACCTCCATCTACATCTTTGTAGTACACCGAAGTCATTGGCAGAAATGCATCCTGACCTGAACATTATCGTATGAAGACCCATTTATACCTGCAGTATCCCAAATCTTCATCGTATTGACGACATTACCACACGTCAGTGTTTTCATCAAAAAGGAAGCTCCAATCGTCGCAGAGGAGTGCTCAAAGAATTTTCCACGAATATAACGGATAGACAGGCAGGTCTTACCCACATCTAAAAACTAATGCTCTCTGCATTAAATTACCCGGGGGACCGATAACCACGATTTTCGATTCAATCGAGTTCATCAAAATACAGAGAATATGAAACCTATTCCGAAAAAAAACATCATAGTATTGGAAATCCAAATTTTGGTTCATTTCCTGTACAATGTGGAAAACCGTGCTAGTAAAGTTCCCGAGAGTGCAGCTACGCCGCTTTGCATCCGCTAAGCAAGGAAAGTTAGAAATTCCTGTATTGCCTCTGGTGGTTGAAAGTGAGTGAATGCAATTTATTTGATGTAGATAGCAACATACAGCATGCTACTGAATTATTAAGTCAAAGTAGCAAAGTGATTTACAATGTTCAGAGTTTTTTGTTTTTCCTTTTGAATACATAGTGGATAGAGATATTTCTCACGATAACTATCATCTGTTCTTAGATGCTTGTAGGAAGAGCAATTCTGTTTCAATCAACGGTCTGGCGCTTTATGGCATTGCTTTTATGTGCATTATGAGTGTAGGAATCGCTATGAATGCCGATCTGTGGAGCGATCTGCTCACTACTTTGAAATCACCTGCATTTTCGTTGCTCCGTGACCTAAATCTAACCCGTCCTCGTGCTTTGCGTTCTTTAGAACTAGAAACCGGTCTGACTCCCCAGACCTTTTCTTCCGTACTTGAAACACTCCTCTCTGCATCGATCCAGTTGCATTTTATGGAAATCGACTGTTTCCTATGATCCTCTCTCTCTCTCAAATAGCGAATCACCTCAACGGCGCTTTAGGCGATTTACGCCCTTTTTCGTCCGTTTTTTCCACAGTGAAGCAGCTTTGTCTTGATGGTACTCCCAGACGCATCGTTACACGCAGACTTGGAACTGAGCGATGCGTCGCTGAATTCTCTTCTTCCTCTCTTTGAATCACACAGTCTCTCGAATCTAGAAGTCTTGTATTTACGAGGTATATTCAATCACTCATTCATTCGAGTGACGGACTTACACACAGAGAATAAACTCCACGATGTCACATTAAAAGCACTCTTTCCTTTGCTCGATGATCAGTGCAAATCACTTCACACTTTAGGAATGTCATGTCGTATTGCAGAGCGGCATTCAGTTTAGATAATCCTTTTTCTGCAGAAGGAGTACGATTCCTTATTCAGCAATTCAAGCAAGATCGTTGTTCCTCTTTGAAGGAGCTCCAACTGGACCGTAGTGCATTTTCAAAGGAGTAATTTGGTAGTTTCAACGGTCAAAGATGCGCAGCTCATGCATCAACTCATGCTCAGCTTCTGTAAAGGAAGTGAGCCTTTAAATCGGGAATTTATTGAGCTTGGGATATTCAACCGCGAACCCGAAGTTGAAGAAGATGATGATTCTATTTGTTTAGATGATAGTTTTTGAGATTTTGCTTGTTTTTTGCACAAGCGATTATTTTGGATTTCACTCTTTTGATAAATACTCACAGATTTAAAAGAAAAGTAATGCAGAAGCGAGAAAGAGTTGATCGAGAGAAGGTACTCACTGAGAATGCTCGAATAAAGACTAGGTGTGTCCATTTCTGATTCGTGTCTTCATTCGTAAAAATGAAGTGTTCAGGTAGATTTTTGTCTGTTTTATGAGCTGATGAGATAGAGAGTCTGAGTTTTCTTCTCGCGGAGTCGTACCTCGTGATTGCGAGATTAATATACACACATGGTAATCAATTCGTGTTCTTTATGATTATTCAGGAAAGATGCCACATTGAAAGAGCTTTGCTCGCTGCTAAAACAAGTAAACGAAGATTCCCGAAGAAGAACATCGACTCTTGAGTTTAGCTCATGGTAGTTTCTGATTAAGACATTATTGACGTGCAGTTTCTATAATCGTGATGGACAGTTCCAGTTTCGTCGTTTAGGAAAGGTTTGCGCAGCCAAACCTAGTATGGATGATCGTTTAACACTGGAAAGCTGCCGTTTCCAACCAGGTGATCACTTATGTGTGGTGATTCGTGATCGGGACTACTAATGTTTGATATATCACTTGTTTGTTAGAAACTCTACTATTGAGCCTCTCAATGAATCCATTTGACCAAGTGAGAAAAGTGAGTTTGGAAGAAAATGACGACACGGATGTAGATCGTCTAATGGAAGCTCTGGTTCCAGCTTCTGAATCTAGCTCGAGTTCAAGCTCGACAGAAATTCGCGAACTGCAAGATGTTCCAATAGCGAACGATATCTCCAAGATTAATGAAATACGCAAAACTGTTGACAAAATTGGAGAACACAACAAGAAACTGGAAATCATACTACAGCAGTATGAATCGGCTACAAATCCGGATGAGAAGATCGCGTTGCAAAAGCAGATATCGCATATGATTCACCAAACTAACACAATTGCTGCGAACGGACGAGTAACTTTTTGTTTTATTACTCTACTATACTCCAGTTTTCGTTACAAACACTCAAGCTTCACTACAACAAGTTAACTCGTGATGTTGCTACAGCAAGTGTTTACAAGTATTGCCTTTTTACCCATTATTATGTGTAGTTTATATTCACAGTCGTACTCATCGATTGCTCATACATTCATCGAGCACATCACAAAGTACCAGAAGCTGCAGCAACGATATGCTTCAATTTTGGAATCACAATACTCCCTATCTTCTTTCATATCAGAGTCTTCCACAGAAAATGAGAACCAGCAGCTGGTATATATCTTTTCTGTGTGACATGTTATGTTAGCAAGCAACGAGTACAGTTCCACATCAACTGATCGAGGCATGTGTGGAAAGCCAAATGCAATACCGAGTAGGTGAGCTGAAAAAGAAATAATTTTAATGCAAAGGAAATGCAAATGATACAAAGCAGTATGAAGGAATTACAGCAGCTCTTCTTCGATCTAGCACTCTTAGTAGATGATCAGGGGGAAATGATCGATTCCATCCAAGTGAATGTACATTAAATATGAATAATTCGTCAATATTAAGATTGATACTACTGCAGATCGAACTGAAAAAACTCAACACGAATTGAAACAGTCGATTGTGAGGATGAAGAAAATTCGAAAACTGAAATGTTGCTTGGTTCTTTTTATAGTTATTTTGCTTTTGGTTGTTTTTATTTGCGCAATTCTGTTTGTCAAATCGGCATTTTGATTAATCTACTGTAATGTGTATGCTCTAAAACACTTCTTGAATAATGGAATCTAGTCTTGTAATTCCAAAATACGGTTTGTTCCAAAATTAACGGAAATTGTTATTTTTGTATCACCAATATAGTTGAAATGGCGTTGTATGTATCTATTTTAAATTATGGCTATTACACTTTTCACTCTTAACTTCCTTGTTGTGCATTCTTTAAGAAGAAGGGAACTCATCATAACGTACATCCGTTTTAGCGTTGTGTAAAAAGCTACATTACGCATGATACCATGAAGTGGAAATCACTATGAGCAATAGTACTCTCTACTTAAGTTAACGAATGACTGTTCATTCTTCTTTATATCCAAGTTATATATCATGGCTACTTGTGGTAAAATCGATAGTCTTTACGATTATGAATAGAAGGATTGTCTACCCTAAAGGGTTCTGAATATCTCCTGGATGGATATTACACTTACAAAAAACCCAGGGAAATTGTAGTGGATAACAACACATACATAATTCAGCACTTTCAAGGTGAACATGAGGATGAATACACAATGACATGCGACGGCAAGGTTTGCCTATTCCAGAATGGAGTTCTTAAAATGAGATATGAAGTAGATCATAATGGAACTCAGATTGGGAACTTTACTCGATTCAAAAACGGTCGTGTTGCCTTTGTACAAGATTTCAATGATATTATCGACAAACGGGACTTCAATCGTATAGTCAACCATGTGAAAGGAGAGCGGATGGAAATCTATTCGCATGAGAGTGGCAAGTTGATCTATCATGGCGAATTCAATAAACAGCGGGAGAGAGAAGGATGGGGAATCGAGTATGACCAGAAATCGGGTCAAATACTGCTGGAAGGCATATGGAAGAATAACAAATTGGTGGAAATCATTCGAAAGATCGAAGAAGGAACAATCATGATCGAGTTTAAACGAAACGGTAATAATACTTTGGCCTCGAATCGAATTCCCCTGTATGTGGGCGAATTCGTTTATGATGAATCGAAAGAATCGTTTCTTCGAAATGGTCGAGGATACTGGATCGATGAAGAAACTCGGATTGCTACTCGCGAAAGTGAATGGAAAGATGGAAAGGAAGTGAGTGGAAGAGATCTGTATGATGGATGGTACACTCCAGTTTCACTCCAAGCGACCATTTCAGAGACTAAAGAATTAGAGAACTTGAATTTGCAGGTCACGGATTTAGTGCTTCATTCAAATTGCTGTAACGACGTGACCGAATTTGATCTGAGCCAGTTCAAAAGGTTATCATCGCTTGAAATCGGAGACGATTGCTTTGGCTCTGTGAAAACCTTCAAAATCGACGGAATGCGAAGCTTGAGGAGACTGAAAATCGGCAAGAACTCCTTCACGGAGAAAAAGAACGGCAAGGGAGAAGATACTTTGAAATCCTTTCACATTTTGAACTGCGAGCAACTGCAATCCATCGAGATTGAACCCTACAGCTTTTCTGATTACGCTGGAGATTTCGAGTTGAAGAATCTTCCGTCCCTGCAAACTATCAAAATTGGGTCCACTGAAAGCAAGTCTTTCAATTTCAACTGGAGTTCCTTTGTGATTCGAGGTAGTGAAAATCATTATGTGATTTTGCAGACTTGCCAAGTCTCAGTTTCGTGTCTCTCGGAGGAGATGTGTTTAATTCTTCCCTGCATACAATAATCGAAAGTAGGAATGACGCGGAACTGGATGGTGATTCAATAGATCTTCCATCCTTGCAATGCATCGAGCTTGGAAAATTCGCTCTTGCTGGATATGACAATGCCTCCTGTTCACTCACTATGCTCAGTTTGAAAGGTAGACAGGATATAAACCCTAGATCTCCCTCTGTTGAACTCCATTATTTCGAGTGATGCAACGTTTTACTGGCCTACTACAGTTCGATTAGAAAGTAGGAGCGAGGAATTCTTGGCATGTAGACATTCCCAGTCTTAATGCGGTCAGGTTACATCGCTCATTTGAGAGAGTCAATTCGAAAACCATTTCGAGTATTTGCTTTTGGGGAATCTTTCTCGTAGATGTTTCCTCGATTCTTCTCAATTTCATCAACTAATCTTTGTACAATTAGGAGTATAGAATCTGTAGAAGGTAGTTTTAAATATGTGTGTATGGTTTGTGCTATCAAATACATTCATACAACGATCCCCTTCATTTCGTATTATCCAATATGCACACACTGATCTTAAATTCCACTTTGCATTTTATCAATGCAAAGCTACATTGAAATAATGCTCTGTTCTATATCTCCTTTGGGGTTTTATACTTTTTCGATGAGAACAATGACCGCAATTTGCTTTCAAGCTCAATATGCTTTGTAATAAACACTTGTCATAATAATTAGATGAAAGAAAAAGAGTAGACTATAGAAGAATCAGTACTTTATTTGAGAAGACATAAAGATCTATTGATAATATTATATTGACTTATTTTGCAATGTGAAAAAGATGGTATAGAGTGTTCGGTTAGTTTGAGACTTCTTCAAACACTTTTTCAACGGTCTCTTTTTCTTTTTTTCAACTTTTTTGTTTTCTCGATGGTGAAACCTGTAAAACAGCAAGCAGGATATTCTGTTGACGCAGATCTGAGAAATATGTCATTTAAAGAGGATGACGTAGAAGAAGGTGAAAATGAAGAATCTATCTGGAACCACAGCATATTAGAAGAGTTTCCTATTATGAGTGTAAACTCCAATGAAGAAAAGGCGATCTGTTCAATCGGCTTTCCTCATGCTGGTTTTGTTCTGGAAGTGGGTATCATGGATGGAACATTCCATGGAAGCGCAGTTATTCAAGATACGGATGAGTTAGTTTATGCAATGTTTGAATATTTTCAAGGAAAGGTCAACGGAGCGTGTAAATTGTACTATAGCTCTGGCGAACTGTTTTTTTCTGGGTATCTGAAAGATGGATATCGTAGTGGAAGAGGTCAAGAGTTTGACAAAGAAGGCAACATTATCTTTGATGGACTCTTTAGGAATGGATACAAAATACCCCAAGCCACCCAAATGATTGATAAAAAGAACTATTGGAAAGAAATAGGGAGTGATGACAGAGTAGTTTCGATTTGTAGGAAGAACGAAAGAGGAGAAAATGAAGGGATTTGCTACTTCTACTCAAGGGGGGAATTGGAACGAATCAGTGAGTGGCACAACGATGTGGAAACACGAATCTTATACAAATTCGATGGAAAGATCATGAGAGAATTCATTGACAATGTACTACGCTATAAGGGAGAGTATGTACAGAAACCGTCGATGAAGATCGTCCGTCAGGGACGAGGGACGTGGTATGCTAAAGATGGTGTTAAAGTGCGCTATCAAGGAGACTTTAAACGAGGTCTATATCATGGAAAGGGCTACTGCACCTTAGGGAAATGCGAAATAGGTGAAGGCTGGATGTGTGGCATACCAAAGAGTGTATTGTGGGCATTGTATATATTGATGTGGATTCTGTTTGTCGTGTATTATCTGCTATGGGCTTTAGTGTTTCCTTCTCATTGGGTTCAATTTGTTGTTGTTGCTACTATTTTTTATACCATAGCCATGTTTGGCCCTATCATCTTAGTAATGTGTTGAAAAGCAATATAAAATGTAGTGATTTGCTGAGGTTATTCTCCATCATGTTTGTTTGTTTAAAAAGAAGATTGTGTTTGATACTATATATATCGTAAATAAATGAATATTTATGATAGTAGCTGGTTATCATTCTAGTAATCATGATTGTATATGATAGATACACAATCGGATGTGTTTAATCGAATATCGTTCAATGGTTTGCCTTAAGAGTCAGTGTGAATTGATTCATAAATAGATACTACATTCATAGATAGAAAGTCACTATAATTATTTATTAGTTGCAATTGAAATGGGATACAATTCTGTAGTTACAATTTAAAATAACTGACGTATAATTCTTTGCGTGAGAACCGTTTCATTGGTAGGATGCCAAGAGAAACAAAAATCAAAAGTAATTTCGTTATAATCAGGTTAAGTAGCAAGTCTTCAAAATAACAAATATAATTGATTCATATAGTCTATCAACGTGATAAGAACAACACTCTAATGGCAATAACACCTCTTCATGAGTATGAAGGATACAGCCATCAAGTTACACATACCGAACATCTAATACCTATCACTGCAATATCTTCCAAGCTTCTCTATCACATATTACGATTCCTACAAGTCAAAACAGCAACAGTATTTTTGTTGCTTTTAGTGTTGAATTCATTCCCAGCTATTATTGTTATAATTATATCAGAAAATGAATTTGTTGAATAATTGGGTTGGTACTGGGTCCCTAATCGTAAGTTGTTTGCATGACATTACTATAAGACAACAAAACTGCAGACAACAAATACTGTAAATGATTTAAAGATTTTTGACAACGGTTCCTATGGTTTACTAACAACTCAGAATGGTTGCTTAATAACAAGTCTATCGGATAGTTTGGAGTATGAATATATATTTCACGAGAGTATTGATCCTCCCCGATTTGCATTTGTGATCCCAACAAAGAATCCACTTCAGATATTGTGCATATATTCAACTTATTCTGCCCGCTTCGAAATTGTCAATTCAGATTCTCTTTTTACAACGCGATTGCTCAAGACCTACTCTAATGATAATTTTAACATTATTTGTGGTACGTTTTGCTGTGAAAAGTCTATTGTAGCGGATGTATTGGATACCTGCTTCATCACGGTCGATTCTTCAGGACGTATTATCGTAAAGCGATATGAAGACGACAGTCCAATTGGAATCACAGACGCGAATGTTATTCTATCGCAGTGTGCCAATCGTTCGACTGGCTATCAAAACCACAGCATATTGAAGCTAGCATTTGACAAAACGAACAGAAAAGACGTATTTGCGTGCCTCACTCAGGACATCTTCTGCGTCTTTTCAACGAACGATTATTTTAAGCCTCTCAACTACATACAGCTCCAAGATTGTCCTCAAGTCCAAACCGTTCTCTCTCGTCGCAACTCCCCTCGCTACTTTCGTTCCTTCGCATTCTGCGGCGGAGGAAACGTGCTCCTTCTCACCGACAGCGAGATCTACCGATGGAACTACCAGCAGAATTCTGCGTGCAGCCTTCTCTACACCTGCGAGCACAAAGGTTCGTTTCGCTGCATTCGCTGGAAGGCGGAAGGGAACATCATCGGTAGCTACTTGAAGTCGAACCGAATCAATTCTAGAGGTTCTGTCGACAGATGAGCTTTCGTTGTTCGTGCTAATCCAGCAAGAAGGAGACATAACGCAGCAGCAAGCGCATACCGAGACGGTGGGCCATTTGAAGTCAATTCGAGTCTCGAAGGTGCGCATGTTCGACTCCTTTGTGGATTACGCGAAGCGAAAATACGAAATCTGTTGGAGGGAATGCGGAGGGATTGACGCGCAGATCTCACGCGAAACAACCCGAACGTGTTGAAGTTTGTGATCACGGGCGAAGGCTTGGATCCAAAGCAGCGAAAGAATCGAAGGAGCAAGAAGAAGCTTCTTCCGAAAGAGCACCTTTCGATCCCTTCGTTTCTGCGACAAGATCCAGTTCCGTCAAGTGATTTGTATTCGCATTTTTCGCTTGAATGATTGTAGCATATTGGACATGGAGGAGATCGTGGAGAGTCTTCTCGCGAAAACGAACAACAACGGCTTCGAGTTCGTCCAAGCGGATCTCAAGATCGGCCATTTCGTTGTTCGCTATTTCATCAACAACTCGCACGTTCGCATCGTTTTCTCGTTTAAAAAACCCGATTCGCTGCCCTCTGCTCCCACCACATCCAGCTGGCTTCCCTACAATTTCTCGCGGACGACGATGGACTCCACTCGCTCGCAGTCGTCTGTCGTCGCCTTCGAGTATCTCTCTCTCGACGGTACGCTGCGAAGCGAGGCGATGAATCCTAGCGGAGTTCGAAGACGGATCGTCCTGCATCGAGGGATTGATGGACTTCATTCGCTTCCAGCTGCAGGGAATCGTTCTGGAGATGAAAGCCGCGGGGTCTTCGTTCGACAATCGCTATCAGGAACGCCAGCCCAATCGAATTCGGATCGTTCTGGAGAAGATTGCGGTGGCGTTCGCGTTTATTGGTGATGATGTAGGCGATTTTCGAGGACATCCGCAAAGGCCTGCCCGAAGAAAAGCACGAAAAACCGTCCAAAGACGTCAATCATGTGGTCAACAACAACGATCAACTCATCGATTGCCCGCCGCTTTTCTTCGCCATCGTCACAAACGACGTGATTATCCGCGTCTCCAACCCCCAATTTCTCTGCGGCATCGACCTCTCCACCTCGTCCTACGTCTCCTTCGAAGACTTCAAGCACGTTTTCGCTCTCCTCCGCTGCGAAATAGATCAACAACCACAACGCCGCGTATTCCAACGACAGCGGAACCGATTTGTTCCACCCCTCCGACGAGAGCGAAGACAACGACGCGTCGCCTTCGAACCGATCGCTCTGTTCTCATTATTATAATGTTCACGAGTACTTCGCTCCTCGTTTTGATTCTCTGAAGAGACGACGGCTACTATCCGTATCTCCAGAGCCCCGAAATCACACTCGATTTCCACTATTCCCACTTTATGAGCGTGCTCGCGCAGTCGATTCGACTTCCACCGTTTCCACAGTCGCCGACGAATCTCGATTTATTCAGCTACATCCAGTCGAACTTGCAGGTGATCGAGGACTTGAACACCACCGAGTTCCGCACGTATTCGCAGCAGCAAACCGTGTTTTGGAAGATTTTGCTCACCATCTTCGGAAGAGAAACGCGCTCTTCCAGCATCGGATCGCTCTATTTCTCGCGGCACATGCTCAGCCGTTTGTGGAACATGGTGCGAGAGCAGGGCAGCTTGTATCTGTTCGCGGTGCTGATTACGTTTTGCCGCGTTTACAGCCGAATGTACCACGTGGATATTCTGCAATACGTGGAGAAGGCGAAGGGCGTTGATTTGGACAACATTTTGCTGAGCGCTGCGGAGATTTTCGATCGGAAGCAGCTCTTTAACGTCAAGAAGGAACTCGAGAAGTTCGTTTTGAACCGAGATAAATTCTCGCAGTGGAAAATCTTCGTCGATACTCCCGGTTCCACCGCGATGGAAGACAGCGGCCTCACACGACTCACTCGAAACCAGGTTGTTAGTGATGGAGCACCGTCGCCCCTTCAGGCCAAGCGGTATGGACAAGGGAAATCGAAAGGCACCAGTTTCTTGTCGCATGAGCCGATTTCTCCGCAAGAAGAGCTGGAGACCTATCCGCTGTGTTATTTGTGCAACAACCCCGTGCATGGACTGTTTGTGAGTTGCCAGTTCTGCCATCATGTGTTTCATGTCCAGCATTACCTTGCATGGCTTAATGAGCATGACTTTTGTCCAGTCATTGGGTGTGGTAACCATTGTGAACATATTGCTCCTATGAATAGTTTGTAGTCTGTAGTCTGTAGTCTGTAGTCTGTAGTCTGTAGTTTTGCTTGTTTGTTATAGACTCTTTTGTGTAGTATGGAAAATGGGGAAGGAGAGTTACCCCACGTTCCTGAATTAAATGAAACAGTGTTTGGAGTAAGTGCGTTCATTCTTCGAATACTTGCTAGAATGTCGCTCTTTCCACAATCTATGACAGTCTTGACCTAAAGTATCAATGTCTACCCAATATTTTGGACTACATCGGTACATATGAAAAGCCGCGCTATTTACCGCCATTTGATATGTCGGATCTCCTTTTGTTGCCATTGAACGAGAGCTACAAGATAGTCTCTGGATATGGGAAAGATCAGACAACCTATTCAAATCCATCTCGAGATGATGTGATTTTTCCGCGTCCATCTATCTCAGATGATGAGTTGTCAAAGCTCTATTCCGCTTTTCAAGGAGGAGGGTACGAACCTGCTTTTCCTGATTGGTTTCACGATGTGGACTCCTATTGTGTTCGAAACCTTTCTATTGAAGAGTATGAATACTACTGGATGCAATATCTCACTTTCTTCGCTCCTGGACTTGACTATTCTTCTCCCCAATCTTCTGAGTGTGTCGACCTTCCTGGTGAATCGGAGGAAATCCATCGCGTGATGCTCATTCTAGCTTCCTCTACTCCCCACCTAAACCTCGACTGTTTTGACACGAACGATTTGCTTCTGCAGCAGATCGTTTCCTCTTTGAATGTGTTTTCGATGACTGAAAACCACGAGAGTCAAGTATGTTTCCTTTTTTGATATTTATTTGTAACCACAAAGAATCTGAAGCAACACTGGTTTAGCAGTTATCTTCCCAGTCTTTTCTTCGCATCCACCCTCCGCCGTCTTTCTCTTCTTCCGTCCTGCCACGAAAGCCACATTCGCAATCAGATTTCGTTCATCCTTCAATTCTTCGCTTCTTTTCTCCAATACTCGCTCGCCTACCAGCTTTCCCGCAATTCCTTTCCTTCTCCTCTCTTCCGTCACTGCGTCTCCCTTCTCTTCTCCAGCTGTATCGATGCGCAAATCCAATGTGGCGTGGTTCTTCACCTCGATACCGTCCTTTTCCCCTCGTTGCTCCATCAAACCTTCGCTCTTCTCTTTCTAGCCGACGTTTATCACTCCATGTTTCCTTCTCAATCCGACTCCCAGGCCTTCACCGTATTCCGTTTCGTTGAATTGCTGAGCGATAGAACTTCCAGCCATGTCTCGTGCGATGGGTGAAAACGCTGACGCCCAGATCGATTCGAATCCACACGCGCCGATTGTTCTTCGAGATTCTTGGCGACGTGTTTGCGTTGGTTCGGTTTGGAGCCACAGCAGATGATTGGAAAGCGTTCTTGCTTCTCTTTGTGGATGATTTGGAAAAGGAGCAGCGAGGATCCAAAGGCAACGCTCTCGAATTGTTGTCTCCGTTTATTCACTCGCGTTTGTTGCGTGAATCGGAAGACCGGAAGCCCGCCTCGACAGCGGATTCTCTGTTTCTCCTTCTGGAGCAGGTGTTCGGGCATTCAAGCGGACTTGTGCTGAAGAAGATCAGCATGACGTTGCTGTTTGCAGTGAAGGATTCGTCGCTGTCAGCAGCGTTTTTCCCTGTGATGGTGTTTTTGTTTTACTGGAACGGCCTGTCGAAGGAAACCGTGGGGATGAATAAAGGCTTGCTGAAGGATGTCTTCTCTGGGTATTCGCTGCAGTCCCCGTTTCTGCTCTGTCTGGTGTATTCATTCCTGCTTTCTCCGTTTCTCCCTCCGCGTAGAGTTTACAAACTGATAGCTTTTTTGTAGAGTTGGCGCAGCAACCACTCGAGTTTTTACGACAACAATACCAGAATCAAAATCAAAATCAAAATCAAAATCAAAAAGGATTTTCGGATGTGGAGAAATCAATTCGCAATTTGGTTTCGTTTCATTTGCGACATCGCTCGGCGCTTCTCCCCACACTCCTCCAGTTCCTTTCTCTTCTTCCAGCCTCGCAATCCACGCTCTCTCTCTTCATTCCACTCGCCGAACATATCGAAAAGGACCTGCCTTTCTCCCTCCTGGAAGCTTCCTCGTTGGAATCCGCAATGAAACAAGCAGCCGACCTTCTTCAATCCTCTCTGACCTCTCCCCACTCCAAAAACGAGCTCCTTCAGATCCTCTCTGCCCTCCATTTCCTTCTCTTCGTCGTGTCTTCTTCCTTCCTCCCCTCTCCATCCCTTCTGATCCTTCTGGGCGAGCGATCGGTTCGCTTTATGGAGCAAGTTTTGCTTCGAATTGAGTCATTCAATCATTCACATCCGCCTCTCCTCATTCCGCCCTCCGATTTCCTTGCCTTTCTTCTTTATTTGGATCTTTTTTCCACTTCCACGCAAGCCCTCATCGCTCAGTTTCTACGACTCCAATCCGTAGAACCTCTATTTCCACTCTTCACCGCGATTTCCCAGTCGAATCCAGCCAATCCATTCGATTCTTTTGCCATTCGCGCTTTGGCTGACTCTTCGTCCGATCAATTCAATTTCGTTCTGCCGACGATCCAACGGAACTTCAACGCGTTGATTCAATTCTGGGTCACGGAAATACGGAGAATGAAAATTGACAGAAATCGGAGGGATTTCTTCCTCTTGAATTGGGTCTTGTTAATCATGAAGAAATCGGCCGTATTTCTGAACTCCGCATTCTTCAAGCCGATTTTGAGTGCCTTTTTACCTTCGTTGTTGAGTACAGAATCGGGCTTTGTTCAGGATACCGATGTAGGCCCGTTTTTTGGAATTGTAAAAATAGGGACTTCTTTTGTATCCCTTAATCGCTCAAAATCCGGCGTTTTTCGGAATTCATTATCGGTCGGTTGTTGTCAATTGCAGAAAAAGCGTCTATTTTCACATTCTCAAACAATCCGAAATCATCTCGGTGTTATTTCTGTTTCGACTGTTTTCGCTGCAGCAAAAGCTTGAGTTGCTTTCGCTCCTTGCTTTGCTCAGCCTCCAATCCCCAGATTCTGCCGTGTGGTTCATTGCACGCTATTTGGGTGTTGGCTCGGTGACGCAAGCGGAGCATTCGCTGTTGTTTGATGGTTTACAAAGTGTATTTCATGAATTTTGTGGCGATCAGCAGACACGAGATGAGGAACTCGCTCTGCTGCGCCATGTCCTCGTGTTTATTTCTGTGAACACACAAATCCCATCATTATCTCTGAAAGATGAAACGAAACGTGTTTTGGAAGAGAGTATTACTCTTCTTGAAGAGTTAATCGAATCGACTACCATCTTGAGTGATTCTCCCATAGAGCTTCTAAACAATTCGGAAAACGAGCTGTTAGAGCTTTGTAAACGATGGATGAGCGGAGTTCGCTGCTCAGAAGAAGATCGAAGGCGAGGCGATGCTCTAGTTGAAGAGTATGTCCGGCAGAAGGGAATTCGAACAGAAGGGGGTGGAGTGATTTTGTTTAACGAGGAGAGATGTGTGCTTTCATTGGGAGATTTACCAGAGATTGTTTTTTCGTCTGTAAATTCCTATTTGGTGAAGGCCAAATCGCTCTCCTTTTCTGCATTGTTTCCATAGTCGTTTAGCTTGTATTTTGTTTGCTTTTTAAACATGAATCTTCAATCTTGGAATTGTGTTCCATATAATCTTTTGTAAGTGTATACGATGAAGTTATTCTTGCTTGTGGCGATATGTTCTGTTGCTGTTGCTGTCTGGAACCCAGAAAAGCGCCTATCGTTCCGTCCTGATGGAACGTTCTCTGTTATGCAGGTAATCCAACGATAAGTGGCAATTTCTGATCTGTAGTTCACCGATCTTCACTATGGAGAAGGTGATCATCTCGACGAGAGTACAACCAATCTGATGAGAAAGTTGGTTCAGGCGGAGGATCCGGATTTCATTGCGTTTACTGGAGACATGGTTTCAGGTAAACTATTGGAGTGTCGTAACTAAGCAAAAGGTTATTCCTGGAACAAGTCGGAGGGATGGTACGAAGCCATGTGGCATCGCTGGACGAAAGTAATTTACGAAACAAAAAAGCCCTATTGCTACACACTGGGTAATCACGACTCGGAAGCCGATCTGAACCGCCAGGAAATCGTAAAACTGGATATGACGAATCCCTACTCCTTCACACAGCTTTTCCCTGACAATATGGCAGGAGCCAGCACATTCGTTCTTCCCGTCTATTCCTCAAAACACCCCGAACAGGTCGTAATGAACCTCTGGTTCTTCGACAGTGGAGACTACAATTGTTTGGGAGTCAATGGCTACGGCTGCGTCGAGCCCAAGATGATCGATTGGTACAAGCGGATGTCGCGCCAGCTGGAGATCGAGCAGGGAGGCAAGAAACCCGCAGTTGCCTTCATGCACATCCCGCCCGTCGAATATCTTTACGCTTACAACGTTTCTTCTTGGCATTGTGTCTCATGGACAGCATTACCCGAGTGTGGGTCGAAAGACGGAAGCGTGCTGCTGCTCGTCGATGAATACTGGGATTGTGGCAGCGTTTAAGGAGAGAGGCGACGTGTTCGCGCTGTTCTGTGGACATGACCACAGCAATGATTATGTGAACGATTTTGAAGGAATCTTGCTTGGATATGGAAGAAAAACCGGATACGGATGCTACGGACCAGCGGAGGGGTATGTCTGATTAGGACTGGTGATGGGTAGAATGCAGCGCGGAGGCAGAATGCTGAAGTTTGTGGAGGAGGATTTCAAGATGACCACGTATGTGGTCAACGAAGATGGAACGCACGAAATCCAAACGGAGCAAGCCTCGGAAAGTGATCAAGTGGATGTGTGTGGTGGTAGTAAACCTCCCAAGTGGGTTGTTTGTTTTATCTACGATTCATGAGTCATTTTGTATTCGATCCAATGATTGGATGAACGACTTCTAGTGTTCCACAATTATATATTTTCTTGTAAGCTTCTTTATTAATGAATCCAACAGTTGTACAGTGTTTCTGGTGAATCTTGATTGTGTAGAATCGGATTATCGATCAAACCAAGAAACAATTGAATAACAAGTGAGTTTTTGGACTGCTTCCTTTATGGATGTAGGAACCTTAAGCGTTATTTTAAGGCGAATCGTATGAATTTGTTGATTTGGGGCTTTTTGGTCGTGTTTGTGCTAACTTGCAAACACTTTTTCTCGGATGGTGACTTTTCCTTCCTCCTTGTACTCTTCACGTCGTGGAGTAAATGCTAGACTCTGGGAAGTCTGATTAGCTGCTTTGGCTTCTGCCTCATTACTTTCCGGTCCATAAAGACACGGTCGGTTGCCGGAGTGTCTCTGAAGTCTCTCCAGTGCTACGCCGTCGTCTTCCTTTGCAGATTTATCGCTGTCTGGAACAGTACCAGCTATTTGCCCTTTGATCGGTTCTTTTATTCCTTTCCTTTGTCTAATTTCCAGAAGTGGCGACTGGTTCTACCAAGTGGTTGAGCTGACCTCTTTCTTCGCTGTGATGATCAACATCTATTTGATCATGGGTCCTCTGAAATACACTCACAACTCTCACCACGACACGTTCGGCCAGGGTCATTTCCTCCCCAAGCAGTACACCTCGCTCTACCTCATCGTTCCTGCGATCGTTTTAGCGCTGATCGTCCGTCCTCACCGCTCCGGCACTTACTGCGATTTGCTCTGGGCGATCGCGATGTACCTCGAAGGCGTAGCGATCTACCCGCAGCTGCACATGTTCCAGAAGAATCGAGTGCGCGCGAGATGGCGCTCTGACGCATAGACGGGCGAAATCGAAGCTCTGACCTCGCACTTCGTGTTCTCGATGGCGATCAGCAAGTTCCTGAATCTTCTCTTCTGGCTGGGAAGCTGGAAGGAGTTGAACAGCGGGTGGAGCTATCTGAGTCGGCATTTCGCGGGACCGATCGTGATTGCCTCGCAGATTACGCAGCTGGCGCTGATGGCGAGCTTTATCTTCTATTACTTGCGAGCTGCGTTCAGCGATACGCCACTGATTTTGCCTACAAGCATTGCGGACCGCCGGGATTTGTGTGTTTGTTGGAAACAGGAGAAAGAGAAAGCAAGTAGACTAAAAGATCGTCGTCTTGGAGGACGGAGTGGATGTAAAAGCGAAGCTGCGCGATGGAGTCGCCGTCCATTTCCGATTCCTCGCTCCAGCGAGTTTGCGAAAGCACGTCGATCGCTTCTTCGAAGTGCTTTCGCTTTATGTGGTAAATGATCCAAGCGTTCAGGAGCGATTCGCTGTCTGCTTCTTGCACACAGGCGGAAAGGACGGCTGCGTACAAGTCCGAATGAAACAACGCGTCGAAATGGCCTGCATTCATTTCGGTTCGAGCCGCTTCGATGAACTCTGCGTCGTACATCGAAAGGATTTTCCCCTCAAAGCACACTTGTTCCATGACTGCCAACGCTGCGCCCGCTTTTATCGCGCGATGAAGCAGCGAGCGGCGCAACTCCACGTTCTGCAAACGCATCACAAGGCTGCACAAATCGCTGGCAAATTCGGACGCGTCGAACGCGTCGTTTGGATCCGCGAAAAGCGACTTGCACCACGCAGGAATATGCTTATCGTCTCCAAATTCACCGAGCAACGCGATGATTTGCGATGTCGGCTTCAAGTGGTTCGGTTTGAGCCATTGATTCACGATCTTATCAACAATGCTCATGGCTTCCTCTCTCGTGAGCTTGCTGTCATCGCTGTGATAGCGAGCGAGCTGCTGATGCTGCGCCAGACAAACCACACACAGCGAAAAGAATTGATTCTCAGCGCAGAGTCGAAGCATTTGGTCCCACAACTGAATGGCTTGGATGTTCATTCGCTGCATCAGCGACGTGCACCACCACAAAACCGATTCTTCGCTCGCGTGCGATCGCATGACGTTCGAGAGAAAGCTTGGGTTCTGCACCTGCGACCAAACATCCGTTCCCACAGGGATTCGGAACTTTTGGCACCCATACCACGTGAATTGAATCAATGCGTTTCGCTGCAATTCGGAGAGCGTAAGTGTCGAGTCCTGCGGGAAAAGCTTCAAAAGGACGGACTTCTGCTGGCTTTGAGAGAAGAAGGAGAGCGAAAAAGCCACTGAAGAGAGAATGATGTATTTGGCGGCGTAGGGAAAGAAGGCCGAGGAGGAATCGATGGCTTGCTGTGCGTACTGCGATGTGATCGAAACAAACGTGTCGCGATTCATTTCCTGGAGGCCTCGAAGCATGTAAATCAATCCGTTCACTGCGGAGGAAAGGCAATTCTCCTCGATTTCCTGCGCGCAATTCCCGGTCGATTCGATTCTTCGCCAGTGCTGAAGCAGCTTGTCGATTGTGCACAAGAAAAGTTGCTGGAAACTGAGTTGGAACGAGCTGCAGAGAGTTTCCATAATGCTGTGAAGGAAAAGCAACCCGCATCCTTCGTGACTAAACACAAACCAAGAGGAATGCGTTTCATCTCGAAGCTGATCGATCATGTTCTGGACTTCGCTGACCGAAAACGAATCGCAATCGGAAGAAAAGAAACAATTGGAGACGAGATGGAAAGATCGCGACTTGCAGTCGCGTGTGATCGAAGTGTCCGACATTCGCTTTCGACTGGCTGCATCGAGCTTCATAAAGCGCATTCGCAGCGAAGAGCTTCCATGGAACACTTCCGAGGATCGTTTTCGCAATTGCTCTCCAGCCAGTGGACTCAATTTGAAATAAAGATCGAGCAAATGGTCTGCGATCGATGACGCATTGGCTCGAAAATCACTCTCCAAATCGTCCGAAAATATATTCGTTGGAAGGGATTCATGGCTCAAAAACAGCCGATTCCATTGATAAAAATACACGGCTCGTGAATAGTTCTTTCGGCAATTCAGCGCCACTTCTTTCAATTCCGAAAGTCGTTGCTGATTTGAATCATCGCGTTGTTCAGAAAGCGATAAAATCGCAGATTCGCTCAGGTCGCAAGCGAATTGGTACGCGCTGACTCGATCTTCGCATCGAGAACATGGATAGATTTGGCAATGCGAAGGGGAATGCGAATACCGCTCCGCAATGGCGATACAAAGCAAGCAACGCTCTTGAACGTTCTCTTCGTCTGCGTACATCTCGAGCAATTCCTGGATTTCTCTCCAATCGGGAGGAATTTCCGCTTGCTGCGTGAATTGCTCGAGAAGATGAAGAACCACGTCCTGCATTGTAATCGACAGAATGCTAAACAGAATGAGGAACTGTGTGTAGTTGTAAAAGGTAACGAAAGTCTTCAATACTTCCCACGGACGATTCACGAGCTGCATCCCATCGATATCGTGAAGCAAATCGTCATGAGAATCGCAAAAGTCCAAAACCTCAAGACAAGTGTGAATGAATGAAGTGTCGAGTGCGTTCTGAATCTGCAAGCGTTCGATTTCAATGCAAAGCAATCGTTGGAATCTTCGCTGATGCGTTTTGACCACTACATTTTCCAAAATATGGAGCAAATCAACATCGCGAATTCGTTCTTGCAGCGAATCGATGATCTTTCGAACATTCTCTTGCTGATCGTTTTGAATGGAGGACTCAAGTAATATTGTTCCAACGGCATCCAGATTCATCTCAGCCGACAAGCACATCTCCGTGATGCTTTGAGCAAAGAACGGCTCGCCCGCTTTCTGCTGCGGAAACGCCTTGAAAAGAAACTCCGGCGTGATTTCATCCTGCTTTCCGCGCGAATTCAGAAACGAAATCCAGTAGAATCCTCGATAGAGACGCTGCGAAAGCTCCAGCAACTGCCAGAGTCCCAGCAAACAGCAATACGCCACTCCGATCACCGCGATATCCAGCGCGATCCTGGGCTGATCTTCAGAGAGCTGCGCGCAATGCTGAATCAAAACGGGAGCTCGTTCGATTGGGATGATGTCCAAGCAGGAAAGCAATGGATAGGGATCGACTCTGCAGAACTGAAGCATTCGCTTGATCGCTTGTTCCACCAAATATTGAACCGGCCAATTCGCGCCTGGGATCGTTTCGAAGCCTTCGGGCGCCACGAAACGAAGAGAAGGCTGGTTGCGAACGATTCGAGTGATGAGGGGCAGCGTTGTCAATTCGATTTGATGTGTTGAGAAGTAGGAAAGCGTTTCGGAGAGCATTCCCGCGGTGATTTCAGTCCCGTTTCTAAAAGAAATCAACAGAAAAAGAAAGAAGGCGAACATGAAATGACGAAGATACATGAGAAGAAACGCAAGCACGTTCGATTTCTCCAGCAAAAGACCTTCTTCCTCGTAGAAAACAAACGGTCTGCAACTAAGAAACGAGTCGAAATGAAACAGAATCGAGGGATGGAAGGAAGGAGGAATCGAGAGCTGAATGATTTTCTTCAGAGAAACCATTTCCATAAAGCGATGGGAAGCGAATCGATACAGCGACGGGCTGAATCCATCGAGTTGGAGTGTGATGCTGCAGATATTCAACGCTACATCCAGCAGCGCCGTGTACACTTCGAAGGAAGAACAATTCGCTGCGTGATTTTCGAGTAGTTCTACGCATCAATCAAGAAAAAGAAAAAGCCGAACGGAGCATCACAAAGAGAATGTCGTTCAGCAGCAAGCGAAGCATTTCTTCGATCGTAGCGGTCGTTGTTGTGGTTGGATTGATGTCGCGATAGAGCTGGCGATAGGAAGGAAGCTGCGTCGTTTTGAGATTTCGGAGAAGTTGATCGATTTGAGAGAGAAGAGAGAGCGAAGAATCGCTGGATTCTGAAATCGAAATGATCAGAGCGTCGCAGAAGTAGACGGTTAACAAAACGGGGTCAAATTGAAGAAGATTGCAAAGCCGGATGAGTGAGCTGAACGAAAAGATGCGAACGGGGTGATCCATCAGAGAGTTCTACAATCAATCAATTCCTGCAAAAGAAACGGACTTGATATCCCACTTCGCTCACACATCCTCGAATCAGTAAGTCGGTGACTTCTGCGGTTTCTGTAAAGAAATCGCTCATCAGAGGAATGGAATGCTCTTCATAAATCGTTATCATGACTTCCACGCATTGCCTCAATCTCACAACATCCAGATTCTGCCGAGAAAGCAACAATTGGATTTCGAGAGATTGCTTTGCAGAACTCAAAATCATCGAAAGATGATCCACGCAACTTTTCCACCACAAGTCGTTATTCTTTTCATCGAGAAGCTGAAAACAATACCGAATCATGGAGGCATAAGCGAATCCATTGCAATGAATGGCGCATTCTTCCAAAGCACTTCTTATCAAATCATCTTCGTTCGTTTCTTCGAGCAATCGCATCACCAACGACAGAATGCAATCGGAGTATCGCACATTCCGATACACTTTACACAGCAACTTCAGATCGTCGATCGTTCGATTATCCTACCCAATCACCTGCCAACTCAGCGAACTACCCATCGACTGATCAGAGCTTCGCTCACGACGAAACCTGCATGATCGCCAGAGTAAATGAGAGCGTCCATTCCGCGCTCGACGACTCGATTTCGCAGCTTCAACATGCCGCATTGCTCTGTAATGAATGTGTGGCTTTGAATGCTAACATCGCCGCGATAGTGCGAACTCTCTTCGAAAAGACGGAGGAGTTCGAGTGGAAATGGAGGTCTGCGAGCCACGGCTCCTTGCAACACCTTGATTCGCATATCAAAAGACTGAATCATCCTCCAAAGCTTTTCGATGCGTGCCATTTCGAGCGTCCCTGCGTTTTCTAACTGCTGTTTCACATAAAAACTCAGCACTTCATCAACGCTCAGCTTTCGATAGGAGCAGAAGGGAACAACGCGCGTTTGGAACTCAAAAGGAAGCGTGTCTACGTTCTGGATTTCATTGAGTAGCTGGAGAACGAGCTCCTCGTTTGATGGCAGCTCTGCGGAGGGGGAAGGCAGGATGAAGAGGGAAGAGGCCGTTGCCAAGGTGCAAAGATCGTTTAGGTAATGGTGGATTTTGAGGATGTGCTCGATTTGCTCTGTGAAGTGTTGTCTTGGAGCAAATGGGAACTCTGCGACAATGCCAGTGAGAGAGTGCAGGTTTTGCAACAGTGTGAGCAGACGATACGTGTGTTGGAGAGCCGAAGAATCCATCTGTAGCTGCTGCTCACAATACTTCTCGACCCATTCTATAAAATGGAGTTGATCCTGATCTTCCGATCGAGGCAAAACGTCGAATTGAAGCCACTTTAAAAGATCTTCTTTGAACGGAAAACCTTGGATTTGTCTCTTGCTGATAAACCGAATAAACGACTCGAGCGATCCTTTCCAAAGAAGAGAAAGCTCAGAGAACCATTCAAGCGATTCTTTCGAGGCGATCGAAGGAGAAAATGTATCCCACAGACAAAGAACCGCCTTCACGTTTCCGTTGTGAAGGAAATAATCCTGAAGTTCCAGTAGCGTCATTTGACAGAAACGCTACAACGTCAACAAACGATCAAGCGAGCAAACCTGCCACGACTGAGCATTGATGTGCTGTTTGTTGTACAAAAGTTTCGTGAATAAACTCCACTTCAGCGAAATCACTCGCATCCGCTTCTGATTCTCATCTTTCACGTTCTGTTCGCCGAACCGAATAATCTCGAAGGTCGTTGCAAATGACGGCAAAAACGCAGACGAGAGAACATACAGAATCAAATCGCTTTGTGCGGCACGAAGGAGCTGAAACAGCTCTCCACAATCCACAGCAGGAAACGTCATCCAGTCTTCATTCCCGAACTGCTCCTTCCATTGCTGGAGAATCCACTGCACTTGACGGCGATGAATCAACGCAAAATCTAACTGATGGATCGTAGCAAACTCGTAGGCCTGCTCAAACGAATTCTGTTGAAGAAGCATCTACATCCCAACGCCAACGAATCGGTTACCACAAGTTGCTGCAATTCGGTGGCGATTTGAAGCTGGTAGAGAGTCATCGTTGTGCTGGATCGCTGGTTTTCTTTTCGGTGGATGGAATGGCTTAACAGCATGAAGGAATGATGATGGCAAGGAAGAAAGCGAAGCCATTCGCCTCGATCTTCCTCTCCCAAAATTGCCATTGCGCCGAATCGAATGGAGGCTGCAAGAAGAATCTGCTCTTCGTTGCGTTGAACGATCGCTAGCACGGTGGCTTGATGAAGCGTAGGAGACAAGGACGATGGAAGAAGAATCGCATCCAGAATGGAGTGGTGAAGGAGGTAGGAGAGAGGCGATAAGGAAAGGCGATGAAGACAAAACAAAGAGCCATCATCGTACAGAACGAGAAGAAACATCCCTTCGATGTAGATTTTGGTGATGAATCCGCCATGCAAGATGCCGTGAGGAAGATGCGAAACGATTCCTGTGTGATTATCGACCAGTCGAACGCGAATTAAATCCTCCGTTCCTTCGCCTGCAATGAAAAACGAGTCGTTTGATTCCATTGCGAAAGAGGTAATGCGGGAAAAAACGTCGTGAAAGCTGAATCGAAGCAGACTCGCTGTGTTTCGTTGCGTGATTAAGGAGCTTGTGTCTTCGGACTCGAGATACTGGCGAAGAAGCTGGGTGCTCAAATCACTGAACAAAAGCAGATCGCAGTCATATAAGAGAGCGATAAGAAATCCGTTTTCGTCCTTATCCACCCACTGCAAAGCAAGGAAGCAAGCTCCTTGTTCTGGAGGGGACAAATCCAGGCGTTGCGAAAAGAGGATTCCACGCTGCAACGTACAGACATGGAGTCTGCCGTCTGAAGTGCACACAAAAAGAAATTGACCAGACGAATCAAAACAACATTGCTATGCATCAAATAGGATTCTCTAACGTATACGTCGATTTTGGACTGAAAAACAATCGGTTGGCAGCACAATTCACTCTTCCCATCAGTCGAACGAAAGCAACGCAACGTGGAATCCACTGCAACACAGTCTATTTCTCCGTCCTCACAATCGCAGCTGCAAAACCGTACATCTACGCCTAAACACGCAAACGAGTGCGAACCTGTGGAGTCAAAGTAGAATGTTTCTTTAAAAACAGCGGATTTTTGAAAACTAGATTGAGAGGCAACATAAAACCATACAATTTGTACGCGCGACCACTGGACTCTAGATCTGGGATCGAACTGTGATTGTCGATGGTATCTAATTCCATTAATTTATAAAATCAAACAACCAAATCGACAAGGTATTGTCATGTGTCGTAATCAAAGGAACAAAACAGAAGCCAAGATAGCTCAGTTGGGAGAGCGTATGACTGAAGATCATAAGGTCAGGTGTTCGATCCACCTTCTCGGCGCTTTTTTGCTTCTATTTTCTTATTCAACTGTAACTACTACTATTATTATTATTATTAGCACACAAATTTTGTCGCTCTACTTTCCTTATTCAACAAACAATCCACTTTTTCCCCTTTATTTTATCATACTGTTCAGTTTCGTCAATGTACTTTCCCTTCTCCAAAGCAAGGAATCGCGGAGCCCTATTCTTCTTCATCGTCACTCTCGGCGCCTTTTCGCAGTCATGCATGCTCACATCCAACTGGGACGCGAACACAAGACCGCAACGCGGACAACGGAATCGCAGTCTACGTTGCACGCATTCCCAGCAAACTACTCTCCTTTTTGCTTCTTCAAGATCCTAAACTCCTCCTCCTTCTTCTTTCGAAGAGCGAGGATGAGACACTGCGCTTCACGACGAGGCATCTCGACCACTTTATCCTTTAGGTCTCGATAATAACAAAAGTAAAGATGGCCCAAGTCCAAGATGGCTTCGCTGAGATTCAAGTTTGCAACGATGCGAGCCATGTTGGTGCGAGCTTCGATTTTCTTTTTGTCTTTGTATTCAGGACGTGTGTTTTTGTCCTCACGACCTGTCTAGCGATAAGACACGGGTGACGAACCAACTTTTGATAGACCCATCTCGATGTTATTTTGTAAACGTTGGTAATGCTTCGCATTTCTACCCTGTGGAGCAGCCAACCCTGTTCCGAGATTAAAGGCATCGGACCTAAAATCGATGATTCCTTAGAAAGGAAACATGCAAGGATTGAACGCTTCACCTCGCTGAGATGTATCTTCCTCTCCTTCAAAATTACGAGTCCAATCTCCTTCATAGAGCAAATTTGATATTAGAGTATTTCCGCAACCTAAACTCGAACTGAATCCCAGTGAATACATTTGCAAATTAAATCGCCTGTGTGCTCGTCTTTTACGAATTTAGTTGGGTCGTTGTTTCCACATTTACATTTGATAAATTGACCTAAAGTCCTCAGTTCTATCCATATCTCGTACGTTGATCTGCTCTATGTGCATCTTTAGGTAAACTATTACGTTCTTTTATTTCCTTTTCTATTTCCTCTTTGACAGTGGAAAGGTCACTCTTCACCTACTGTATGAGCTATTTTGTGTTACAACTTACACTTTCATAATCGACGCCCGCCTCGTTAACGATCAGGTGTTCGATATCGTCTATCGAAGTGTTTTCATTGATCGGATAATAGCTCATAATATTGAATAATCCTGACTTTCTGCTGAAAGAGTATAAGAAGACTATTTTGAAGTATTGAAGTTTGAAACCCAAAACAGATCCGAAGTAGTATAGTGGTTTAGTATTTCCGCCTGTCACGCGGACGACCGGGGTTCGATTCCCCGCTTCGGAGTTCTCTTTTTTCATTTTTCTATTTTCAATCACTTTCTGTTATCATTTTAATGTCATCGACTCCCCTTCTATCTCTCTCTCTTTTTATATCTATCAAACAACCCATTCCTTCAATTGTGTATTTATAAATGTAACGAAAGATGAAGCCACTTGGTCTTGATTAATCTGCTGTTTCAAAATAATACTCAAGAACTGCTTTCTCCAGTTCTTCAGCTGCATCAGCGTGACTCGTTTCATCAGCACCACGAACGTCGACGTTCCTGACACATGGATCTTGCTTCCAATCAGCCCTCCATTCATCGTCTGCTCCTTAATAATGTCCTTCACGATCGTATCCGTAATACTATTCACAAACCCCACATAGTCCGCAGTGTTCAGCTGCTCTGCCTACCATTCATTCCAATTCCTTATTCACTACTGGCGGATTCACAGCGACATGCTTCGATTTGGACTTCGTCGACGTCAGACTCTCCCACAACGCGTCCATCGGTACTTCCTTGGTTACGGGAACGTTCACGGTGCTCTGTTTGTCGAGGCCCAATCGCAAACTGTCCGCTGTCGCGTCCGGATTCTCGAAAATCGACGATTCCTCCACAGCACACACGCGGAAGAGAGGAGTGTCCCAGCGAGTGAGAGGGGAAGGAGGCTCGAAGCGGCATGCAAGATCTTGGAGCACTTCGTTGGAGTAGTGGGAGCAGGATTGGTTGAAAGACTCGATCGCACTGATAGGAGTATCGACCCAAACCACACAACGCGTGGATTTGCAGCAACGAGCAATGCAGTACATCTCGTAGCGGTATCCTTTGATAAAATTCATTGTATCCAGAATAACGTAATTGTCACTTCTTAGAATTCGGGATACTTGGGTTTTTATTACTTCATGAGTGTTCTTCTCGTCGAAAGCAGCTATAATTCATGTCAACTCGGAGGAGTTACTTCCATACGCACTCGAACGATCTAATTTCAGCGATTCCAGATTAATAATTGTCACCTCTTTATTTTTACCACGTATGTATTCCGCAATTTGGTTTGCATACGTTGTTTTGCCACTGCATGGCTTACCGCACATTACTACCAAAGGCCTACAAATTCAATCCTTTACATTGCTTATTACATGGCGAGTTTGTGCAAATACGAAATGCTAGTAAAAAATACTCTGAAATTATGGAATTACACAATTGCTATTCTCTCGAAAATGTTCTCTCGTTGCATTCAGAATGCAGTGTCTCTGTCCCTTATGAAAGGAGGAGGCATTCGGTTGATGTCCTCTCAAGCAAAAACGTTGTTTGAAAAAATAGCAGACAAAACCATTCCTTCTTCCATTATTTTTGAAGATGATAAGGTGCCAAATGGATTTCTGAAAATATGTAGTGTTGCGCGTTTCGTGATGTAAATCCAGCGGCACCCGTTCATTTCCTGGTCGTCCCCAAGAAGTGTGATAATCTGACACAGTTGAGATTTGTTTTTTTGATTGAGCTTGATCTATTATAGATGCGTGATGATCAGGAAGAATTGGTTGGTCACCTTATTCATGTTGCATCGAAATTGGCGATCCGAGAAGGTTTGGAAAATGGATATCGGATTGTTGTAAACGATGGCAAAGATGCATGTAACATTGCTTTCTGCTGTGTTTTTGATAGTGCAATCCGTGTTTCACCTGCATGTCCACGTCCTTGGTGGAAAGAAGTGTATTTGGCCTCCTGTATAGTAAAGCTGTTTGTTGAGCAACACTCTTGTAAAGTTTCCTAATGCCAAAGAAGAAACCGTCTGAAACTAAACCTACCACTCAAGAACAAAAGGGTAATGCGGGTAAGCAAACAGCGACAGCGGAACAAGTGAGTCTTGGGCAATGTGTGCCATATGTAGGAGAAGAAGGCAAAAGGACATAGACAAAGGGGTGCAGGAACAGTGGTGGTTTCGAAGGGAGAAGTACGGCCGCAGCAGCAAAATCACGTTGTAGGTAACAGTCGGAGGCGTGGTGATGAAAGAATGGCAGAGAACGCCATTGCAACTGGTTCGCGAATATTGTCAAAAGCAAAAACGCCCGATGCCTCAACTTCTAAACGCTTCTGCTCCTGCTGGTAGATTCGCGTTTGTCTTTAGTTGTATATATACTAACAAAATAGGATTCGTCTCATTCTCCCTGACCCCAAAAACAAAGACCGTGATTTAGTGTTTACGAGCAAAGAATCATTTCCTGATATGATTCTGGCTCGTAACTGTGTGTGTCTCCTCGCCCTCCACCATCTGCAGCCCACGCTTCCCCTGCACCAAAAGCTTCCTGAGCCCTACGCTTCGATGTGGCTAAAATTAACGGGCAAAAGCGACGCTGCCAAGCCCGCAAAGAAGGAAGACGAGGCTCCTAAATTCGTCTGCTCGATCTGCAACAAGTCCTTCGAAAAGGAACTAGGGTAGTTTCACCGAAATACTATTCCTCTAGTTTGAAAACGCATTTAAACAAGGAGCATGGCATCAAAAAACTCCCCACTCCCACCGACGAACCCACTCCTCCCTCCACTCCTTCCACCTCTATTTCTCCAGTTTCTCCAGTTTCTCCAGTTTCTCCAGTTTCTCCAGTTTCTCCAGTACCTCCTTCGACTGGGCGTGCTGCGCCCGCCAAAGTGGATCATCGCGAAGACAAAGAGCTGCAGAACTTGACGCTCGAGTCCAAAAGCAAATTCGTGTCGAAATACGATCAAATGATGGCCGAGGAAAGCCGGCGCGTGGCGCGGAGCCGCATCGCGAACCAGAAAGAGCTCCGGAAGCAGCTGCAGCGTCCGCCGCAAGTGCTTCTGAGCGACGCGAATCAAGAATTCATTCTGGGACTGCTGGAAGAGCAGAATTTCTCGCTGAAGGAATTCGATCCGGAGCATGTTTTGGCGGGCGAAGAAAAAGAATCGCTTCGCAAGCGGCTCTGCGAGTTGGGGTTTCCGGCTCCCGCGGTGGACGCGAGTTTGGAAGTCGGCAAATCATTGGACGCCTGCATTGAGTGGCTCTGCATGAATTTACCCGATCATAAACTCCCCAAGCAATTCCGAGCCACCGGAAACCAGATCCGAATGAGCGTTTCGACGCGATTCTCCATCGAAGATGCGATCGCCAGCGCCGGATTTGAGGCACAGAACGACGCCAACAAGCCGTTCGAAGCGAACTTGATCGCGGTCGTGCAGTCGATCCTTCCCTCCTTCCAGCCTCCCAATGAAACCGAAACGCCCAGCATGGAAAACGTGGAAACGGAGATCTCGTCGCTGCAGCTCATCTTCAACCTCGAGGGCGAAACTCCCAAAATCACGGTCCTGGAGAAGGAAAACGTGCAGTGCGTCCGCTTTCTCCACCCGAACGGCTCGCTTCTCTTCTGTTTCTCGCCGCAGCTCGGCTATCCGAGCCGGCCGCCGCTCGCGTTGCTTTGCTTCCCCGCGCTGGCGGCTTCGGTACGTCGCGCGTTCACCAAACTGATTTATTCGGAGTATGAAACGCGCTGCGAAGGCGTTCTCTACGAGATTGTCACGGATCTCGACGAGTTAGTCAGCAAGGCGAGGGAATCCGCGACGGAGGAGGTGAAACATACGACGATCCGCAGAGAAAAACCCGTTCACTCGCCTCCCAAACCGGTCGAATCCAAGCCTCGTCACCCGCGAAATCGCGTGCTGGACAAGTCCATTCTGTTCGGCTCGCCGTCAGCTCGCGTGAGCGAGCAGCGCGCTTCGCTGCCCATCACGAACTACAAAGCGAAGGTGCTGGATATGATCGAACACAACCAGGTCAGCATCGTTTCAGGCGGAACGGGCTGCGGAAAATCGACGCAGGTTCCGCAGTTTTTGATGGAAGCGTTCCGCGAAAGCGATCAGAAGGATCTGAATATCGTGGTCTGCGAGCCTCGACGTGTGTCTTGTCTCGGTTTGTATCTTCGCGTGATCGAGGAGCAGGGATTCGTTGCAGGGAATCAGTGCCCAGTGGGCTATCAAGTGCAGGGCGACGTGAAGTGCGAATGGAAGGGACGGCGTGAGCGATAGAGTGAATCGAAACACGGTGCTGACGTACTGCACGACGGGAGTGCTGCTCCGACGATTGCAGCACGACTCTCCGAAAGGAATCACGCACATTATCGTGGACGAAATTCACGAGCGAAGCGTGCTCTCCGATTTCCTCCTCTTTTTGCTCAAGCGAATTCTTCGGTCAAATTCGGACATTCGAATCATTTTGATGTCCGCCACGCTGAACGAAACGCTCTTTTCGGATTATTTCGGAGGCATTCCGAGTCTTTCGGTGGAAGGCCGTCTCTACAAGGTGGAAGAGCGTTATTTAGACGACATCATTTTCGACACACACTACACTCCCCACGATTTCATTAAAATGGACAGCGAAAGTGTTCGCGTTTCCGCCGATATGGAGGCGATGATCAGCGAATGGAACGAGAAGTACCAGGATTTCTACATCATTCCGCACATCATTCGCTACATCTTCAACTCCGAATCGCCGTGGACCGGCGGCGTCGTTCTCGTCTTCTTATCCGGCGTCGCCGAGATCAAAACGGTCGGCCAGCTCGTGCTCGAAGCCTTCGCGAACTCGCCGCTCGCCGTGGAAGTGATCGCTTGCCACGGATCGCTCAGCACGCAAGAGCAGCACCGTGTCTTCGAGGAGAGTCGCTCTGGCTATCGCGTAGACGCAGCGCATCGCGATCAAAAGCTAGGTCGTTCTCAGCACCAACATCGCGGAAACCTCCATCACCATTCCCAATTGTCGCTACGTCATCGACTCCGGCCGCGAGAAGCGCCTCGTTTTCAACCCCCTCAGCAACCTTTCCGAGATGAAGGAGGTCTGGGTATCCCAGGCCTCCGCCGAGCAGCGTAAGGGCCGCGCCGGCCGCGTCCGCAGCGGCTTCGTCTTCCGCCTGTTCACGCGCTCGCAGTTCCGCCGGATGGAGCCGTTCACTCCCCCCGAAATGCTCCGCTCCCCGCTCGAGTCGCTCTGTCTGCAGACGCTCCGCATGCAGCTCGGCGACCCGCTCGCCGTCCTGCGTGGCTGCATCACGCCGCCCTCCGCCGACAGCGTGCAGCGCGCCCTCGAAACGCTCGAGGAGATCCAGGCGGTCGTGCGGACGCCGGCCGTCGCGCTGACGCCGCTGGGGAACCATCTCGCCGACCTCCCGCTGGACTGCCGCCTCGGGAAGATGCTGATCTTCGGGTGTCTGCTGCGCTGCGTGGACGCCGTGGTGACGATCGCGGCGTTTCTGTCGCAGCGGTCGGTGTTCCGCGCGCCGATGGAGAAGCGGGACGAAATGATGGCGCGGAAGCGGCGGTTTGTGCATCGGTTCAGCGATCATATCACGCTGCTGCGCGTGTTCGAGGAGTGGCGCGGCGCGAAGAACAAGCGCGAGTTCTGCCGCCAGAACTTCATCAACTTCGAATCGATGCAGACGGTGGCTTTGGTGGGTCGCGGCGCTGCGTTTTGAGGTCTAGACGCGCAAACAGTACTTCGAGGAGCTCGCCAATATCCACTTCTTGCCGAGCGGGTATGCGCTGAACGACCCGGTGTTCAACGCGAACGGAAGCAACGAGAACGTGCTGAAAGCGGCGATCACCGCGGGACTGTACGCGAACGTGGTGAAGATCGAGAAGAAGGTCAAGTTCCACCGCACCATCGAGGGAGGATCGTTCGAGTCCACGCCGCTGGCGAAGGAGTATCGGATGTATATCCGGAGGGAAGTGCCCGGAGGCGAGGTGCAGCATGGATTGACGCGCGTGTTCATCCACCCCTCGTCGATTAACTTCGTGGAGCAGGAGTATAAATGCCCGTATTTGGTGTATGTAGGGCTGCTAGGGGTGACGGAGGATTGACTGTAGACCACGGTGGTGAATACCAGCAAGATCTTTATCAACGACTCCACGGTGGTGACGCCCTATGCGATTCTGCTGTTCGGCGGACCCATCGATGTGCAGCACTTGCAGGGAACCATCTCGGTGGACAAGTGGATCGAGTTCTCGGCGCCCGCGCGCGTAGCTGTGCTGATCAAAGGACTGCGGGGCTACATGGACCGTCTGCTTCTTGAGAAGTTCAATCAGCCCGAGGAGTCCATCGTGAACGATCCAGTGATGGAAGGCATCTGCAAACTACTAACAACGAATGGGATTTGACGTGTTTCCAACAAAAAGAGTGTACACAACAAACGATTCAACTACTCCACCACCACTACTCGTCCACACGAGCCTAAAATACAGTTAGATGGAACCGATGAAAATTGCAACAACATCCACTTCAGGATAGATCAAATATCACTGTCTGATGACTCATTGTAGAGATGTCAGAATTGATCAATTCATCATGTGGAATGGAATGTTTCTGATGAATGGCAAACGAAGCGACTCAACGCAAACGAGAATGCAACATACCTTCTTTCCGCGATCTATCTATATAGACATTAGTTTTTGGCTCTCTATTATGCATATCTAATGATATTCACAATGCTTATAATATATATAATATATATATAATGAGAAAATCAGTATTAAAAAGCTCTTAATACTCTCAGGAATCAAGAGAAAAAAGTTCATCCTATTCAACAAAAGACTCAGACAGCCAAGGTTGTATCTTCATGTAGAATTAGAAGATCAGAGACTCTAGTCGGATCGTCATCGTCAACAAAAAGAAAGAAAAAAGAAAAGAAATTGTCAGATCAAAGATGACACTAATTTTTGTAATCAGGGTTCATAGAGATTCCCAATTAGTAATACATCATCCAATTTCACAAACGACACACTCAGAAGGAAAGCAGCATTCATAATGATTTCACTACATGTGTTCATGATGAATATATTTTCTTCATTTGTGTACATAAAATATAGCTTCAGAACAATAGTAATTTTCATGTTGCACTCAAAGGTGTCCTAAGTTCCAATCATAAGCTACACGGTTCACACAAATGCTCCATATTGCAAATGCATACCTTTATCAACAAAATTATGAAAACTCCATTTTCCACTCGCGAGATACACGCGAGATCGCACGCCCATTGGACGCACCAGTTTATTTTTCAACAAACAAGTCACTTATGATACAACGCATACCATTATTGTACATGAGCCAACACAAAAACGCAGCTAGTACTACTGCTACTGCTACTGCTACTACCTCTCTACCGAGTCTTCTTCGTACGCCTCTTTCTACAGGTCAATTCTCCCGCCAACCACTACTGGAGACTTGATACTCGGCTCCGTACTCCCAAACGGCGCAGTCTGTGGGAGCAGATCCAATATTTCCATGTGAGGTAGCGCTTGAGAAGGAGGAACATTAAAGAGTGTGCGCAACGAATCGACCTGCTCCGGCGCCATCGATTGCGGGAACTCGACAGAAAATTCCACATAGAGAGCTCCGTATTGGGTTAGACTTCCCTCCACGGGCATCCCCTCATTTGGCAGAACCAATACGGCTCCTGGCTACAAATCAACGAGTGTGAACAGGGCTACGGTCACTTGGCACGGCGCGGCTCGCAATTGCAGCATTTTGCCGCTCAAGTGCTGTAGTTGTTTGGTAAATCCGCAGAGCGCTTCGCCAAGCGTAACACTCACGCGCACCATCAAATCGGCGCCCTTTCTGGAAAACGTGGGGTGAGAGCGCTCCTTAATGGCTAAAACTACGTCGCCTGCTGCGAGGCCGGGCGCCTCGTCAGCCGCTTGTGGAATGTGGATTTCGCTGCCGTTGCCCATGCCGGGCCGTAAGTAAATGCTGGCCTCTTTGACGCCCGAGACGACGCGGTTCCCGTGGCACACCGGGCACTGGAGAGCGAGGTTGAAGAGAGCTCCCTTGCCGCGACAATTGCGGCACTCGATTTCTACGATACGGCTGGTAAAGAAGTCCATCACTTCCATCTGGTTCGTGCCCTTTCCGTTGCAGTAGCGGCAGGGAGTGCGATACCCAGGAAACCCTCCTTCCCCGTGGCAATTCATACAGACAACCTTTCGTGTGATTTTCATGTTGAAGCTCTTCCCATGATAGAGATCTTCGAGAGAGCAGTAGACCTCCTTGCGGATGTCATCGGTCTTGTACACTTTCTTAGGATCCTCGTCAATGGTCGTGTCTCCGGTCAGGTCATACTTTTGACGTCTTTCGCTGTTCGATAACACATCGTATGCAGCCTGGATCTCCTGAAACTACTTTTCAGCAAGCAATTGTGACGAGATACCTTTGCAGCATCACCACCTCTGTCAGGATGGTGCTTTTTTGCCAGTGAGTAGTATGCGCGCTTAATTTCACTCTCAGTAGCATCTCTTGATACTCCTAAGACGTTATATAAGTGGTCATTGTTTGTTTCAAAAGACGACCGTCCAAATGACATGTCCGGAAGGCTGTCATCCATGCCATCAAATCTGAAAAACGGATTAAAGAACATACCCCAAATCGAAAGTCATAATAACAAGTTGGAAAAAGAAACTCCTGGACGTTCTAGAAGCTTTGTATTCAATTATTCTTCTGGATGCCCGTTGGCTCTTCGTCCTCTCTATCTCATCTCTAGTACGATTACTCTGCTTGGAAAGGTAAAAACGTGATTTCTGTGAAAGACTTTACGAAGCAAAATGTGGAGGAAGTACTCACAGTAGCCACTCGAATGAAGGAGCTCGTGGCAAAGAAGGGCGGATGTGACGTCCTGAACGTTTTCTTCATTTTGGGGGTTCTCAGACCTAGCACCGCGTTATGGCCAACGTGTTCCTCGAGCCCTCCACTCGTACTGCCTCCTCTTTCAACGCTGCCTTCTGCAGATTGGGAGGAAAGGTGATTACCATCCAAGAAGGTACTTCCTCCACCAAGAAGGGAGAGACCCTCCAGGATACGATGCGTTGCGTCCAGTGCTACTCGGATGTACTGGTTCTTCGCCATCCTGAGACGGGTGCTGCCCAACTCGCTGCCAAGTACGTTACCAAGCCTCGTATATCTTCTTCTTTTCATCCCTAATCCACAGTCATCAACGCGGGAGACGGTGCTGGTGAGCATCCCTCGCAAGCTCTTCTGGACATGTAATCCCATTCCTTCTCTTCGACCCAGGTTCACCATCTACAACGAGCTCGGCCACCTCGACAACATCGTCGTCACCATGGTGGGCGATCTCAAGTACGGTCGCACCGTCCATTCGCTCGCTCGCCTCCTCGCTTTCTACAACGTCCGTCTCAACTACGTGGCCCCTGCGAGTCTGCAGATGCCCGAATCCGTCGAGTCGGAGCTCGCGGCGCGTGGCGTTTCGCAGCACAAAACCGAATCTCTCACCGCGGATATTTTGAAGGAAACGGACATTCTGTACATGACGCGAATCCAGCAGGAGCGATTCGCCTCGCAGGAGGAGTATTTGAAGTACAAGGGAGTGTACGTGATCGATAAGGCGCTCGTGCTGAGCGGAAAGCCGACGATGCGCGTGATGCACCCGTTGCCGAGAGTCGGCGAAATCACGGAGGATGTGGATGAGTTGCCGCAGGCTGCGTTCTTTAGAGAGATGGAGAACGGAATGTACACCCGCATGGCCATCATTGCCTTGGTGACGGGAACGGCGAACGAGGTTTGCGAAATGGAGTTATAGTTTGATGTGTTTGTTGGATACAGTTTTGTTTCTGGGGGTTTGATTGATGGGGAGACAGGAATAAAATGGGATAATAAGGATTCTTGTTCACACAGTTTGTGTACCACAGTTTTTTGGTATGTGGTACGAGTTGAGGGCGAAGAGGATGAGAGAGGACCGGATCTGCGCCAAATATAGACTCTATCAGCGTGTTCATTCACTTCAATCATCACGAGAGAAGAAACCGAAAGCTGGTGGAAAACGCGAAAAAAGGCACATATCGTTCACAGGAAAGCTCGAAGTGTGCAGATTTGACAGCCGAGTTTGTTGCTTGCATTGTAGTTGATGATACAGGCACCTCCAATGATATCAGTTATTCGCAGACCTAGCAAAATTGCTATGGTTTGAATTGTTGTGTTGTTTTACGTGCTAGTTGGGTAACGAGATTTTGCAAAGCGAAGCAGATCATTTAAAAATCGACGTTTCTGGAAAGGATACAGCAGAAGTCCGCAAATTGGTATCTGAGCAGTGGTTACGCAATCTGCGTGAATATCTGAAAGACAACGGAGTCGATGATAGACGTATACAAGATAAAGATATAGAACCGTTTTATAACTTCTTTTTAGCCATGAAGTCGGTGTGTGTTTGGTTTGCTTGATCTGCAGGCGTTCAGCCAATCTGCTTATGGCAGGCTGTGACACATGTCCCCAAACCCTGTCTCTCGAAGAGTTGCAGCAGTTTATGGAGGAACATGGACTCAGCAAGCAAGACTCGCGTGAATCCTGCATCCAATCCGTCGAAAACTATCTAATGGAGCAGTTGCCAGGTTCGTTTCCTGAGCGTGGTACATGATCGCTAGTCATCGATTATTCCCCTAACGATCTTGCACGTCGTCGTTTTTCCGCGGTCGATTATTTCAATATGAAATTTGGGAAATGCACAACCTCCCGTCTGCGAGACATCCTCACGAACCACGAGCAATTCGTTCCAAAGCAGGGCAGTGAAAGCGAGTTGACCGAGTAGAACGCTGGCGCAGCGAAAGAAAGCGGTGATTGAGTTGATCGGGAAGGAGTTGCAGAAGGAGTTCGAAGCCTCGCTGACGGAGCTGCTGCGAGACTGTTTGAAGCATCGAAATGAGGCGGTGGGAGAGAAGGAGGCGATGACTGCGATGCTGTGTCGGTTGTTTGAAAGCAAACGGAGGAACAGCGAGCCGATTTTGGAGGAAACAGATTGAAAGAGGTTGTTGTTAGCTGATTGGTTTGTGAGAACCTGGGTGGTTTGTTTGTTGGATACAGTGATGAAGGGGAGAGTAGGGTTGTGTAATGAAGGGGAGAGTAGGGTTGTGTAATGAAGGGAAGTAGAATTGTGATGAAGGGGAGAGTAGGGTTGTGTAATGAAGGGGAGCAGAGTTGTGTAATGAAAGGAAGTGGGCGTGCGCGTTAATAACAATGATACAATCCCTCTGAAACCAACCTAAATCTCCATCGACAGCATCGTTCTTCTCTCTTTCCCTGCAAGAACAAAGACACATTCTTATCCTCTCTCTTCTCAATCGCGTTTCACCCAACAAACACTCCAAATCTTATCAAGCGTTACAATACCCAGCAGATCGAATCCCTGTCGCATCACCTTCTCCGCAGCGGCCACCAGCAGCAATCGGCTATTCTGCTCGGGCGATCCGATCACACGGCAATCCCGGTAGAATCCGTTCAGCTTGATGCTGAGATCGTAGATGTACTTGCAGATCCGATTCGGCATCAAATCCATCGGCACCTGCTCCAGCACGTCGCTAAACCGCAGGATGTAGCACGCCAAATCCCACTCGGAGGGATGCTCCAGCGTGATCTGCGTGTGCTTCTTCAGCTCCTCGACCTCCTCGGGCGCCTTGCGGATGATCGACATGCACCGCGCGTGCGAGTACTGCAGGTACACGTTCGTGTCTCCCTCGGGCGACAGCATGCGCTCGAAGCTGAACACGTAGTCCGACAGACGGTTCTGACGCAGATCGAAGTACTTCACGCCTCCGTAGCCCAGCTGCGCGGCCGCCTCTTCGATCTCCTTCGGGTCCGACACGCCGCTCACGCCGTCCTCCACGCGCTTCTTCATGATCGCCGTCGCCTTCTCCGCCGCCTCGTTCAGCAGATCCACCAGGCGCACGCTCTTTCCCGCGCGCGTCTTGAACTTCTTCTTGTCCTCGCCCTGCACCACGCCGAATCCCACGTGGTCCAGACGCACCGAGCCGACCCAGCCCGCGTCGCGCGCCGCCTGGAACACCTGCTGGAAGTGCAGCGCCTGTCCCGAGTCCACCACGTAGATGATCCAGTCCGCCTTCATCTCCTGGATTCGGTACTTGATCGCCGTCATATCCGTCGAGTCGTAGCCGAAGCCGCCGTCGGACTTCTGGATGATCAGCGGGACTTCGAAGCCCTGCGGGAACAGCACTTTGGCGCCGTCGCTGTCCTGCAGCAGGCCCTTCGCGTCGAGTTCCTTGACCATCGCGGGGAGCAGCGGGTTGTAGAAGGACTCGCCCATCATCTTGAGCCGCGGGTCCACGTTCAGCATCTTGTACACCTTGCTGAACATCTTCTCCGACACGCTGCAGAGCGTCTTCCACATCGCCAAATTCTTCGGAACGCCGCTCTGGAGGTTCACCACTTCCTGGTGCGCGCGCTCTTGGAACGCTTTGTCCTCGTCGAACTTGCATTTGGCCGCCTTGTAGAAGACCGTCAGGTCCTCGATCGAGGGAGGGTTCGTCTCGAAGTCCGGAGCGATGTCCTGCAGATGGGCGATCAGCATACCGAACTGCGTTCCCCAGTCGCCGACGTGGTTGATTCGGATCACCTCGTGGCCGCAGAACTCCAGAATGCGAGCCAGACTGTCTCCGATAATCGTGCTACGAAGATGGCCAACGTGCATGTCCTTCGCAATGTTGGGAGAACTGTAGTCGATGATGACGCGTTTACGCTCAGTTGGGGGAGGCACGAAGCCGTGGTTCAGAATGCTCAGGATGTGCTGAGCGACCCAGCTCTTCTTCAAGTAGAGGTTGATAAAACCGGGACCCGCAAGCTCGGTCTTCTCCACGAACTCAGACTCTACTCATGCAAACAAACAAGCAAGGATTACCAGGAAGGTGGTCAATAATGATCTGGCCGCATTCACGGGGGTTCTTGGGGGCGTTCTCCTTTCCACGAAGAGCCTGGAGCTTCTTCGTAAGACCCATGGCAGAATTGCACTGATAGTCGTGCTTCATCTTCGCATTCGTGTTTTGCGAAATCTAAATATGGAGAACATTGCTAACGTGCTACGAGGCAGTCGTTTGAAGAGATCTCGAGGTCAGGGAACGAGTCACGAATAGCCTTGGTGAAAAGTCCCGTCACAATCGAAATTAGAGAAGAGCCTTCGGCGATTTCAGTCATCCAGGAAAAATAAGTATTGTTTTCAGGGGACGAATTACCAAAATACGCCCAACTTATGGAATGAGATGTTCAGTGATTGTTGAACGTTATGAACGTGTCTTTTCATTCAGCAGCTATTTTCATATTATACCACATTGTGGACGAACGCTGATAGAGCACCTTCTTTGTTGCAACCAACAATCCAAATAAACAAAAACTTCAATTATCCACAGCCAGGGGGAGAGACCACTTTGTAAGGCTCTTCCTTCTCTGTGATCACAAATACACGGAACGGATTGTAGTCGCGCGTCATTCGTACACCCTAATCCTCACTCCAACCTTTCAACCACTACAGGCTTAACGTGGATAACCTTGCAATCCGGGCGATCTCCCATAATCACCTTCTCAGCTTCAACGAAGGGAAGTCCGACGACTTCCGGCCAGCTAGACATGAAGCATATCACGTACGACATACTTTGACTTCTTACCAGCGTTGGGATTCATTTCCAAAGATAGAGACAAAGAAACAATGATCAAGCACAACAGATAGTATAGGGACATATTCAATCAATAGTATTCGATAATACTAAAGAATATTTGGGAAAAAGGAGCAGATCGCTATTTATTCCAAATCAATTCTTTCCATTTTGTAGAATGAAGATCCCTTTGAAAAGTGAGGTACGTGAATCAAAAAATACGGCAGTATCAACCCCAAAAGAATAGTGAAACGTTTGCAAATATGATAGAATCGTAATAATGTCGTTATTCTGTTTTTGGTGGTAATGAACTTGACAGTTGATTGATTGTGTGCAAAGTCAATTAAAATCGAGTAGCAAACCTGAATATAGAAAAGGATTGACAAACAAACAGAACACATAGGTGAATGATTCTTTACTGCCTGAATAAGCATGCATCGAGGTGATTTCTTGCGTTCAAATGCACACACCACCTTGACATTTGCTCCGTGTCTTTGTAAATAGTACACTCGATCTGCAATGATCAACGTTTCCAATAACTGACCCAGCGTATGTGTTAAGAAACAGAGCAGTCCAACCAAAAGGATATAAATTCTGAATCACAAACATTCCCTTGAACAGAGAAAACAACCGCTGGCTTTCTCTCCACGTCTTTTCGAGCGATTCAGCCGTGGGAGCAGTGAATTCAGGATGTTTCGAGGCAAAGTAAGAGAGAACGTAATCAGAAAAACGTGTCTCTCCAAAACGAAAAGGCAACTTTCCCACGGGAAATTCGAGAGGATCGGTTCTAAAAATGAGCCAGTCAATTCATGAAAACTCGGCAGGAAAGGAATCGCAAATAATCACCTGCAAAAGAGTTCTATAAAACAATCTCGTAACACAGGATTGAAATGTCTCAACCGAGTCGAATTGAGTGTTCTGCTTTTTACAAACAATCAAAGAAGGCAAACCTGAACGATCGCATTCCGAACTCTCTGCTCCATTCGCACAGTCACTTCTGGATTCAGTGGAAATCCGAAGATTCCCGCGGTATTCGATTCGCGAGTCGTGAGTAAGTTGTAACAGCAACCGACGAACGCGAGAAGACGACAGCGGGGACCGGATTCGATGAACATGCGGCACATCGAAGCGGACAAATCGCCGCAACAATGAAGGCCGATCATTCCATAGGAATGGAGATGTGTTAATGCATGTGGAGGTGAATGAGTGGATGAATGAGTGGGTGAATGAGTGGATGACTCAGTGGATGACTCAGTGACTGGGACTAAAAGGGATTCGAGTTCTTCGGAGTGCATTTCGTTTGAAATGTTGTATGTGATCATTCGGAAGTTGGGAATCGATTGGAACTGCTTGTTCACCTTATCGACGAGGGGCTTCTGCGTTTCGACGCCGAAAACAATGTAATGATAGTGAGAAGCGAGAAACTACAAAACGTAAAATCGATACGATTTATGAAAGATACTTGACTGATGTATCCTTGACCAGCACCAATATCGACGATCGTATCCAACTTGTTATCTTTCCACAGAGAATCGATACGAGGACAGATTTCCTTCACCTCATGGATCTTTTTCGGGTTCATTCCCCTCAACTCGTGCTGAGTTGCCGTTACACTTCCGCTCTCGGATTGAAACGGAACATTCTCAAAGATAGAAAGCTCTTTTACCTTTTGAAGCATCGATTGAATCTTGAAATTCAGAGAAGGAACTTCCTCCAGCTGTAATAGACGTAACAGATCTTCATCAGATAATTGCAATAAACCATCAACAAGATCCGTTGGTAGTTGACGAATGTGCTCATACTGCACCCAATCGACCTAAATCGCATTGATTTAGCATGTATACCAGTGAAAAATCATAGAGAGATAAGATAACCTCCTCGTTTAGAAACCTACAGAGTTCTTCAAGCACTCTAGTCGTGATTTGAATACGATTCTCAGCTACTCCCTGGTGCTCTCCGTAGTTGATAAATCAAACATTCCAAACTAAAGCAAATCTCTAATAGCCTCATGAAGTCCCTGCGGATTATCCACTTGCAGCCAATGCCCTGAATTCTTCACCAACCGCGTACTGATCGATTCAGGACGATCTGCACTCAGGATTTCGATTCTCTCCACCAAATCCTCCGTCCACAATGGATTTTTCTCCGCTCGAACGAGACGAATGTGGCAGCCATCTGGGGGATTACCAAACACATCCCAATAGTCTGCTTCTCGGTACGTTTTCAGCAACTCGCGGATGATCTGCGTGGTGAAAACGAACTCGTAAGAACGGTCGGGACCCCTTCTACCACTCGTCGCGTTGAAAAGCTGTTCTTACTTTACGCTGGTGCTCAGCCAATCAGCGAGTTGAGGACGCAAGCCGTTTCGTTCTAACTCTGATTTGAGGTATTTGAATGTGGGGATTGGGCGTTTCACTGCATCGATTGCTGCAACAACATTATTAATGTTAAGCATGGAAGCTTCGTCCTCGATCGGACCTATCATGGATTGATGTTAAGGAAGATGATTCAGAGAGTGCAGATATGTCTAAAATAATAGCGGTTTTTGGGAGAGCGGAATAACCTCGTTGGTACAAACGCATATATTCCAGAGCGACTTTCCCTCCAAACGAGTGGCCAATGATCGTGTCGATCGGAATATGCTTCGACTGGAGGGTATTGTAAACGTCTAGAGCAATGTTTTCCATGGTGTTTTCGCCAGGCATAGCAGGAGAGTTTCCATGATATCGAAGGTCGATCGTGTAGATCTAACAGTCAAATCGGGTCAGTTTAGGGACATTATCTTGGGGATGAGCCGGAAGAATCCTATGCTATTAAGATTCCATTTGAGTAGTTACTGCTTCACAAAATTACCCCAGTTTCGTTTGTTTCCTACCCATGATTGGAGAGCCTCGTTCTTTACCCATAATTCCATGCAAAAACAACACATTTTTCGATCCATGATTGTTATATTCTGCCAACGAGAGAGTTGCCACACTGCGTACTATTACTCACAGTTTCACAGCATTCTCACAGAACCCGATGCTGCTAGTGTGACGCCCAAACGAGAAAGAACATCGTGCCAACATTTCAAACAAACAGCAGAATTAAACTTGGTTATCAAAAGAACAGGGGAAACACAGCGAATTATCCTTCTGAAAGATCTCTCCGTCCCCCTCAAAGATCGGCTCCTTGGTTTTCATTCCATTTGGCGACAATATATTTCCAAAGCCTATACTGTTCGCTGGTGCGGAAATCATTCTATTGTACAAATTCGACGCTCGGTTTCCGTCCTCTCTCTCCCCCTCTCGCATCAACAACGAATCAAATTGAGGGGGCGGCGACAAAACGCCCATCCGCGACGTCGAATCGAATCCCAGCTTCGACGAAGTTCCAAGAAACGGCGAGAAGCTTCCGAGCGAGAAGGCGGGATCGTTGAGCGTCCGGTCTGGCTCCATCCACGTGCCCGGATTCGTCCAATTCAGCGCAGAAGTGAAGGTCTGCGGGTTGGTCGGAGAGGATTCCAAGTCGCGTTTGGCGCGCTTTGACGACGAAGATTTGGCGGCAGGGGGCTTGGAGAAGGCGGCAGCGGAGGAGGAGGAGTCGAGCGGGAGGGAAAGCTCGAGTGCGGGGAGCGGGAAGGAATCGGGCGGAGGAGGCAGCGTGGATTTGGGGGAAATGAGAGGCAAGGCGTCGGTGAAGGAAGTGACCAGCGACGAATCCCTGCGTTACACGCTAAAAAAGTGGAAACGTGGAAGGGGTGGGGAGCACGGGCGCGTTTGAGAGGGTGGGGAGCGTGGGGAGCAGCGCGGTGTCGTCGAATTCGGGCTGCTTCTTCCTTGATCGACGGCGCGTTGGCTCCTTGGATTTGGCTCGCCGCGGCTTTTTGGCCTCGAATCCTTCGGAGACGTAGAGAGCATCGCCGAGAAGCGACTGGGCAAAGACGGAGGACTGCGTGGCACCGACGAGGATGTGGTAGAGCTCGGGGCGCTGCGCTGCGAGTGAGCAAAGAGAGAGAAGGGAAGGAGTACAGGGCAGCTCGGTGGAGAGAAGATAGGTGTGGATTCGCTGCGAATGCGCGGTGACGCAGAAACTACAATGGAAGAAAAAAGGAATGCGAACTCGTAGGTCATTTTGAGGGGCTCCTTGCTTCCGGAGAGCGCGAGAACTTGCTCCATGGTCATGAAGACATCGTTCCCATAATGTTTCTAATCGATAGAAAGGAGGGTTCGGAGAGAACTTCGAAAGCGGAGGACGATCGATCGCTCATTCGAGAAGACAACAGCGAGTTCGTGTTTGTTAGAATCACGCTCTCTTTCAATTCCGGCTTCTTCGTGGACGAGTTCGTGTTGTTCTCCACCCACACGCCCAGATTGCTCGACGCAGCGATGAACAACCGGAAAACGCCGCGAACTCCCGAGCAGAACTTGACCCAGCGCGACCGAAGATGATTGAAAATGGATTGGATCTTCAGTGAGCGAAGTACGGTCAGCTACATCACACCAAATCGCTGAGAAAACCTCGAGGAGAGGACAGTATCCGCAGCTACGAATGGCCGCATGGATGCTGTCGGTGGATGGGATGAGTCGAATGACCATCGTTTTGGAGAGTTCGGGGAGGGTTTGATAGGGAAGAAAGGATTGATCGCCGAGAGAAAGACACAAAGCGTCGGGAGAACCGCTCACTAGAGAAACGGTGGTGGATTTTCTAGATAGAAATGAGAAGGAGAGAGTACAAGGCTGCATTCTTTTCGTTTTCAAGGCGAGCCAACTCGAGCTTCTGTCGTTCTACGGATGACTCAAATCGTTTTTACTCACCTCGCTCCTGTTGAGCCAGTCGGCGCTTGTTGATACCCTCAATTTTGTGCTTTAAACGCTCGATATACCGTTTACTCTTCATTACCTTTGCTGGATCGCTGCCGTTTTTGATAAGTGTACTATAACTATTGAACACACAGATTACATGCTATGATTCAACTCCAAAAATGAAGAGCTACATCTTTGTCATCCCAATTTATAATATTTTGTGAATCTCCTAACAAACCTTGAATTCTCTTCGTTTCGCGATAAAAGAACTGCCGAACCTGCGTAAATGACCGCGTTGGAATCTATTCATATGAGTTCAAAGGACTGGGCAGCTACCATTTCACTGATGATGTTAAACTTCTTATAATGCTTCGCGAAACATTCATAAAATTTCTGCCGTTCCTCAGGAAGCCATGGACGGACGTCTCTCTTCTCCTCCCCTGGTGGATTTTCGGTGGGAGTTTGCTTATTCATTTAAAAGTCTTTCTTGAACGATTTCTAAGCAAAAGAGAGAAAGGCAGTTTAAAAGAAAGCAGGATAAAGTCAGTAACAAAACTTTATAATAGTTCCAATATCTAAAATGAAAACAATGTGGTGTAGTAGTAGTAGCAGGTTAAGCACAGCGAAGATTGAATAGAAATCAGTATTATACACACAGGAACGATAAATATAAATCACACACAAAGAGAAAACGACTCTACCCATAACTATCATTAGATGGCTTATTACCATCTCTTGAACGTATAGCACAGTCACTAAATCAATAATTACATTTGGTTGAAGGAATGAGATTTGAAAGAGGAATATACAACATGTTGTCGCACAAGAGACATGGTGAAGTATGAAAAACAGGTTGCATGCTTTTACCTAAAATCAATGGTTTCATTAGCCTTCGATTGAGCCTATCTCAAACACAGAAAAAGTTCTATTCTTCACTTCCCTAGGTACCTCTAGGTACCTCTAGGTACCTCCAGGTACCTGACACCATATGAATCAAATAGACAATCGAATCCTATGAAGCCTTAAAAACTGAACATGATAAAGTCTTAGAGATCCACTCGTTGTTCATATAACCTTTTTCAAATTAGGATGGAGTCTTCTGACAATGATTCCTATAGTGAAGGAGGCAAAAAGCAGCAAGCTGATGTGCCAGCTAGTGATGAGCGCGTGGAATCCACCAATGTAGAGGCGGATGAAGCAGAAGACGAGGAGCTCTCCCCCTACAATATCTGGAAGACAAATGCTCAATTCCTGTACGACCTTCTGCTCCATCACCATACGCAGTGGCCTTGTACATCATGTAGCTGGGGACAAATTATCAATGAATCCAACACATCCTCTGTTGCTCCTCTGTCACAAGTCGTATTTCTCTCGACTCATACAGGTACAGAGTGACTCTTTGCGGTTCCTATTTAGATGGAACGTATAACGAAGGGTTAAGGAAGTGGAACAACTCCCCAGAAGCAATTGTTATGGCGGCTGTGGAGATGACTCGTCGTCGAGGAACCCAAACGTGGTTTATAGGTAAGTTCAACGAAAATCAGCGCAACCGAAACTTTGTAAATGTGAAAAATATCATTCATCCTAATGATGTAAGTCGAGTGAAGTAGGCTCTAGTTTGACTTCTAAGGACCAGGACGATCCCTGGCAGTGCATGGGTGGTCTCTCACTCCACGGATTCGAATGTGTTTCTCTGGAACTCTGAAACGCAAGGAAACCACGTAAATCGCGAAGGCTCCACTTCTTCTATACCCGATATAATGTAATTACGTGGGAATCCTGCCAAGTCTAGCTGTCAAACCTGCAATGGCGAGAGTCTCAAGGAGTATCCGTTAGCCATTTATTCTCGCAGCGACGCCTATTCCGTGCGAAAAGATACGATGCCATTGATGGAAGGCTCCAAGATCTCGCACATCGAGAGCGTGGTGATGGTGAAGCGATCGCACGAAGCTGATTCCTACCCTTCCAAGCGGACGCGCCGCTCCGTTGCACACGAAGAAGCGTGGAGCGACGTGGCGCACAGCGAGAGCTCCGCAGACGGAATGAAAATCCGCATCTCGCTGCCGAAGAAATCGCAGGGCGTGATGACATCCACGTCGTCGCTGTCGCTGTCCTCGCAGGCCTCGCAGACTTCCGCGGTTCTGATGGATGGGAAAGAGGAGAAGATGGAGGAAGAGGAGAAACGGGGAAACGGGGAAACGGAGCAAGGAAAGGAGGAGAACGCTGAGGTCAACGAACCCAAAGTGGAAGAAAAAGAGGAGAAACCCGAGGAGAAACCCGAGGAGAAACCCAAAGAAGAGTCTGAAGAAAATCCAGAGGAGAAAATAGAGGAGAAACAGGAGGAGGAAAAACAGGAAAAACAGGAGAAACCCGAGGAGAAACCCGAGGAGAAAATAGAGGAGAAACAGGAGGAGCCTGAAGAGAACCACGCGGAGAAACCGGAGGAAAAATCGGAGGAAAAATCGGAAGAGAAATTGGAGGAAAAATCGGAGGAAAAACCCGAGGAAAAATCGGAGGAAAAACCCGAGGAAAAATCGGAGGAAAAACCCGAGGAGAAACCTGCGGTCCAGGAAGAATCCAAGGAATCCAAAGACCCGGTTTCAGGCATTTCTCTGTCGCCAAAGAAAAAGAAGCTGGCCCCCGCGGAGCTTGTGATCATGTGCGTGAGCGGGTCGCGCCTGCACATCTGGCCGCTGCCGGACCTTCCCTCGCTGAAGCAGGGCACGAAGTCGCTGTGCATCGACCTCGCCGTCTTCGTGCCCGGCCTCTCCATCGAGGACGTCGCTTTTCTCGACGGCTTCGACAAGGAGGGGCGCATCGTCGGCGTCGCCGGCGCGGGCGGCGTCGTTCTCATCCTCAACTGCCGCAAGCAGGAGTTGCTGTGGAAGGTACCCGCGGGGAAAGGGGTTTTTGGTAGCTGGACGGCGCGCACGAGGCCGACGTGCACTGCGTGATGAACATTTCCACGCAGCACGCGGACCAGCAGGACGCGGTGCGCGAGCTGGACAATCTGCTGATCACTGGCGGAGCCGACTGCAAGGTGCACGTGTGGGACCTGCGAAATCCGTGCGATTCCCGCGGAAGTCGGTTCGAGGAAGGGGATTGAGCGTAGAACCCACGCCGAAGCTGACGCTGGAGGTGGGCTCGCCGGTGCTGTGCATGGACTTCTGTCCACGGGCCCCGCGGTATTTCGCGGTGGGAACCGAGTCGGGTGAAGTGGACCTGTTTGATCTGATGGTGGTGAGGGTTGGAGAAAAGGGTTGATTGTAGGGAGAAGGAGAAGATAACCTGGTTTTGAGACATCTAGGACATAGGTCGGAGAGGAGAAGGGAGATGATGATTAGGTCCGCTGTAACCGATCTGCATTTTAACTCGCAAGAGTTGCTCACAGTGCTGTCTTGCTCGGACGAGAGCTCGAACGGAGGAGGCGGAACGGTGGAGATTTGGAGACCTCACGAGCTGTTGATGATAGATGTAACAAAGGACGATAAGGAGTCGAACAAAGCGATTAGTGAATTAACTAGCATGTTAAAGAAGAAATAGTGTGTTTGTTGAAATCAGGAATTCCAGAAAGTCGGGAGATATCGTGGATGAAATGATCCTTGTTTTTCTACAGATTTCCCAGTCGTTTAATTTGAATTTTGTAGGGATTCGTTTTGTCTGCCATTGTTCTCATGGATATGTAGATTCGTTTGCAGAACCGACCATGGCTCCATGGAAATTTGGAAATAAGCAAAAGAAAGAGGAAGAAGAAGAAGAGGAGGAAGTGGAGTACGTTGAAGAAGAGGTAGAAGTAGATTCAAATGGAGAGGAAATTGAGTATGTGGAGGAGGAGGTGGAAGTTTCAGATGACGAGGAAGTGGAGGAAGAGGAAGAAGAGGAGGAGGAACCAAAACCAAAGCCAAAAGCGCCCGCTGCAGCGCGTTCCGCTCCTGCTGCTGGAAATGACAGCCGAGTCAAGGAAGTAGCTTGCATTATGGTTTTAGTGAACAATAGCTGGAAAAGGAACTTAAGGAGGAGCGCGAGAATGTAAATCTGCTTCAAGAAAGTTGCGATCCACGGAGATTCTCACTGATCTAGAGGTCGACGAACTCGAGAGAGATAATAAAGATAAAGATAAGGAGATTGCGAAGCTGAACAAGGCCATCTCCAAGAGCAAATCAAAGAAGGAGGCGCAGCAATTGGTTGAAGAACTCATATCCTCTTTTTTTTCCTTTTTTTGTGTTCGTTTCTTAACGGTCACGAAGAAGCTCGTGCAGCCGAAGAGCAAGCCATGCAGCAAGTGCGCGCTCTGCAAGAAATGGTTCGAAACCAGCCAGCTGCGAGCTCGAACGACGTGCTGGACAGCGTGGAAATGAAAGTTCTGCAGCGCAATCTGGACGCCACACAGGCCGAGCTGAAGCAAACCGAAGGGCGACTGAACCAAATCCTGCAAGAGAAGACGAAGCTGGAGCAGAACTTGTTCCGATCGCACCAGGATTACAAGGACTTGCAGCAAAGCATCGAAGCCCGCGTGAAAACGCAGGGCGAAGCGTTGAAAATCGAGCTGGATATGGTTCGAGCCGAGTTAGAAACCACCAAGCAAGCGGTACACTGCGAAAAGGAGCAAATGAAGCGTAGAAAGAAGCGCTGGAATCGCAGACCGAAGAGCTGAAGAAGGAAGTGGAGGAGGCGAGACTGACGGGAAGCAGCTCGGCCGCGGAGAACGAAGAGCGACACATCGCGGAGGTTCGGCAGAACTACGAGGGCCAAATCTCCGCTCTGAACGAGCAGATCGCGATCATGCAGCAAGAACTAGCAAAAGAAGAAGAGAAAACGACGAAGGTGAAGGAGGAAATGGAGGTGGAAGTGAAGCTGAATCGCGAGAAGGAAGAGCGATTGGCGAATCGTGTGGAGTCGCTGAGTCGCGAGTTGAATGATGCGAATGAGCGAACGCGCGCCGTGCAGAAAGAGAAGGAAGAGAAGGAGGAAGCCATCGAGGAATTGAATCGACGCGTGGAATCGGCGTTGGCGGCTTCGCGCGTCGTTCAGGAGCAGCAAATGGAGAAGGAGAAAGTGGCAATGGATTCGGTGCGTGAGGGATAGGAGCTGATGCAGGAGAAATCGATGCGTTCGCAGGCGGAGCAGCGATCGATCGAGTTGCTGCAGCAGCGCAAAGATTGGGAAGGCGGCATGGAGTCGAAGGACGCCGAGATCGCGGAGCTGAAGAAGAAAGTGGAAATGCTGGAAGAAAAGGAGAAGGATCTGCAGTTAGAATTGAAGGTAGGGCAGCGAGTTCGGTTCGATTCGGTTTAGACGCTGACGAAGAAAGGAGCGTCGACGGTGGCGGAGGTGCGCGACGAGATGCGGAACATCCAGCAGAACTGCTTGGACCAGATCGAAGCGGTGCAGGCGGAGAAGCAGGCGGAGATCGAGCGGTTCGAGAAGGAGAAGGAGAAGATGGAGGCGGAGGCGATCGCTCTGCAGAATTCCTTCGTGAAACAACGCGAAGAAATGGAGAACGAGAACGACAAGGAGAAGAAGCGGATCATCGATCAGTACGAGAAGGAGCGCGCGCAGATGACCTCCGACTTCGAGAAAGAGAAGAAGTCGATGCTTGCAGAGAAGGAAGACGCGCTTTCCTCTGCCAGCAAGGACATGAAAAACGACCTCAAAAAGGCGCAGCAGGAGGCCGAAGCCGAGTTCGCGCAGCGACTGGAGGCGCAGCGGAAGGAGCTCGAGGCGCAGCACCAGGCCGCGCTGGCGCAGACGCAGGCGGAGAACGCGACGCGGCTGGCGCAGCTGCAGACGGCGGCGCAGACGCAGCTGACGAAGCTGAAAGAGGAGTGCAAACGCCGCCTGGAGGCGCAGAAGAAGGAAATGGAGGAGAAGGCGAAGGCCATGCCGGACCTCGGATTCTCCTCGGCCATGATGATCGACCCCTTCGCGGGAATTCCCACCGGCGAAGAAGCGGCAGGCGAAGAAGCGGCGGGCGCCGAGGAGGCGAAGAAGGACGACTTCGACGACTTTGGCGACCTCGGCGACTTCACCGCCATCGAAGTCCCCGCGGTGGCTCCGGCTCCCACCGCTGTTTCCACGGTTTCCACGGTTTCTGCGGCGGGTCCGTCGGCGGAGGAGGAAGCGCTGCGCGCTGTAGGAGTGGAGAAAAGGAAGCGAAATGTAGGAAAACGCATCGCTGAAGGCGGAGCTGGCGCAGATGAAGGAAGAGAACGAGCAGAACATGCAGATCGTGACGTTCAAACTGGAGCAGATCGCGTCGATGCAGGAAACGACGCAGCAGATGGAGGAGAAGATCGAGGAGCTGTCGACGGAGCTGGAGAAGGAGAAGGCGGAGCGCAAGGAGGAGAGCAAGCAGCATTTGGAGAAGATTAAAGACTTGACGGCGAAGTGCAAATTGCTGAAGGCGAAGAACGAAAAAATGAAAGCCGCAGCAGGCGCAGCGCCTGCAGCCGCGCCCGCAAAGGAAAAACCGAAGAAGCTGTCGCTGTTCGGAAGGAGAGGAGCTGCAGCGGCGACGCCAAAATCGGAGAGTGAAAGTGAGGATAGTGAGGAGGAGGCTTTGTGGATTGTTTGTTTGCCACATTTCAGAGTCGCTCGGAATTTAGGAATGGGAGGGACGATTGATTCAGCAGTCTTTGATTGTCAGTCCCACACATGCTCTACGAACTCTATGCTTCACCGAATGTATGAATCCTTTTCAAATCACCGTTCTAAGTCAAACCATCACTCCATCAATTGATCCCATTATTCCCATATATATATTAGTATTATTGAATACGAATGAACGGTTACTGAGACTGTTAGATCCATACCATTTTTGCTTATACTGCTGAGAATAGTGTGGGTGGCTCATTGGAACGTTCCTATTTCAATGATCTCTCATTAGTCTTGGACTCCTCATTATAAAAGGAAAATAACATCAAAAGTGCAAAATCACTATTATCTTACAAAAACAGGAAATCCATAGTTTGACTCCACAAATGATTTACATTTTTGAAGCATTTAATGGTAAGACAACAGCAATGGCATTTCTACATAGCGGGGTCTCACAAGCAATTGGTTGACTTGATTCTTCGTGAATACATCGCTAGTTCATATACACTACCAGGAAAGAAATGGCACTGGAAGATGCGGTAGCTTCTAGGAGTATTTGTTCATTTAGAACAGGCGGCTTACTACTCTCTACGCAGGTGGAGTCCTCACCCGATATAAGTGAAGATGATGTTCTATTTGCAACAAGCACCTTTTCGTTGTGTGAATTACTTTCCTTACGCCCTTCACTTGGGAAAGCACGCAAAGTATCATACATCTCTTTTCTCTTATCCAATAGGTTTTATATTTTCATGAAAACCAGCTCAACTACCCGCGAAGTAAAGAAGAGGAGCGAGATTTTCAGTTTGGATGGATCCAGATCCTATCATGCTTGGTAGCGGATGTAGTGTACTTTAACTCAGAATGGAATCGATCCTCCTTCCTCGACTCTATTCCTGCTTTTGTCAACCGGAGTCCGGATAAGGAGCCAAAAGGAGTAGCGGAACAAATTCGAGCAAAAAGCCAGGTTTTATACTTCCCAGTGCAGATTAGTCATCCCATTACGCTTTCCGTGAATTCGACTGATTCTCCTCTTCACATCCTATGGAATCATCGTTGGGAGCACGATAAGGATCCTAACACATTCTTTTCGGTGCTCTTTGAACTCGATGAACATCACATTCCATTTCACCTATCAGTTCTCGGCGAATCCTACGAGGAAACGCCGCCCATTTTCGCAGCTGCGAAGGAGCGTCTTGCCTCTCACATAATCAACTTTGGTTTCGTGGAGTCGAAGGAGGCTTACTATGCAATCCTGGAAAAGACCGATGTCTGTGTTTCTACCGCCATTCACGAGTTCTTCGGTGTGTCTGTGATTGAGGCGGAAGCTTTTGGGAACTATTGTCTGTGTCCCAATCGATTATCGTAGGCTAGGAGGCAAAGTGGCGAATAGATACAAGGAGATTTTCCCCAGAAAGCAGCTGTACAATACACAAGCACAGCTGCGGAAAGAACTTAAGGACTTGTGTCTTCGTCCAGAGAGAGTGAGAAACATGGAGCGAAGAAAAGCAGCGAGTGAACACGCGTCGTATTATCTGTGGAAAAATCAAAAGAAGGAATGGGATAAAGCGCTATTGTGAATTGTTTGAGGAAAGAAAAAGATAAAAGATAAAAAGTAAAAGTAAACTCCGAAGCGGGGAATCGAACCCCGGTCGTCCGCGTGACAGGCGGAAATACTAAACCACTATACTACTTCGGATCTGTTTTGGTAATTTGAGTAGTCTATATAAAATCAAGGCTTATGACCAAAAGATCAAACAAGTTTGTAAATAACGAATGAAAAAAGGTTTCAAACAAATAAACACATTATTTTTGTAGTTTTCAAATATTTTCGGGATTTATTACCGTACAATGGGAGTGAACATATCGAGTACACTAGACATAACGATTGATAAACTTTCATACCTCTAACCAAATTGGCTCCGCGCACAAAGTGATTTCTGAACCAATAATGATCAGCTTTCTTGTTGCTCGACTGAACGCCACGTTAATTCGCCTCCAATCCTTTAGCAATGTTCCAATCTTCTGCTTTCTATTGTTTCTCACTAGCGATATGATAATACATTCCTTTTCTCTTCCCTATCCATCAAACTCCCCTATGAGTGCTACCTGAAAACTATCAACCGTTGATATTTCGATTGATTTATCTCCAATTACGGACTGGATGTAAGCAACCTGAGCATTGTAAGGGGAGATAATACCAATCGATTCGCTGGAAACCCCTCCACTTGTGATGTATTTGATTAGTTCAGAGACTATACGAGCTTCGAGCATGCTACTTCGACGATTATCCTCTTCTTGAATTTCCTTTTCATTCCTTTCTTTGGACTGACTGTCTGTAGAAATGAAGACAACGCCATTAGCGGGACTCAGCACTGTCTGTATCCACATAGGAGCGTTTGAATCGATCCGAACTGGCAGAAACGCATTTGCGATCGATTCAGAAGCTGCTCGTAATGTATTATCATAAACGAGATGGTTCACAAGATTCATGATGGGTTCGTTCATTCGGTATTGTGTGTAAAGCTTGCCTATCCACTTCGAATCTTCACTTCCGCTCTGTTCCAGTCGCGCCATCAACGAAATATCGAATCCGAATTTCGCAGCGAGTGGATTCTGCACGATCGGAGGCAGTTGCTTGGAGTCTCCAACAAGAAAAACCTGTTTGGAAAGAAGAAACGCTTGTAGGATCGAAGGCTCTGGAATCTGTCCAGCTTCATCGACAATGCAAAGATCAAACACTTTGCCTCTCGGAAACTGTTGTAGATTCGTGTAGACCGTGGCGGCAACAATCGATTTCGATTCATAAATCGACTGGTAAGTGCCAAAGTCTCCAGACCATTGATTTGATATGTGATAGCGAGTTGTTTGAGGATGGATCTTCGCGATATCTCCAAGTCTTAAAATCGGCAAATCTATTCAGAATGCAGAACGTTTATATTTACCATGCTGAAGCAACTTAAGAAGAATATTATCAATGGCTGTATGAGTGTGAGATGTGAGGAATACGCTCTTTCTCAGCAACACGCAAAGGATAACAATCACAGAAATCACCGTCGTTTTTCCAGTGCCCGGATATCCCCTCAAAATCGCTATATCATTAGAGTTGAAGCACATAAGAATGGCTTGTTGCTGCTCAGCATTGCATTGTTTGATGAGTTTTTGAACATGTAAAAACAACTGCTCACTGGAATCATTCCACTCTTCTTCACCTAAAAGCGCGAGCATTTTGCGATCTTCGATGGTTTCAATGATTTGATTTAGGGACGAAAAGCGGTTGTCCATCGTGGGTTCTTTGCCATTGATGATAATGTCTTGAAAACGGGATATCATTGAATTTGTTTGGTTGGTTCCTACAAGGGGCGAAATAGCAAACGAAACAATATTATTCACCAAAATAGAGGAAATATCAAAGGAATGGAATTTGTCTAATCGGTATTTCTTCGATTTATCCAACGCAACTCCTGCAGTCGCCGTGAGTAGATGCTTTGTATTTCGAGCCAGCTCAATGGAAAACTCCATTTCCTTGGAAGACAAGCTGATAATCGTCGCGTAAGCCTTTCCCCATTCTCCATTCATTGTCGAAACAAGTACGACTTCCCCGTCTTCAACATCCCAACGCGATGGACAAGAAAAGAAGTGAATCCATGAAGAAGTAGAGCCCATCTTTTTTGTTTTCAGTAGCTCAACATCCAAAATGCACAGACCTGAAGCTACTCTTTTTGAAGTAGACTGACTCCAAATATTGGCATTTGGATCTTTCTTCTCGTTTTCCAAACGTTCCATTTGAATGAGAGACATCTAGATTCAATCCAATCAATCAACACAAACCCATTTCTTAAAATACGTTATAGATAAATTGGATTGACCGGGAGAATTCAGTTGACTTGGATCAGTCGTCTCCTTGTCAATTCCGGTGGCTTCCCTTGCTTCATTGTCCCCATACGATTTGGATAGAGACAGCAACTTACAAAGCGGATAACACCCACATTGTGAGCAAAACACGGCATTTCCACATTCCTCAGGGAGAGACAACCCTTGATACGCTTCGTCGATTCGTTGAGAAAAACTCAGCAAATCTTCGATATCTTCGCTTTCCTGGCAATTTCGATCCAATCCCAACCCTCCCTTCACTCTTAAAATGTAGGTTGCAAGCAAATTTCGCCGAAGAACGATATTCGACAAGTACAAATGTTGTAGCGGCTTGAAACGCTTGATCAGAAACGATCCCCGATGAGCCAAAATCGCCTCAGAGCGGATCCGAATCATTGAAAGTACTTTATCAATATAAGGACCTTTCGCTCCTGAGTTCAACTCATTCAGAATATCATTGTGTGCAGTTTGATAGAACTTCGAAATATTCAGTGGTTCGCTTTTCAAGTACACCAAAACACTGGAAACCTTCTGAGAAGGTGAAAGCAACGAATGATTGCCATGAAAACTCGCCAACATCAGCGAATACAAATAAACCTGAGCAGAATGGGAAATCGGATCCTCCTTTCCAGTTTTGATTTCCACAGGAACTCGAAGAATTCCGTCTTTTGTTTCTACTTCACACGTCATATCGATCACTCCCTTTAATCCTAACGATGGACACCACACCGAATCTTCACACAGATCCACCTTTTTCAAACTCGAATTGTCTTGATGAAGACTGACGATCCATTCAATGATACCAGGAATGCACGCATGCAAGCTTTCATAAACATAGCAGAGATCAGCACCCACTTCATAGATAGCATGTGTGCTTTCTCGGATCAAAGAGAGTATAAATTTATGGCAATTGTGGATGATGTATGGACTTGCCACTGCTTTTGTGTAATCAAACGGTAAAGAGGAGCCATATTCAAAGAGTCTGTGCCGCATTTGACCCATTAATGCATAAAGATTACTTTCGGATGAGGAGAGAAAAGTTGAGAGAATGGAACGACGTATACAATGAAAGGAAGTGGAAATGTTTGTTGCTGTAAGCATGTAGCTTGGATGAACGATAAGATAGCTTGCACTGGACTCCGATACAATGTAAGGAGGGCGTGTATCGGTGGAAAACAATACAATACTTACATTGTCACCAACAGATACAACAGTAGAACACCTATGTCACAACACTCTCAAAAAAGTACCACGCATCGCGTAGAATCACTGTAAATTGTCCATTATCACTACCACATCCATCCGATGCATCCTGCTCCTCATTGTTCACTCGTTCGACCTCTACAGCAACTTCTGAATGGGACAAGCTGCCTTCTACAATTCTCTTTTGTACATCCTTCACGATTCCATACAGAGAATAAAAACTCTCTAGGTGGATGTTCATTTCTTTCGAAGATGCATCATCCTCATTTCTATAAATAAAACTAGAAATAACTATATGACGAAAAAAGGTTGGCACGTTTTACTCCAGAAAAAGAAGGCATTATCGCAAATTACTTGACTTGATACCTAATCCTCTGCTATTCAATACGTAATTATTGCTATAGAAGTATAACACGCAAACGAAAATGCAATACGAAAAGAAAAGGGAACAATGAGATCAAACTAATGAAAGAGAACTCCTTGTGAAGTGATACATTTCCAGATACGATGATTTTAAATAGTACTTACGAATACCGAGTCGTGAAAAACAAATTACAGATTCACTTTATCATGTCTTTCAGTTTTGGTAGTATAAAATCATTTGCAAGCCGAGTAAAGGAAAGCGTATCATCGAATCTGGATTCATTTAAATCGTCGAGTTCTTCCTCCTCAAATGTAAAAAGTGTAAAGACCGGTTTTTCGAGTATGCTTCAGTCCGTAAAAGAAAGTTCGGCTGCTGTTGGTAAGCAAATTGCCCAAACTGCTGGAACGCTCTTGGCAAAAAGTGTATTATATAAGGAAGTGTATGTTAGTCCGAATTACTTTCGATACATCCTGGAATCTTTGGGTGTGTTTTTCTTGTGAATTATAAAATAGAACGAAACATCGATGGTGGGTGTTATTTGACAGCTTCTGTGCAGTTCGAAAACACCATTGTTGAAAAGGGATACTTTCTCCAGTCTGTGCAAGGCGTTTTTGTAGATCGTAAGCAAGTTTTTTAATATAGAATTAATCGTAGGAATGCCGTTTAATATTCTTGTTGATTTGTTCTATATTCTTCGCAACCGATCAATGGTGAAGGTCGTTTTTTCCAATTGCTTATCTCCATTCCAAGACATTCTTCCATCTATCAGTCCGTATCGATGTATTCTTTTCCTTTCTCAGTACTACTCAACATTGTTGAAGGCCAAGACAGGAGGAATTGACCACAAATACATTGCTTCCCACTTTGTAACACTGCGAGCGCTCGCAAAATGGAATGCTCAGTTCGATTTGAATTCCATTCTGCAAGGAGACGACCCAATCCATGTTCTCGTTGTCGAGAAAATTCTTCTCCAATCTATCCATTCTTTCTTTTTTCATCCTGTGCTGTCGGAGTCAGTTCCTGTGTCCTCTCTATCACCTGCTCTTCAGTCGTTTGTCGATGTTTTTTTCTCCTATTGTGCATCTTCGTATCAGCAGTATGGCTGTGTATCTTGCTTGATTGTTATTTATTTAAATCGCTAGTTTCCCCTTGCCGAAATTGTTCCGCTGATTTTTGCGAACAATTCGAACGACTTTGCAGCTCAGATAATCTACCAACAGACACATAAATCAGACATGTTTGTCGAGTGGTGCATTGCGAACTATTTGGCTCTTTCATATCACGATTCCCTCCTTTATGACGACCCTTCACAGGTGGATTCAGATCGCTTGTCGACGTTGCGCCTTTCTCTTCAGCAGTGTGCGTCATTCGAAGAGATCCAAACGATTCTCAAAGAACTTTCGGAGCAGGAAAGCTTTGCTATTCTTTTGTCAGGACTGAACAAAAATTGTTTGTCGGACGGCTGGTGCGTTCTTTTGGAGGTACTTGCTGGGTGAGAAGAGAAGTAATGCTCAGATCGCAGCCACGAGTTCTCCGGGATTCTCGCAAAAAGCCGCCTTACGTAGTGCTGTGAACATGCTTTCGTGGGATGTGCGATGCTTGCTCTACTGTCTGCTTCGTTGCGTACCTTCTTCTTCTCCTGTATTTTTATTGTAGATGCAGGTGACAAAGCAAACTACCCAAGCAATGGAGGCTGTTGTGAAGTTCTGGTTTCCTGCAACTTTGCAAAGAAAGGGCGTGTTGGTGATGTCCACTCTGCTGAAGTGGATGAGCTTTGCCTTCATGCCGGTGGAGCTTGAATGGGCAGACGAGCGGCGCGAGAAAACGGATTTGGAGGCAATAACATTGTCGCCGATCGAAGACGAAACTGCGTTCTCGTTCAACAAATCGTTTAATGAATTGCACTATTTGGCCAGCAAAGCGCCAGTATTTTCTTCGATTTCACACTTTTTCGATCAAGTATACTCGCCCTTTAAAAAGCCGAGTTCAACAGGCTCTTTCCCTAAAGATTCCAAGTGGTTTAGTTCTGCAAAGCTTTATAAAAGTTGATTTCCATTCCGTGAATTATGTTTGGCTAAAAACATGTCGAAAACGAATGATGTGAGCGCGTTGACTTGGTATATACACAAAAAGAAAGCCTTCACTATTCCTTCTTGTGATCCATTCTACTTTCTCTTTCTTATTTCCTCACCCGGCTCTTCGATCATACTCGCGTTCTGTTCTCCTTCTCTTTCCAAAGATGATATGCGCTCTGCCAATCAGATTCACTCGTAGAACCTACCGTTAATTCTTTCTAATTCCTTATATTTCCGATCGAGAGCTTTCAGTCTACGAATTTCCATGTTTGTTTTAATAACGCTGATTAGCAAGACAAACTACACATAACTCCTCTCAACCATAGAAAAAAAACAATTTGAACAGAGGTCAACACCAACAGAGGGAACGAAACCATTAAAGAAAAGAATAACCCATCCTCATCAAAGTAATCCTTTGTTGCAAAATACTTCCAGTATTTTCTACTTGAATAGCAGACCAAAACCAATACTTTCCAAGAGAGTTTAACGAGCGGCCACCAAAAACTATCACAGAGTCCAGTATAAATGCGAAAAACTGGAATGTCACGTTGTTTCTATGCACTATAATACGATCCAACAAATGAATACCTGCATTGGAGCACAAACAGAAACCAAGCAATATACACAACAAACATACACTGGATCCATCGTTCCGACCAATTTACATAGTGGAAAAATGATTGAAGAAAGCTGTAGCTTTCGGATTTCCATTGGTTCCAAAGAAGAGTCCAGTTTGCTTCAAGAAACGTGTCGATGACTTTGTTAAAATCCTAGAGCATCATTTGCAGAGTATCTACACTACTTCCATAGAGTTTAAAGAAAATGTGTAAAACAAAACAACAATCTATGAATGCTAAACACTAAGAACTAAATCCCAAACACTAATCTGAGTCAAATTCGTCTTCCCTTGGACTACGGTTTAAATCATACCCATTTGGAAGTACCTTTTCACGGTGGTAGAATCTGTTTGCTCCAATAGTTCTTCACAGGAAAGATTAGACTTTACGAAATAGCGATTGACGACAACACGCTGCCCTGAAGTCATCTGGAGGACGAGGTTGACGTGCATGACACGTCCATTCTCCTCGAGCACGCGGGTATCTCGCAACACGCCGATGTTGTTCGAAATCTGAGTTATCATGATAAGCGCGTTATCTTGCTTTGACACTTTGATCTACCGGAGAAAATCGAAAATCTAGCGTACGCGATGAGTTCCGCCCATTACGGACTTTACAGTGTATTCATCCCCAAATCGAATTGACTTTGTATCTTTTCCAAACCGAGACATGCGGCAAATCGTGAAACACTCATCGGTTTGCGTGATTCCCAGAATATCCACCAATTTACTCGCGGCTTGTGCAGCAAGGTCAGGGACACCCTAGATCGTGGATCTTCTCAGTAATATCCAACCAGAGCACTCAAGTATGGAAGGAGAGATTCAGAACGATTCGCATCCAGCTTCCATGTTCCAGTGAGGTTAATAGGCATTTACCAAATGAGTGAAAACAAACAAGTTATTTTCTACACAAATTCAAAGCTTCGCTCATGTTCTTTGTAATCCATTTCTGCGACGGGGGTTGCACATTATCGGTCAGTTTCATAGCCTTTTCGATCAGACCTTCCTCCAGACTCTTCAGCGAGGACGGTCCCAGTGCCTGTATGAAGCTCAGATCCAAAACGAATGCATAGAATCCGTTCTCGCTGAACTACCCATCACTCCACGCCTCCGCGCCTACCTTGCCCGCGTCCACCTTACTCCATCGCTTGTCCATCGCGAGCAGCTTGAAAACGTACTAGGGATCAGCGCCGCTTCCCAAACGCACCGTGAACAGCGCCTTCCGCATCATGCCGAAGGAGGACGGCGGCATCAGCTTCTCCGCCTGCTTCAGCATGTACAGCAGCTGCTTCATCGCCTTCTGCGTGGTGGGCTGCGGCGCGGAGACGGGTTCGGAGAGCTGCGCGTAGAAGGTGGGGCAGAAGGTGGAGGTGGAGAACGAGGCGACGTAGAGCTGCTGCATGAGGAGCACGGTGCATTTGCGGAGATGCTCTTGCAGCTGAGCGTGAGATGAAAAGGTAAAAAAGAGAGGAGTACGTTGGTCAGCGACGTCTCGATTTGGCGCCCCGACACGCCCATGCGAGGAAGGAAGGAGATGGAAATCAGAGGCAGGAACTCGGTGTTGAGGAAATAAAGATCGGCGAAGGTCGTCGCCGGCTTGCGATTCTCCTTGTCTTGCGCCCACTTCGCGTAGACGCGGCTTTCCAACACCGCGAACGCAGCGAAGGCCTTCTCCATGGGCTCGCGAAGATAGGAAACCAGCGTCGAGTAGAGGAGCTGCGGGCCGAACTGAACGAACGGCGCGAGAATGGAATACACCGCGGCGCAGTACGTGGAGAGATCGCGTTTCTCGAAGCCCTGCGAAGTGCGGAAGTGCACGCTTTCCGTGTCGGTCGTCGGCTCGGGCAGCGCGCGAATTCGCGTCTACAATCGATTCGGGAACGCGGACGAACGATGCAGCAGGCAAGGAAGCGCTCCACGACGCTGCGGACCTTCTCGCCGATAGCGCGAATCACGTAGCAGTCCATCGAGCAGCCGACGTCGTTCAGAATGGAGGCTCCCTTGAGGAGCGGCGCGACGCAGCAGGCGAAGCTCTGGAATTCTTCGCCGGTGAGCTGCTGCGAGTCGCTGCTCATCGCCAGCAGGATGATTTGGCGAATGAACTGGTCGATCTCCTTGGTCATCCACGAGACGCAGATGCAGAACACCGACTTCTTCCCCTCGCCGCCGCAGAAGATCGTCTCGAAATTCACCGCGGTATCTTGCAGACACTCGAAGAACAAGTCGCTCAGGCCCTCCACCAGCGAGGGGATGTCTCCGCACGGCTTCACGAAGCGGTGGTGCGTGCGAATCTCCTCGCTCGCTCGCTCCAAGAAGAGGAGACTCGCCTCCGATTCGTGGCCCAGACCGCAGAGCAGACGGCAGACGCGACGACGATCCGATCGCGTGCTGTCCTGAGAAAAGAGCTCCGAGACCAGTTTGGTTGTCAGGATCTCGGCCTTGGCGGATAACTAGGGGATTAGAGGCGAAGAAGAGAAGAGGAAACCATGGTTTTCAAATCCATCAGCATTGTGTTTCCGGAAATGTCCGTGGCCATCAACTCGTTCTGAGCACGAATACACAACTCCACGGCCTCTGTGAAGCGGCGCTAGAGAGAAGCGATCCAGAGGAAAATACCTGAAATATGTACAAATCGATATCATCGCACACAGTCTTTATCCAAGTAAGATGCTCGGGAATGACGAGAGCTTCGGATGTCAATCCTTCGGTAGCCTCCGAGTCGATTGTAAATGTTGTATCCTATAATAAATCGCATGCCTTTTTACAAACCTTTAAGTTGTGTAACACCGTGTTCGTATGGTCCAAATTCTTCTTCAACTCCCCCATACTGTCTTCCATCTTACCGATTTCCTCAGAGATGCCGATGAATTCCTTGTAATGGTTGAAAACATGTTCCTTCAATGCCGTCTCCGTATCATACTACCGAGTGAGCTCGAATCAAAAGGTATCCAACTTTCGTCTGTTCTAGCTGATGTGAATAGTTCTTGTAACGATCGACCGTTTCTTTCGTGAAATAATCTAAAGCTGCTTCCTCCGGATTAAACGAAGGATTTGCGTAATAACTAATCTCATTACTATCAGCCATCTCTCCAATTTGTAAAGATTTGAACACCGACAAAAAAGGCTGGAATTTTGGAGTTCTACGTGGTTGAATAGGAAATGGTGTGGAGAGTAGAATAGCATCGTTAAATACCAGAGTTCAGAAACATGCTGAAGCAACAAAGGAGCGTGCTTTCTTTGTTGCAACGCTACATTTATTATTCAAGAGCTATTGCAGTCCAATCTAAATTGCACAACTCCTCTTCGTTGTCGTTTAGTCCATTTAGTCCTCATTCGGTTTTTAGGAGATCGTATTCTTATGGAAAAGTGCGTGATCCATAGTTTTTCAGAATCAGGTGCCTCCCTAGCGAAAACAACTCCCGTGCTTTTGCCTGGCGAATTGGTTGATGACCAGGATGAGCAACACCCGGAACTCTATGCAGTTCCAATCACGCCTCCCAATTTGAGTATTAGTGGAAAGGACATTGGTCTTAAGCCAATGTCTCTGGAGGATTTTCGTAAGAAGATAAAGAGCTTTCAGAATTCGGAGCGTTGGAACGAGTTCAAGACTGATGAGGGAGTAATCGAGAATGAGCGAGCCGATATTCTTGCAGACAGAATCAACGAGCTTCTCAGCAACCGGAAGCAAAAGTTCATGTATCATTTGCTCCAAGCTGCATAACTGTGCAGATACAAAGAGTTTCAAAAGTTCATCATGCTTCCTTCTCCTGTGACACGTCAGTCCCTCATCAAGATGCTCCGTGTGATCGACAAGGAGCTAGGAGAGGTTTCCCCCTCTCTCCTGCCCTGGATCGAATCGTACTTTAATGGAACCGAGTTTCCGAAAGCGGGCGAAGAGAAGAAAGAGATTCAGATGCAGCTAGACATTCTAACAAAGGTCACAGAGAAGTTTTTCCGCGACTGGGAGTATGGATTCACTGCTTTTACATACCTTGCAGAAACATACAGTACGATGGTTTTCAGTGGCGAGTGAACGTGGTTCGCGATTGCTTGGAGTCGTACTGTTCGGACGACGAACTCAACCGACTTTTCTCCTTTTTGAATTCGTTCACGGACTCGTCGCGCAAAGCGATCTCGTTTTCCCAATTTTTGACCCGGATCGAAGTAGAGAATCGTTTTGATTGGCAGCATCTAGTCGATCCTCAGACTCAATCAGCACAGCTCCGATTTGCTCGCGTTAATGGAATGGGTCATCAAAGGACTGAACGAGTTCCCGTTGATCAGCATCTCGGCCGTTCAAAGCACGGAGGTTCGTCGTCGCGACGCAGAAAGGCACACGTTGATTTGTGCTTATAACAAATATCGTTATCATTCGAGTCACATTCCTCGCGTATTCCATGCGAATTTGATTTTTTATTCAGTCGGATGCGTCTCAAGAAAAGGGAGCGTTGCTTCTCTCGTTCCGTCTCTCCACCCTTCTCGACGACGCGCAGCACAAGGCTTTCATTGCGAGACTTTCGGATTATCAAACGTCCGCGATGAGTGCGAGTGATTGCGATCGCTTTTTGCAGGCGGCCTCGCAGATCTGCGGAGATTCCGCGTATTTAATCGAGCCTTCGCTTCAGAAATACGTTCCGAATCTGGGAAATGGTGATTTGTAGGTGAATTTTCTGTCGATCCCCACGCTGGAACACGTTCGCAAGATGAAAAAGCCCGTTCTGACCGTTCGAGCGGTATCGCGGTGCAATTCTCCCGATTCGGGTTTGGCTTCCGCCGTTTTTTTGTTAACTCGCAGACATGGGCGAAATGCTGATCGACGAAAGCAAGCCGCTCAAAAAACGTCAAAAAGTGCTGACCTTCCAGTCCAACACGCAGTTGAGTCCGCACGGACACACCGCCTCCACGTCCCTGTATCAAGTGTTCGTGCACAATCTGCCCATGGGGATCACCACCGAGGAACTGGCTCTCGCGTTCCGGAATTGTGGAAGTGTGAAAAAAGTCGAGATTTTGGACTATTCGAATCCGGAAGAAGAGAACAAGAAGAAGCAGCCAAAGATCCGACAGCAGGTTCCGGAGTCAAAAATGTGGGCAATTGGATCGGGGTTGGAGTGTAGTTATGGGTTTGTGCACTTTGCAGAGAAGGAAGCCCGCGAGAAGGCCTTGATCCCCGCGATGCGCATCTTCGGTGTGAAGATCCGCGATTGTCTGTGTCGCACAGAGCCCGCCGAGAACAAGCGAACGCTCTTTGTGGGGAACATCGATCGAGGCGTGACGGGAGACGAGGTCAGCGAAGAGCTGAACGCGTTGCTGAAGCCGCAATTGCAGGTAGAAGCGAGCGAGGCCAGCTCTGGTGTAGATCGAACTGCACGATGTGCCGTCGCCTGGAGTGCTCACGACTTCTGCGGGTTACTGCTTCATCGAGTTCGACTCCCACCAGCTGGCGAGCATGTCGTTCGCGTTGCTGTCAGGAGCAGTGGTGAACGGGAAGGAGCTGAAGGTGGGATGGGCGCTGGAGTCGAAAGACTCGCGAAGAAGGAAGCAAGAGCACAAGTGGGACAAGTATCATCTGTGGGTTGTTTAAGAAAACAAACAAGGAGCAATAGTACAATGAACAATTCCACTTCCTCTACGAATAAGCGAGCATATCAAGAAAGTACAGCGACGAGCCGCGTTTCGAATAGCAGGGTCTGTCTGGACCTTCGGAGCGGTCTTACCGTTCTTGAAATCGATGACTCTCTGGAACATGGGCGAGTGTTTAAACCTATATGTCAGAACTACGCCAATAATGCTACATTTCGGGGAGAACGATGAACGAGATCTGGGCTCCTCGAATAAACAACATTTCGAAAGGAATGATTTCATTTGAGTACTTTGTCTTCATGGTCACGTTTTTCATATTTAAGTTCCAGTTGTCCTGCACCTCCATGATGATACCACGATAAATAGAGCCATCACGCGTCTGAATGAGAGCGGTGCAGCCTTCAGCCTCATAGAGCAGCAGAGTAGGCATTCCGATGATTCTCTTTCCAGAAACACTCATTGCTAACTACCAAGAAATAGATTTTGATTTCTTTGAGAATAGGTGAGGAGAGAGGAAGTGAAGAGTGAAGGAAAGAATAGTACGCAATGGCACATAACAACAAAGAGAAAGTGAGTTTGGTCAGGTTTTTAGTGAAAAGTGTGTATTACGATTCCAGTTAGTTATATGAATCGTTTTATTATCAATCGTGGTGGACTTGTACAACATTATGCTTTTTCATTCGAGTGAAGAATGTAAAGTGGCTGCAAGTACTACAATTTGCAGTGACACTCCATCAGAAGTTAAATCATACGATTTCTGCATCAAAAAGAATATGTGAGACTTTATAAGTCCATCTAGAGAAAGGCATTCTATAAGACAACCATCCATTGGTTAATAACGAACAGGATAGAATAGAATGAAATAAAAAAGAAGTGTTTCCTAGCATTGCAGATGAACTCGACACTTCCAGTATGACGCTCCCTATTCTTCGTTATCACCCAAAAGCAACGGAGAAAGATATAGCATGACAAAACAGTATTCCGCACAACAGAAACGAAAAAAAGGACGAATTTTGGTCCTGTCACAAACTCTTTCTTTCTATAATTGTGTTTTCTGAAAGAAAAAGTAATGGATGAACCTGCAGAGCCAAAGAAGAGTACAGTTAGTGGTCGTGTACCAAGTTATAGATTGTCTTCGTCGTTTAAAGTCTTCTCTTCAATTGTTTATTAAAAACTCGGCTCGTTCTCTTGCAACGGTAATGAATTGGCCAGAGACTCAGTTTTTAGAAGGTAACAAATAATCCCAAACGTACCATATTAATATACTTTATTGTTTTATTAATTGCTGCACTGGGAATTCTACGTCTGAAAACCGCACAAAACAATGACATTGCTGATTTGTTTACTCCTGAAGTAAACGACATGTGAATCTTGTGAATATAGGATGGAGAAAACCGCAAAGAGGCGGAGATTTACTCTACCTACTTTAAGTCGAGTGACGACCAGTTACAAGTTATTGCTGTCCCCAATTCAAAGAGTGGTGTATTTAATACGGAAGCCTGGTTGGAGTTATTAGAAGTCGAGAACAAGGTCGACAGTATTACTGTTGACGGAGTCAAAGTTTCAGGTGAGCGATTGGTGCGTCCCTGAGATGCAGATTTTTGTTCTAAGCTGATGGATGGAAGCTGCCTTCACTTCAGTCCTTTTATGTACTTCGACTGGAATGCCGAAATGATCCGCATGACAGGCGACAAAATCGACACGATCTGCAACCACGAAAAGAACTACATTCCCTTCTACTACATCTTTGGTTCTGTATTCATTTTCCAGTTCCCTAACACATTCAGACTGGAGGTGTGTCCGTGTCCAACTGCATGAACGAAACGACTGGACTCTTGACGGCCACGTCGCTGTCTTTCTTGTACGGTATTTCTTACGAGGACTACGACAAATCTATCTCGAAGGAGTGGTTGCGCGAGGCGGTGTCGATCGTGGAAGACTACAAAGCGAACTCAAAGTACTGGCAGGTGGGTCTTGCGGGGAGATTGTCACGCAGATTTACTATTCGACGACGAGCGGCGTGAGCGAGGAGGTGCAGCGAGGCACGCTGCAGACGATTACGAAGCTGGGAGTTAGTATTCTGCTTGTTTTTATCATGATCACGCTGTCTCTCCACGAGAATTCGTACGCCACTTCGATTTTGATCGGTACCTTCTCAGTCTCTGCTTGACCCACAGCCATTGAAGCCCTTGTTTGTGTCCTGCTAGCCAGCGGAATGGGTCTCGGGTTCTCGCTGCTGTTCGGTCTGCCGTGGACCACGATCACGCCAGTGGTGATTTTTCTGGCTCTTGGATTGGGTGTGGACAACGAAGTCCTGCTCACGATTCTGTTCTATCGCGCGGATAAGTCGAAGTCGGTGGAGAAGCGCGCGGTGCATGCGAGCGGAGAAGCGGCTCTGTTCAATACCATGTCGACCGTTACGACAATCTTCGCGTTTTTGAGTGGGGAAGCGACTTGGCTTTCATGTAGTGGGCGTAAACACCTCGTTCAAGGGGATCAAAACCTTCTGTTTATCTTCTGCGATCGTGATGACTTCTGTTTTCTTCACCACCATGACGCTTTTCCTCGCCCTTCTCACGCTCAATATGAGATCGTTGGAGGCGCATACGAAGCCTCTGGAGAAGCCTCGTCGGCACCACCACCATCACCACAAAGGGGAGAAGGATAAGGAAGAGGAGCTGGACAACGGTCTGGTCACACGGTTCTATCGCGACGTGGTGTCCAAGGTCTTCATGACCACCACATCGCGCGTGATATTGCTGCTTTTATTCGCGGCGTATATCGGGTTCTCGGTCTACGAATGTACACAGATCACGCAGGGAATTTCTCCGGAGGACGCAGTGCCGGAAGATAGCTTTGTAAACTCGTACTTGGCCGTCGCCAAGCAGGAATTCCAAGAGAAGATCGCCGAGCTGAATGTTGTGTTCTACGATACAGAGCTTTCTCGCACAACGCGTCGAGTACGAAGCGAGGCGATCGAATGAGGGCGTAGGAACTGATGCGAACGGTGATCACGAACATGAAAACGGTGCCCTACATCATGCCGACCTACGAGAATCCGTGGGACACGTTTGATTCCTACCTGGAGGAGAACGGCATACTGCCCGAAGAGGCGAGTGGTCTCCAATTCTATGTGTATCTGCTGCGATGCATTCAAGTAGATTTTGACTTTGTCTTCTCTCTCTAGAGCAATCCGCGTATGGCGGAGCATCTTAGCATCAACACGACGAGTCTGAGCATACCGGCAGCCAAAGTGAAGTTCTCGATCAATCCGGCTGCCGTCAACGATCTGGAGCTGGGTGAGCAAGTGATGCTGGGGGCTCGCAGTGTGATTAAAAACGTGACGAGCGAGTACGGAATGTACATCGATATGAAATCGTACTCCACGATGTATTCTTACTACGAAATGGTGGGCATTACCTTCGACGAAACCATCATCAATCTCATCACCTCCGCCATCGCGGTCATGATCGTTCTCTTCTGTCTTCTGCCTCCAGGTCCCTCCATTCTCGCCGTTCTGAACGTGCTTCTCGCCGATATTTGCATTCTGGCGTGGGTTCCGCTGACCGGATTGAACCTGAACGCCATCACGTCGACGTGTATGGTGATGAGCGTCGGTATTGCCGTCGATTTCTCCGCTCACATCACGCACGCCTTCGTGGAGACGGACGGATCGCTCTCTGGCAAGGAGCGAGCTGCGATGGCGGTGACCAAGATGGGTCGATCGCTCACGACCTCGGCTTTGACGACGTTTATGTCCGTTCTGATGCTCTCGACGGTCACCGTGCCGTCCAATCGCATGTTCTTTGTGATGATGTCGGGCGTGACGCTCTTCGGTCTGCTGTTTGGAATGCTGCTGCTCCCGACCGTTCTGTCGTTCTTCAATCCGGGATACGAAGCCCCGGTGCCGGTAGTCACGCCGATCACGCCGCTGAAACCCGGAGAAGAAGCGGAGAGACTGGACAAGATGCGAAGTCGAGGAGTGCGCCGCCATCATCGAAAGCATCACAGGAAATCGACCCAAGAAGAAGAAGAAAAAGGAGAAGAAGGAGAAGAAATGGAGGAGGAGAAGGAGGAAGAGAAGAAGGAGTTGAAGGAGTTGGAGATGAAGAATATGAGTAAGGAGGAGGAGAAGAGTGAAAAGGAGGAAGAGGAGGAGAAGAGTGAAAAGGAGGAAGAGGAGGAGAAGAGTGAAAAGGAGGAAGAGGAAGAGGAAGAGAAGATGGAATTGAAAGAGTTGGAAATGAAGGAAATGAGCAAAGAGAAGGAGGAGGAGGAAAGAGTGGAAGAAGAGATTATGATCGAAAAGGAAGAGAAAGAGCAGCAGCAGCAGCAGCAGCAGCAGCAGCAGCAGCAGCAGGAAGAAGAAGAATCACAACTGCAAGTTGAGGAGCAGAAACAATCCCCGGAGGAAAGTCCTCTCCAAAACGAGCTGAATAAAAACGATTCTCTTGAAAACCGATCGATCGATGCGCCCAACGAAGTTCCTGAGAGTGATCCCTCCACTTCCGAGTCAGATACCAGTGCAGAAGAAGTCAAACCGAGCCAAGCGAGCGATGCGCAGCCCGAGCCCAGTGAGGAGCCAACCAGTGAAGTAGCCCAGCCAACCAGTGAAGTAGCCCAGCCGACTAGTGAAACAACCGAATCGCCCAGAAGTGAAACAACCGAACCGACCAACCAGACCCCGGATGAAGCCGAACTTCCCGCGTCTACCGAGACTTTGAAGGAAGAATCTCCTTTGCCCAAAGCTAATGAAGCCGAGGCTCCAATCGATGAATCGCCCGCTGCTGCTGTAGCTCCCCAGGAAGATGCAGTGGCGCCTCCCAAAGGAGAAGAAAAAGAGAACCAAGAATCCCCGCGTGCCGAACCAAAGGAATAACCCCATTCTGTATTTATAGGAAACGTGTTTGATGAGTAAACAAAATTATAAATAAACGAACTATATTCGATCATCGACTTGGTCCTTTCTGAACTAGTTTATGCGATTGCCGACTCTTTCGGGTATTTCGAAGCATCTGATGATCCTTATGAAGCTTCTCAAATCGCTTCTCAAACGTCGATTCTTCTTCTTCCGGCTTCGAAGACAGCAATCGCCTTGTGTACTCCTCCTCACTAATCTTCTTCTGCTTAAACATCCGGAACAATCGCTCCTCTTCCTGCAATTCTTCCCACTCATTCATGATCTTTTCGTGCTTTCCCTTCTTCTTCTTCTTCGATTCCTCTTCCGCTTCCTCGCGAGATCGCTTCACACTCTTCGCTTTCGGCTCCTTCAGCGCTTTCGCTGTGCGCGCCTGTGCCTCTTTCTTGAGTCGCTCCTGTCTCGCTTGTTCGCGGACAGGATCGAGGTACGGAATCGTCTGCACATCGATACCCATCTCTTCATATTCGATCTTTTTCTTCTTGAACTCCGACATTTTCGGCAGCTGAACCAACGCGAACGACCGTGCCAACGACGCCAAATCCAAGTCGTCAAACCGCAGAATGAAGTTGCAGTCGTGATTTCGGTATGCCTGCAAATGAAGCGATCCTTTCTTTCTTACTCGCACATTCGCCACGAACCCAGTCACACTTTTCTCGTACAAATCGCGATCCTTCGCGCATCTCTCTCGAATCGACTGCAGCGTCTCCAGCGACTCTTTCCGCATTGCTTCGTCCCATTTTTCCTCCCATTCGATCAACGGAACGCCTCTCCGTCGCGTGAACGACACGTACGCTTCCTCCGTCGATTCGAGAAACAGCAGCGACTGTCCTTTCTTCCCGGCTCGCGCCGTTCGCCCCACTCGATGCACGAAAAACGCGGGATCCTGCGGAGGATCGAATTGAATGATCCAGTCCACGTCGGGGATGTCGATTCCGCGCGCTGCGACGTCCGTGCAGAACAAAACGCCGGCTACAATTCATCGCTCGGAGAGAGGGAAACGCTCCGGTTTTCGGAAATCTTCCATGGTTTTGACGCGCTTCTTTTGCACCATGCGGCCGTGGAGGGATCGCAGCTTGATTCCATTCAGAATGTTCAGCGAGAGAAGAGCGGATGTCAAGAAATCGACCTGAGCGCACGTCAAGAAGAAAACGATTATTTTTTCTTGCGGATGAAGGTGAATAAACCGAAGTAGCTACAATCAACACCGCGCTGATTCCCTACGAATCCGAGCTTTGTGTCGCTGGGAAGGATCGTATAGTAATTCTTTAGCTGCACGGGAACCGCTTGGATTTGGTTCCGATTCTTAATTTCGATCTTGACCTTTATGGGGTTGCGGAGTCCAGCCTTGCAAAGGGCGGATACTCCATCAGCTTCCGTTGCACTAAAGAGACCTGTTCGACGCTGCTTTGGAAGCTTTGAGAGGATAAAGTTGATTGTAGCTGCGTGTCCCAAATCCTACATAACAATTTTTATCAACGACTACAAGAAGAACATCAGCCTCATCCAAAATTAGAACTTCTAACTCTCGAAACGAGAGTTTTCCTTGCTGTCTCTCCATTATGTCTTTCAGACGTCCGGGAGTGGCGATTAGAATCAAACCCTTATCATTTGAAAGCTGCTTTACATCATCTTGAACTTCATTTCCTACAATGAACATAGTATGGAAACACTACCTCCAGTAAGCAGGACCAAATGCATCTTGTCACACTTTTCAATGAACCTTTGAGCCACAGAGTAAGTCTGCATTGCCAACTCTCTAGTGGGGGAGATAATAACTCCTCCCACTTGGCCACGCGAAAAGGAGCAACTTTTGTTCCATAATATTTGGAATAGAGGAATTAGAAAAGCCAGTGTCTTTCCCGATCCTGTACATGCAATAACGTTCACATCCTTATGAGATATAAAGTATGGAATGACTGTTTCCTGTACAGGGGTCGGAGATTCAAAACTCAAGTCCTTCACGGCATCCAAGATTTCTGGCATCAGTGGGGGAACAATGTCTTTGAATTGCTTTCTTGTAGACATTTGCAAAAAAAGACAACAATTCTCTGAACGAATGGAAGTATTCCTCCTTCATTCCCGTGCTTTTCAAACAAACAAGCTCACGACAATAATCACAGATGCGTAAATTTGGAAATTCCTTTATCTACTCCTAACCCACTCCCAGTTCTTCTACCAGAACGCAAACACAACAACTGACGACTCTCATCTTTGTGCGAAGCACGCATACTCACCAAGAATCTTCTGTACAACCCCAGCATGTCCACACTCTTGGACTTGAATTCATTTCGATACTCCATGGCATATCCGGACCTATGCGATCGAAGCGAACCATAGCCAATACAAGGAGTGAGGAATATCGACCGCATACGCGTGAGAGAGAACGTAGAATTCGTAGCCAAAGTATCTCAAGTTCTCGATCCACTGCACCTTGTTGAATCCGTAATTGATGAATCGCTCGTCGAATAAGGGAAGAGATTCGGTGCGATGCACCATGACATACGGCTCTAAGAAGTGCTCCCTGAAGCAGGAATAATAAACGACAGGTCGGTTCTGAGGCAAGGTAGTCCATCTCCTGGGCAGATAGTTATGCGTCAGCGAATGGGGGCGGAAAATGGTGCACTGTCGTTTGCCTATGCAAAGGCGGAGGTCTTCTTTGGTTTCGGGGTAATACTTAATGGCGCTAGAGTGGAGAGGAAAGCCGGCGACTATTACACGTTCACGCAGGACTTTAGATCGCTGCACTTCGAAGTCTCCAGCACACCTTTCGAAAGGGAGAAAGCTGGAACGATCGTTACGAAGTAGGGATTGCTAAGATAGGACGGCGGAAGATTGAGGAGCGTCTGATACGTGAATCCTAGTTGTGAGAGGAGAAGGAGGGTCGAACGGGCAGGCCACATATCCATATCGAAGACAACAAAATGGCTCGTGAGAGAGTTTTCGATGGCAATATTCCGAAGACGGTTGATGGGGTAAATCGTTTTGTAAATGCACTCCATTTTGCCATTCACTCTGTGATAAACGCAGTCCCGTTGATTCGGGTAGTCGTAAATGTAGAGAGCGAGTCGCAATCGATCGGGGAAGTTCTGTTTTTTAATAAACGTCACCACCTTCTTCAGTTCTTTCTGCTTCACCATGATCGTGACGCTCATCGGGCTACAAATCAAACCGACCAGAAAGAAGAGGACCCTTGCCATCTTTCAAGAAGATGGGGGAAGAAAAACAAGCGTTCTGTGCTAGAGATCAGCAAGGTTTTCAAACGCTACGATGTCTGAGAGATCATTGTAATATCGTAGTGATCTGTCTCTGGAATCATGCTGCGATTGCGAGGAACGGTGTCGGGATGCGAGCCTTCGAAGTAGCGAATCTTGTGACGCTGTCGGAAATTGAAATCCCCAGCGAATGGCATTCGCTTTTTACCGATGTTCTTTAAAATATCGGTATATATGGTTCGCTTCTTTGTATTTATTGGATGACGTTTAAAGATGAGATTCGTTAGATTGTTAGATGATGATGATGATGAGTAGGAGAAGGTGGGAGAAAGTTTTGTTGCTCGCGTCGAATTTGAAAAAGTGGCAAATGAAGAGATCACGGAACTGTCGTGAATCGTGGTAGTCATAGGGCTGCTTGAATCACTTTCTTCAGCCTCTGTGCTATCCTTCATTTCAGTCTCAGCTTCTTCTTTCGATTCGGCGGTACTTTCAGTTTCTTCCTTTGATTTACCTTCAGCTTCTTCTTTTGATTCACTTTCGGCTTCTTCTTTCGATTCACTTTCAGCTTCTTCCTTTGATTCACTTTCGGCTTCTTCTTTTGATTCACTTTCAGCTTCTTCTTTTGATTCAGTTTCGGCTTCTTCTTTCGATTCACTTTCGGCTTCTTCTTTCGATTCACTTTCAGCTTCTTCCTTTGATTCAGCTTCAGCTTCCTTTTCTTCTTTCGATTCGGTTGTACTTTCACTTTTGGTCTCAGCTTCTTCCTTTGATTCAGCTTCAGCTTCTTCTTTCGATTCACTTTCAGCTTCTTCCTTTGATTCACTTTCAACTTCTTCCTTTTCTTCTTTCGATTCAGTTTCGGCTTCTTCCTTTGATTCGGTTTTACTTTCACTTTTGGTTTCAGCTTCTTCTTTTGACTCTGTCTCAGCTTCCTTTTCTTCTTTCGATTCACTTTCAACTTCTTCTTTTGATTTGGTTTCAGTTTCTTCTTTCGATTCACTTTCAACTTCTTCTTTTGACTCTGTCTCAACTTCTTCTTTCGATTCGGTTTCAGCTTCTTCCTTTGATTCGGTTTTACTTTCACTTTCGGTCTCAGCTTCTTCCTTTGATTCAGCTTCGGCTTCTTCCTTTTCTTCTTTCGATTCACTTTCAGCTTCTTCTTTCGATTCACTTTCGGCTTCTTCCTTTGATTCGCCCTCAGCTTCTTTTTCCTCTTTCGATTCGGTGGTACTTTCACTTTCGGTTTCAGCTTCCTCTTTCGATTCACTTTCAATTTCTTCTTTCGATTTGCCCTCAGCTTCCTTTTCTTCTTTCGACTCACTTTCATTTTCACTTTCACTTTCCTTTGATACAGTAACAACTTCCTGCTTCATTTCTTTCTCAGCTTCCTCTTTCGAATCGCCTTCTGCTTCTTCTATTACTTGCTTTTCATGATCCTTCGTTTCAACAACTATTTCTGCTGTATCCTTTGATTCTTCCATAGTTTTAATCTCTTTTTGATCACTGGTTTCAGTTTCAGTTTTCGATTCAGAAGATAGACTCAGCATAGAGGTAGATGGTAATGTCTTCTCTTCAAGAGCGACATTCTACATATTAATATTCTTTTTTATACAACATTTAATTCTTCATTTGACACCTTCGTAGGCTGATTATCTCTCCTGAATAAAAAAGGACCCATTGAAGGTTTAACTTTGAACACATTACCTTCAGCAGGTGTGTTAGCAGTTATTACCGCTGTTCGTAGCTTTTCGCTATATTTCAAACAGAGACAGAGAACATACAACGGATGTGCCGAAAAAAACAGTGTAGGTACGCTTCGGTCCCATTTAACGATCCTATTCTTTAGAGTCATCCCGGAAAGCGGATTTTCATATTTTCCAAAGACTTTCAACTTCCAATCCAAAAAAGCACGAGACACGACTATAAATATAAAGGGTACCACAAAAACATTACATTTTTCATAGAAAAACATATACAGAGAGAAAATCGTCACAGACAACATAAAAGAAACAATCACCCCAATAACTTTTCGAGACATGTTTACTTCTCGGTAGAAAAGACAGGAAATTAAAGTTTCACTAAAATATAGCCTATGGTCTTTCTAAAAATTGCTCTATTTTGGTTATTTGCAAAAATCCTGGTTCCTAAAGCAATGTTTTGCGCTACTATACAAATACATCATAAAATGACAAGGAGAAAAAAAGAGAGTTGACAAAGAACCACCTTAGAATCATCTTTTGTATTGTAGAACCGCGGTTTTTTCTCCAAGTAAATCTTTTCACCACAAATAATCATAGTTCGGCAATAATAATTCATGGAACCGCAATTTCAGGAACAATTCTGGGGATGCACTGTATTGAATGGATGCTACATAGTGAGTTTAAGGTTGCTGCTAATTCTTCTGAGACTGAGAGTCTGGAACTTTCTGAGCTTCATGTCTCAAACGTATTATTCAGAATTTCTATATCAGACATAGGTTGCTTTAAAGAATGTGAAAGTTAAGAACCCTGTCGTCGTTAAGGTTACCACTGGAGGCAACACTTTCACGCTGTGCACTCTGTCTAAAGGTATTGCTTGTTCCGCGTGTCTAGTTTAGAGTTCCCTCAGTATGCTGTGGAACTCGTTGCTTTCTCTGCAGATGAGAGCATCTCCTTTTCTGTGGAAGGAGAATCCGATGTTGATATCACTGGTATCATAATCTCCGTCGTGGAAGAGGAAGAAGGAGAGGAAGGAGAGGAAGAAGAGGAGGAAGGAAGCCAAGAGGAGGAAGAAGAAGAAGAAGAGGAAGAGGAAGAAGAGGAAGAAGAGGAAGAAGAGGAAGAGGAAGAGGAAGAAGAAGAAGAAGAAGAAGAGGAGGAGAAGGAGGAAGAGAAGAAAGAGTTGCCAAAGAAGAGTCGTAGGCCTTGCCTATTAGCTGTATTTTCTTAGAGAAGCGTGCTGCTGAGACCAAGTCTTCTGAAGAAAAGCGCGCGAAAAAGGAGGAGCCTGAGGTTGGAAGCATCAAAAAGATCGGCCAGTATATTACCTACAAGGACATCAAGATCGGAGAGGGCAAATCTCCCCGCAAGGGATCGAAGTGCACCGTGAAATACGTTGGAACGCTGCCCAACAAGCACGTCTTCGATCAGTCGAAGAAGCCTTTCGTGTTTAAGATCGGCGTGGGTGATGTGATCAAGGGATGGGATGACGGTATCATGACGATGCGCGAGGGAGGAAGAAGAAAGTTGGTCATTTATCCCGAGGCTGGATATGGCAAGACGGGATATCCTCCTACCATTCCTCCCAATAGCAAGCTGGTCTTTGATATCGAGCTGTTAAAGGTTAACTAGTCTATTTGAGGTTTGTATCAAACATAAAACGATAAGCGTGTTTGTGAACAAATCCTTCACTTCGCTCTGGGATTTCTAGAAATACATGCTGTCATCTCATCAACTGAAGTACCAGGAATGTCCCATTCCTCTAAGCAAAAGTCTGCCTTAATAGCATCCTTGACCGTTTTATTTTCGATACTATCCAGACCCAAATCACTTGCGAAATGAGAAACAGGAGTCACCTTCAAATTATACCTCCATCAAGACAAACTACCTTACAAGGATCCACAAAGTCGAATCCCTTCAGCACATTCATTATACGGTCGGATACTTCGGAACGGTCGATGCAGGACTAAATAATATACAGCATTGCGTTAAATACTTTAATGTTTGTAACACTTCGAATAAATATCGGGGTTCTTAAAAGACGAACGGAACTGAAAACGATCGCAGACATAACAACCAAATAGAAAGCTTCTAGTGCCACTCCAAAAATGGAAACGGGAGTTTCATTAGAAAAGTAAAGCAAAAATAGGTGGAGTATGAACAAGAAAGAAGAATTATTGGGATGAGTGTATATGCTTATCAAGTAAATATGGAAATAAAACTCAAAATTACATGTGTATTATAGAACAAACAATATTCAATAGAAGTGATAAGTTCTTCATGACATCATCGAAGCATCTACGGAACATACCGATATTCTCGAAAATGGTAATGCAACATTTTATTGGTTGCACAGGTTTGAAAAATTTTGTGCGCCATCGTCATCCATTCTATTCTTACTATTATTTATAATTGTAAGTGATTAGGAAATGAAATTTATTTTTGCACTCCTGCTTCTGCTGAGGTATGCGAAGAAATTGAAGTACATTGTAGTGTTTATGCCTCCGAGGAGGACTACTCAGTCGAAAAAAAGAATTACAAATACTGTGGTGTTGAGCTGTCATATTCCAATTTTAAGGAGTATATCGAATCTCATGGTATTGATGTGTTGCTGTAGTGACGAATAGAGCAAGTTCTCGTTGAATTTTATTCGGAGACATGCCCTGCATGCAAAAGATTGGAACCTGTTTGGAATCGAATTTCTTGCGAGGTCAAGAAGGAGTTCCCCGGTCTCGTCTTTGCGAAGGTAGCTAGCGTATATAGTAGCGTGAGCGAATAGATTGAAGGAAACCATAATTTGGATATTATTGAAGCTTACGGTATCACTCACACTCCTACGATTGCCTTTTTCCAGGGAGATATTCGTACTCCCACTCGGTACAATGGAGGCAAGTATTATGAGGCCTTGAAGTACTTCATTCGTGTAAGTGCTTCTGGCTTCCTATTTATCTAGGATATGCGCAATGAAGAGAACAAGGGCTCTCCTGCAATGCTCTTAAAGGATCTCGATCAAACCTGGATGGTAGGGATTGGGCACTCTGTTGAGACGTAATAGTTCACCTTCTGGCGTGGAGCTACCGATCAGTCCATTCTCCCCAATATTAGTGGCTTCTTTGAGACGGTTTGGATGCTCGAAGGGATATTGACTGGTAGAAGGACTGTGACGAGTACCGCGAGTACGTGAAGGCGTGTGTGGCCATGGGCGACAGCATCCGTTTGGGAGAGTCTTTCAACATGACGGTGCGCGACGCGTACGAGCTGCCCAAGCAGCGCGCGACGTTGGTGATGTTCCGTGACTTTGATGAGAGTGGGCGTGCGGAGGCTTTCTGACGGGTAGAGGAAACGATCTACGACGGCGAGTGGAAGGCGGAGGCCATCGTAGCCTGGGCTCAGATGTACAGCCAGCGAACGATCGGCCGTGCAGATTCGGAGACGATCAAGAACTATTTCAAGGGAAGCGGAATCATGGTGCAGCTGTTCGTGAACGGATCCTACGTGAACGAGAACTGGTACGAGTTCCAAGACTATTTGTTCGAAAGAGTATGGATGGATGGGAGACGTGGATGTGATTGTAGGTGGCGCAGCCAATCATGGAGAACAAGGTCAGAGAGCGCAACACGTTTTCGATCATTGCAAGTGATGGAGTCGAGTATGCTCACTGGATGACGAATGCAGGAATGGAAAGCACAGAATTGCCGGGTTTCTTCCTTATTGACTTTGTAGTTGTTTGGTTGGGGATTGATTGTGATAGTCTACGGGATTGAAATATGGTGCTCGCGGTGTATCCTCGATGGAGACACTGGATACGGACTTGTACAAGTTTATCGATGAGTACACATTGGGACTTCTTCCTCCTCTCCGTAATAACAATGAAGAGGATGAACTGTAAAATGGAGAAATTGGGGCATTTTGTTTGATGGCAATAAGAGTGTCTATGATGGCGACTGGGTGTTTTAGAAAAAAACACTCAGTCCGTCTGATTCGTTTGTTTTGCAGAAGCCTTCTCGTTCCTCTGTATCAGCAGTCATCTGCAGCATATGCGATTAGTTTTCATCATCTTTATCCTTTTACAATGGTGGTGGCTCTTACTGCAATGGAGGAGAATAGTTCTTAATCTCTGGGTAATGGTTGGACAGTTCTAATGCATTGTGCCAATCATAGAATCATTCATGTTGACTGATACAAGGAATGGGCACTCGAATAAAGCTATTTAGAATAAAAGAATAGGCCATTATCGTCCTTTCGACCCCTGTAGACAACTCACAAAGATAATAGCCCTAAATATCCTCCATTCAACACTCTTTTACTCACCCCTATCTAAACAACAACGAGCAGAACAAATACAAACATAGATTAGACCCATTTTTGCACAGAGCAACAACACATGACAGTTTCAAATCATCCATAGCGTTCATTCTGAGCAATTCCAATGCTATAATTACCACATAGAATATACGTTGCTCCAACCTACTACGCTTTATTTTTAAGATACCACTGCCATGTGTTGTCGATGTTAACTGAATAGGCAAAACATGGTTAAAAGCATACTACTCTTCAGGTCGTTAAAATTGTAATAAAATACAAGTACTAAAAGGACTCATAAAAAAACACATGATCATTCGTCTTTTTGATGGGCATTCATCTGTTTTCTATACTATACAACAAGATGACGTCCTAGCCAATCTTGAGCGCGCAATAATGGTAATCTCATTCGTAGCCTGATTGTATGTAGAATGACTTTGGTTTGAATATAAATGACGTGGAGTTTCATATAGGAAAAAAGAAACTGGTAATAAGTCAATCATTAGCTAGTCAGTGTAACGACAACGATATTCTTTTTATCAGAAAAATATGTACGTATAAAATCATATGGAATGAAAGAAAATATGAATGTCCATATTATACCAACATTTATGTTAGCACATTGCTGTCCTATTTTTTACAGAAAAGGAATATTAGCTGCGATACAAGTGACAGAAATAAGTTTTATTTCGACAACTGGAGTGACACACAACTCATCCCGGTTGAAGGCATTTCCCAGGATCTCGTATTAAGGTGCTCCACATGTATTTTATTGTAATTAGTCTTGCATTTACATTATAGACGGTGCGGTGAATAACAGTCAAAGGTTTGAAAGCTCATTTAGTAATTATTATTATTTCTTTTATATTACCATTCGTAGACCACGCCGGGACAGGGAATATTGTTCAACCTGTAGAACCGCCTACGGGAGAAATTCGAATGATTCTTTTTGGTCGCGAAT